AGCTGGCCAAAACCTGAAAGGTGTTCTGTGAATTCCAACAAGCGATTGCTGCGAGGTCTCTGGAATTGTGCCCCTCCTGGTAGCCGTATTGGTAAGGCCACATCGGGTAGCTCAGCTTTGGAAATTGGTGGCTTTGGGTGTGCTTGTCAAGGAGCTCATAGCATATGGTGAGGAGGGCGTTTTCCAAATCAATCCAGGCATCCATATACTCCGACTTCAGGCCATAGCGAGGAGGGTCGGTGAAGGGAATTGGTTCTATTGTGGAGAAGAGATGCGGACCGAGCAGTTGGATGGCAGAGAAGAGTTCTCCACAGCCATAGTGCTGGACCAGCACGAACGCAAGGTAGATGTTGTCGTCCGACACCTTTCTGGGTTTGGTGAAATCCAAGTCTTCCGTTTTGTCGCCAGCGGCTTGAGAGGGAGGCTGTGGTTGGATGAGCAGACAACCAAACCGGAGGTCGAATGCCATAGTGCCTTGCGACACCATTCTGGCAGTTTGCGCCGCAGGGAGGAGTCGGACATTATTGTAGAGATGCCCTGCTAAGGAAGTTGAAACCCTTATGTTAAACGTGTGAAGAGTTGGTGGGCTTACAAGTTTAGTGGAGCTGAGGGATTAGTGGGGAGACTTTGAGAGAGTGGTGTTCCAATCGAGGAGCTGGAGAACGACACGGAATACGGTACGGTCGGATGAGGAAGAGTCTTCGGTCTTGAGAACGTTAGGGCAGATCCGGCTTGGTGTGGATAATGTGGGTGAGACCCACAGCACCACAGGGGACTTGCAACTTGCGAGATTTCAGGTGGATAGTGCGGGTGATACCCACAATACCACGGGAGGCCTTGGGTTGTGGTGGTCTTGAGGAGGGCGGAGTAAACGGAAGAGCTGGTGGCAGCAGAGGTGGTGGTAACGATAGCAGCAGCAGTGACGACAAAGGTGAAGGCAAATGCAAATGCGGTGCTAGGAGCGAAGGAAAGGGTGGAGGCAGTGGAGGTGCTGGTTGTGGTAGTGGTTGTGGTGGTGGTTCTGGTGCAAGCGGTCAGCGAAATCAACTTCGTCCAGATAGGGAAATTAGCACAGCCACCTTGCCTCACTCGCTCTTTCTTCACCAACTCATCCATTGCTTCTGTATGGGGTTTACTCCTGCATCAAGCATCCGTTTTCGAACATTCTGCTTGTAGTTCATGCATGGGGTTTACTCCTGCCTCAACTATTCTTTCTATCTTCACCGACACCTCACATGTTTCGCTGACTTGGAAATGTATGTCGACCACAGACCGCATCGTCTCAGATGCGGTCCTGGAGTGCCATATCACCCTCCTTCACCTTCATTCCTGGTAAAATGGTGCATCATCTGCTCTACATTTTCTCTCCTGTTTAATAACCCTGTTTGGTCCTTCAAATTTTATATATTTGGTGACACCACTCTTCCTTTGTGCACCTGTTTTGCCCAGCCTGCATTTTGCCACCTTCACTAGCCTCAACTGCCTAGACGCCTTTGAGAAAGAAACCTACATTGGGGGTCTTCCTTGCCTAGTGTGATACATACACGATCCTGGATCGCATTTCGCCAAAAGAGAACCTAAGTATTTATGAACTCTGAGGCAAAGAATAACCATGGAGGGACGATCTTCGATCGCACTTCTCTATGAGAACATGATTATTTCAACTGCTGGCAGGTCCAAAAATACTTGTGTCCTCTTTCGGCGAAACACGATCCAGGATCGTGTATACACCCGAGATGACTTCGAGCCCTCGATCTTGAGATGGGTCCAACAGTTCTGATCCAGACTCCCACCTGTCTCCAAGCCATTCCTGGATTGCAAGGTTCATCTCTGATGGTCTGCGCCTGTAGAGTTAGGGATACAGGGGCTATCAGACGCCTGTCTAAATCAGGCTTGACCTGCACCACCAATGCACGGCCCGAACTCGATATCATCACTGGGGGCGCTTGCAGGTCTACCTGCACTGCCGCTGAACTTGCACACCATGGTATGGTGGGTTTACTCACGCTAACCTCTTCTGAAGACCCAGTGAAGCAAGATCCTAGATTGCCGATGTACATGAGATCCCACTGGAAATGTCTTCCACCCTTCAAGGCCTGATCCTGTGGACTTGTACTCACTTGCATGTCCAAGCCGCTCCTGGATCATTCGCTTCTGTTTGCTATCAAACATCTTACATCTTTCTTACATTCATAGGAGTGCAATGAGAGATTGAAATTTGGATGTATGTACATTAGTTCTTTGCTGGCCAAAAATCGAACACATTCTCCCCTATGGTGCTTAGCGGATGATATTCCCGTCTGAACACCCTTGTTCAGTGTAGACCTCAGAGGGTGTCAGCCATCGTGTTGAGCAAGAGGTGAAGTACTAGCTAGACTCTACCTTTTTTAGTATCCTGATGTAGGAGGTTGTCTCCTGGCCACCATTCGGGTTCCTGGTGGTGATGTAGGCGGCGCTGATTTTTGTGACAAGGTTCTTGTCTAGGGCTGGGTGGAACAGGTCCCCCTAACAAGATGGCGAGTGGATGGCAGGCACTGAGAGTAGACACCCTCATGGTATTCAACTATGAGGGCGATCTCAAGGAGTTGGCGAAGGAGGGCCCAGCGTTCATCGCTGAGCAAAAGAGGACTGCGGAATTTATACCACTCTCCCATCTACTCGCAGAGTCTTTCAGCGTTTCATCAACAGGGTTTGGATAGCGTATTCAAAGCTCACAAAGAATTTCCCAAAAATGTGGAAGTAGGTTTTTGCCAGGCCAAGATCCAACGGGTTGCTTGCTAGAAGGTTGGCGATATTCTGCAACTCGTCGCTGAGTGTCTTCATGGAGTACATAGTGGAGAGCATGCTGGGGCAATAGAGGAGGTGCTGGTGGAAGGAAGGGAGCCGAATAACAGGTGTACCCCTCCGTGTTGCAGTTTGATCAAGTTGAATGCGCAATTGCCCGTGAATGTACGTCACAGGTCTGCCACGCAACTCACCAAACACCTTTGGCCCTTCAAAGGGGGGTGAAACAAACTGGCTAGGAGATAGCAGGGTCCTATGATAAGGGAGGCGAAAGAGGGCAGCATGGTTCAAAGGAGAGGGCTGTGAATGAATGGGCTTGTATTAGTGAATAAACTGACAGGATGCATCGTCGTTGAGCTAGTTTTGCGGGATGGGTCTTCAAGAAATCTCAGGCAGGAGTAAACCCCATGTGAGGGCAGTAGTTGGTGACGAGTTTCAGAGGCCACAGCGCCTAAAAGCATCCGAAGCAGGGGTAAACCCCATACGTGGACCGAGTATCGCATGGTGGTAGCGAGAAACAGGAAGGAGGTGAGTGGCTGTGCACCGGTCCAAGTTGATTGCCCCATTCACAGTCAACCATCAATACACCCACTCAACTCAAGCCAGTGACACTTGTAGGTTTACCTACACTGTCGCTGCACTCGCGCATTGTGGTATTGTGGGTTTACTCACACTAGGCACTTTTCCTGGACCTTCAAGCGTCATTCTAACCCTAAGCACCGATGCCAACAACCAAGATGGGCTATGGTGCGAATACAGAGCTGGGAAATGAACCAAAGGTACATCAAAGTCATATTCTCAAACAAAATTCCATACTTACCATGTTATCATCTTTTGGTGAACAAGAGCCTAAGTGCACATGGATGCAAGGCGCAAGGTAATTGTGCTGGAGACGATCTGAAGATTGTCTCTCTGTAGACCAGGACACAAACACTTCAAGTGCTACCGTGCCAACGAGCAGTTGTGCTCTCGTTCACTGAAAGACGATCCAAGATCGCCTTGTGGTTGAGAAGGTAAGTAAGGCATTGTTTCTTGTATGAACAAAGACTTACCCATGCCTTGATCTACCACCAGCCTCCCACTCAACCCGACACCCAATGGCTGACTCCTACCCTCCAACACCATGCCAGATGATAGACATGCATGCAGTGCAGCCTTTCCCCAGCAGAATTTGGGCTAGAATAAGGTAAGCCAGCGGCATTCGCATCAATAACAGAAAGCTTACTTTGGATAGAGAACTCATCTGGGAACAAGTTCTCCCTTGTCATTGCCTCTGTCAACATCAATGTGGGCAGGCAGATAGCACCACTTCAAGGTGAGCCTCTCTTTAGTTCATGAAGGACATTAAACATCACAGTCTCCAAAAGGCGATCTAAGATCGCCTTTCGGTATGTTCATTTGCTTCTCATGCAGCATGTGGAGGTAAGTCAGCATCTTTTTGGAGGAGCTTGCGCACTTACCTCTGGTCAGATGCTGTGAATAGAGTAGACAGAGAGTAGTGGGCTGTGAGATGAGCAGGGCACATTGGAGAAGGAGTCAACATTCAAATATGATTTAAATCTTAGTGATATTTCATGATTCTGCATGTACTCCTGGATTGCTTTTTCATACAAGAGAGCAGAAATGGGGTCTAATTTAAATGTAATAGAAAGTTCTCACTTCTGTATGCACTCCTGGATCACTTTTTATGTAACACTCATGTATCATGTACTTTGTAAACTGTGTGTATCATGTAATAGCAATCCTGGAAATATATGAACATGTTCTCCCTCTGCTCTCTCTGCCCTCTCTTGTCCCTTCCTTGTCCCCCTCTGCCTTCTCTCCTCTCTGCCTGTCTTTCCTCATCCCTCCCTCATCCCTCCCTGCCCTCCCTGCCCTCCCTACAGTCCCTAGGGCCCTAGGGATTTGTCCCTACGGTCAAAAAATCAGCCCATAACCCTAACCTTAACCCCATGACTGCCGTTCGAGTCAGCAGTCGAACTAAGTATAGTGCAAACATCCCGCGCCGCACATCAACTGACATGTGATAAAAATACTAAAGAATGGTGTAAATACAGCGCTCCACACCTTAGTAAGTCGCTCACTCAGCAGAGTGAGTAAATTGCATGATTGGTTAGAATTGCGTGTGGATGAATAATTGTCTGAGTCGTGCTCAGTCATCCATGGATCCACAGTAAGCTCCGTGTTCTATAATGGTCACTGACAAAGCTATAAAGCAGAAACGGTCAGTTGTGGTGAGAGCCCCAACTGTTTGGCCAACAGACGCCCCAAGTCCTCAGCCTTTTGTGCACCTTCACTTCGCTCAGGAGCACCCCCTCCCTAACCCTAAATTAGCACAGCCACCTTGCCTCACTCGCTCTTTCCTTCACCAACTCATCCATCGCTTCTGTATGGGGTTTACTCCTGCATCAAGCGTCCGTTTCCGAATATTCTGCTCGTAGTTCACGCATGGGGTTTACTCCTGCTTCGACTATTCTTTCTATCTTCGCCGACACCTCACATGTTTCGCCGACTCGGAAATGTATGTCGACCACAGACTGCATCGTCTCAGATGCGGTCCTGGTAAAATAGTGCATCGTCTACTCTACATTTTCTCTCCTCTTTAATAACTCCGTTCGGTCCTTTGAATTTCATATATTTGGCGACACCACTCTTCCTTCATGTGCTTGTTTTGCCCAGCCTGCATTTTGCCACCTTCACTAACCTCGACGGCCTAGACGCCTTCGAGAAAGAAACCTACGCTGGCGGTCTTCCTTGCCTAGTGTGATACAAACACAATCCAGGATTGTGTATACACCCGAGATGACTTCGCGCCCTCGATCTCGAGACAGATCCAACAGTTCTGATCCGGACTCCCGCCTGTCTCCAAGCCGTTCCTGGATCACAAGGTTCATCTCCGATGGTCTGCACCTGTAGGGTTAGGGATACAGGGGCCTGTCTAAATCAGGCTTGACCTGCATCACCAATACACAACCCGAACTCAAGATCATTACTGGAGGCACTTGCAGGTCTACCTGTACCGCCACTGAACTTGCACGCCATGGTATTGTGGGTTTACTCGCACTAGCCTCTTCTGAAGACTTTCAAGCTACCTTATAAACGGTGAAGAAGCACCTCGCCCGCCATACCCAATGCAGTTGCTAGTGGTTTCCAATCGTCTCTGATTATATCAGGACGTAACTATTTCAATGGCTGGTGGAACCAAAAATATTTGTGTTCTCTTTCGGCGAAGCACAATCCTAGATCTAACCCCACATCTGGATTTGCCTTCGCGGTGGCAAGAGCCTTCTCCAGGCGCGCTCGAAACCCCTCCCACGTCTCGCCCATCTTCTGTCCAGATCCCGCCTCAATCGGAATTAGCATCGTGTCCTTGGGCGGGGCCTCGCTGCCTTCTTGGAAGCCTTCGCGGTTCCGTGCGCCGTCGTGGGTGAAGGCGACGGGGCTCGGGGTTGGGTCGCGCAGCGCCGCGGTGCTGGATGACGACGTCGGTCCGGTGTACGTGTGAGCGAAGGGAAGGATGGTGTTAGTGAATGGGACTGCGGTTTGCCTGGCGCGCTGGATGAAGTCGGCTGGAGGGAAGTATTCGTCGCGCATCTCCTTGTGGAGGGTCAGCTTGCTGGAGTATTCGGCCTCTAGGCCCCAAATCAACCATACAGGGACCCTTGCCCGAACGAAGAAACAGAGAAGCCCTCCCCAACGCGTGCAGTACGGGTCAAGAAAGCAACCAGGGCGCAGTGCGGCGCTGAAGTCACAGACGATCGACTCTTGTAGATATTGAAGGGCCGTGCGAGGGATAGGGTCGACAGAAAGGTGTGCGAGGTAATTCCAAGCCCGGCTAAAGCACTCATCCTCATAGTGCGCCAACCAGAGGGCGACGGAGAAGGAGCAGAGGCGGACAGGAGCGTAAATGCATCGCGAGCCCGCCTGGCGCAGCGGTACGCGACTTCCTTCTCGCGATGCTCGTGCCGGTACCCGTACTGATGGGGAAGACGGGGGTAGTCGATGTCGGGCATGGCGCGGTAGGAGAGGTGGCCTTCGAGGAGATTCTTGGTGACCTGTAGCAACAGGTTCTCCAACGACGCCCACTTCTCCTGGATCGCGAAATCGAGAAAGAAAGAGGGCGGGCTCTTGCTACTTTGCTTTATAGCGGCATCGAGATCGTCGTTGCTGACGGCGAGGACGCGGAAGAGGAAGCCGTAGTCGATACGCCGGCGTGGATAGAAGGCAAGGAAAATGTTGTCGTCCATGACGCAGCGAGGGTAGTGGTAATCGTGAGCGTGCATTGAATCATGCCTCGCGGTCGTTGTGAGAGGCAGGCCTCGGCCAAACGGAGAGACGATGAGCCCGCTCTGGTTGTGCCAAATCGCCACCTTGTAGACCTCGGGAAGATGAGGGCGGTTTTCGGAGGACATGCTGTGGACAGAACGGAACATGAGTGTCGTTTGGAGGGCACAGAGTTGAGATCGAAGCCGTACCTGGACGGAGGGCCAACAGCGACGAAGGAAGGAAGGAGTTCGAGGAGGGGTTATCACAACTACGTCTAGCCATACACTGGCATGTTAGATTTAGAAGAAAACATCAGCTAAGAGTGGAGACGCACCTCAAGTTGGGCAGAAGCGGCGGGGACGACGTGAGGCGAGTACCTTTGAACGGAGCAACTGTGAGGCAATGGGATCGAGGACGCGGCCACAGAGAGGTACGAGCTTACCGCTGCGACAGCGACTAGGGCGCGTGGGCTCAACGACAACGAAAACCAGACGACGGAGTCAAAGGCACAACCGCAATCCGAAGATACCTTCGGATTGACGTTCGTCCCCTGGACCCAGACGCGAGGAACCCACTAGTCAGAGGTACCTCTGACTAACTGGTCCCCTGCGGTGCGATGGCGGCGGAAGGTCGGAGCGTGGTGGCGATGGGCGGTGGTGGCGTCGATGTTGGTGTCGATGTTGGTGTTGGTGTTGGTGGTTGAAGAAGAGAAACGAAATCGAAATCAAGTTTGAACATCGCCATCACGAACAAACAAATAAGCTTATCTTATCTCTCCTCCGGGCTCCTCTGCCCGCCCCTTGTGTCGTTCACCCCCGCCCCATGCCAGAGGTTCCTCTGGCATGGGTCATCGAGTGGATTACGAGCATCTTAGCCACTCGTATGAGAGACGCGTCTGACATTGCCGACTTCGCGGGTAAGTCTGTTGCCTGTTTTGGTCGTGCACATCGAGCCTCGCGTCGCCTCCAACCTCCGTCCTTCTGCTCGTTAGCGTCCTCGTGCCAGGGCATGCTCGGGCACGGAACGATCCGACGCAGGGGGCGGAAACTTAAGCCGTTAGAGACGTCTCGTTTGTGTTCTACAGAGGGCCAGAGGTGAGTTGACGTTCGTTGATGTTCGTTTCGTTTATGGATCTGTCCTAACATCCTCCTACCACCTTCCTCGAAGCATCTGCCGTGTGCCAGAGGATCCTCTGGCATCGGACGTCGTCTTCGTGGATTTCGAGCGGCGTAGCTGCTCGCATACGCTGCCCTTCGCAAACGAACGGTGAGTCCGCTCCGCCTCCATCTCTGCCTTGCTCATCCGATGCATTCGTCCAGCCCGACACCGTCTTCCATCGTGCCAGCTCTGGTTCTATGCTCCGGAAGAAAGCTGCGCCGTTTATTGGTGCCTGCAATTCCTTCGGTCTCTTTCCCCAACGCTGTATACCATTTACACCACACCTGTCAAAGTTCGTCAACGTCTTCATCACTCCAGACATCGTATTGAACACGTGAGGGGTATTATCCGATGGTGCCAAGGCTTGCTTACATAAAAGTCTAATTTCATCATTGTCGGACTTTAGATTGTCGGACTTTGGATGGAGATGGGCAGTGTGCCACCCCACCGATGTTGTTCCCCGTCTTTCCACAACCACGACCGCTCTCCTCACCGAAAGATGGAGCAGCTCCAACTAAAGTGTTTCTATCCAGCTCAAAAGCCTCGTACAGTTGTTATTCCTAACTGCAAAGATGCATGCGTTGCACAGCTGTTGGAGGAAATCCACGGGAAGCTCAAACAGCGGATCCCCGAATTCAAGGTGGCCATGGACGACCTCTCCCTCTACAAGGTAGGCCTCCTCGCTCTGGAGCAACAATCCAATTAACTCTTAGCAGGCGGATCTCCCATCGAACCCCTATGAAGACCTGGATGGCCGTGCACGCCAATGGATCCTTGATCATCAGAGCGACGAACTCCATCCCCAGATGGACATTAACGAGCTCTTCCAGAGTCCGCCATCTCAAGGCATAACTCATATCTTGGTCGCCGATCCCGAACGTGAGTGCTCTCCCCCTGACGCTCATCCCCTCCTTGACCTCTTCACGTCTTCAGTCCGGCATGAGCTCGCCATGCAACCTCATACCTCGCCCGTAGGCGAAGCCTATGAGCCATTCGTCCTAAACATGTCTAAACGAGGCGCTTTCCGCACAGTGGATGTCGGCAATAATGGCGTTCGCGAGGAGGCCAACGCCAACCTCGGTGCAACAATTCTAGAGGCGTTGGGCATGCTCCAAACCAACCGTTGCCTCACGGCGGATGATATAACTGGCGCGGTCGAACAATGTTTGTTTTCTTCTCCTAATGTAGTTCCCTTCATTGCTGAAGCGAGTTCGAAGTCCTGGACAACATGCAAACGATGTGGCCCCACCTTTCTCGGGCACGCACCACCCAGCAACCCAGCAGAGAAACAGCCATCTCGTCAGTTGCCGCTTTGAACGATGCCTTCTCGGGCCTTCATGAACCCAACATCCCAGTCCCCAATGAAAGCACCCGCATCCAGTTTCGCCCTCGATATATCGTCGCACCTGTCTCGGATTCTCTCACGGACCGGTGCCGTCCCACAGAGATCGGTCATCTTATGCAGGTGATGTTCGCCCAGTTCGACAAGGTGCTGGGTGGAGGCGACAAGGAAACCTATCGCGAAATCTCCGCCAATGCCTCCGTCTTCGGCGCTTTTGGGCACGGCTTGATCAAGCGCGATGACTTCAGGTGTGGATAGTGAGTTCGTCTTTCCGATCTCCAGCCTCCTTCAACTGAGGTGCATTATCAGTGCTTACGACCCTTGGCCGTTCAAGCTTCTCACCAAAGTCCGAAATGAACACTACTCCTACCGCCCGAGGAGCGATTTTTACTTCGCATACGCCAATTTACCCAGGTTCCTTGCGGAAGTCCAGTCAGAAGAGGACAAAAGCGACCGTATCCGCATGTTCCTTCAAGCAGCGGTCGTCGTGAGGTTTGCAAACAGCCGTTTGGAGCAGTACAAGGAGAAAAGGGACTTCTTTGTCGTGACAGCCTATATCGACAAAAAAGGAAGTCTGGAACGAAGGGTTTTCTATCAGGATCCGAAAAGTTCAAACACTGAGAATACGGTGCGCGAGGCCCTCTTGCTGCATACGCATGCGTCCTAACGCACCCTATAGGTCAAATACACGCGCCGTCTCTGGTATCATCTCACCAAGAAGGAAGACATCTTGTCATTTCTCTGCGAGCTGTACAACCTGGCATCGTGGGCAGAGTCGCCAGCGGATGCTAACAGCATAGAGAATGAGGTGCAAGGGCTGAAAGAAGCGTTCGACGACGCCGCAGACGATCCGAACATCGAGGCATGGACGGCCAAAAAAACCCGTACCCGTAAGGAGCCGGACGGTGGATTCCAAGAGGGAGATCGACCCAACCAGCGACCGAGAGGCGGAAACCGTGAGGATGAAGGCGGGCCTGTTGAGCAGCTAGAGGCGTTGGGATACCGGGTTGAAGCCTCTGTCTTCAAGGGTGAGGGCGGAGAAACGTGGACAAAGATAAGCTCAGTACGAAGGTCTTTTGGTTCTCCTGCATTCTATCTCACCGTTTCCTTTTTGCAGCCGCTGCCACCTACAATCATGACCGTGTATAGAAGGTCGGACGTTGGAAGCACGAGGCCTTTAATCGCCAAACAAGTTCGCAAGCCATCGCAGGAGCTTGAGATTCTACAGCGCCTCCGAGCCCAGAGCTCACCATCCCAGTACATCGTCGCCCTCTTCCACCATGCCGCTATTGGCGATACGACGTACCTTATCTTCCCGAGACTGGACCCTATCAGCGAAGAATCTCTGTGCGACGGCAGGATCCAGCAGCCCTGCCAGAGCCTAGTTGCAGGCGTTGGGTACCTCCACAAGCACGGAGTTGCCCATCTCGATCTGAAACCCGACAACCTCCTCTACGACGCCCGCACTAGGGAGCTGAAGATCATCGACTTCGACATCGCCGTGCTAGTTGAGGACGAGGAGCAGGAGGTCGAAGGGTACCGCGGTACAAAAGGTTGGACAGCGCCCGAGGTTCGTGATGGACAGAGGTATAGTGCGATCCGGGCTGATCGGTGGGCCTGCGGTCGCATTCTCAAGTGGTTTCTTCGGTATACAGGCAGCGGAACTGCCCTCTGGAATCTTGCGCGTCAGCTGCTGGCGGAAAGCCCCCGCGATCGACCGTCGCTCATCGGGTGGTGTCAGGCTGATTCTGGAGTGCTGGGCAAGACACCGAGATGCGCCGGCTTCGACAACGGTCCGTTGCCCCCTTTGAAAAAAGTGTGTGTCAGATGATGAGCCGGCCCGCTCCCTGCCCTTGGTAAATCCATTTTTTCAACCTTCGTTATCGCATTTCTGTGTTCCCCTCGATCCCCAACGCCTCTCACATCACGCCATACAGGGTATCCCGTCCTTTGTAAACTACTGTTCTTACGTACGCTTTTTTTCAATGAATTTCTCAACGGTCGCTGATACCCTAACGAACACTCGGAACGGCGAAGTCCGTTCCGTGTGGCCTTGCTCATCCGATATGATGTATTGGGTGATGCAGTCGGCTACGATATCTGCCCCTTGTGGGTAGTCTTGAGCCAAAACCGGCAGTTCCTGGATAACCACCTTGGAGTTGGGACTGGACGAACGAGCTGAAAAATGCCGCCGAAAGCTAGCATGGTCACGGTGGTGAATAGCTGCAGCCGGCGGTGCTGGCGGACTGCTGATAGTAAGGGTACGGGGCGGGAGGCGGAGGCGTTGAATAGGTAGGCCCGCGATACCGTGGCTAGCCGTAATATGGCTAAGAGAAAAGAAACATCGAAAATCAGACGTGCTGGGGCTGAAAATTAGGCAAGCTCAGAGGATCACTGAAGAACGTTTTAATTGTCGACCAAGAAGTTTTCATAACGAAAGTAAGGAGGAGGGGCGTGCAATGGGACGTGTATATACTCTATCGGTTCTATAGGAAATAACGTGAGTTTACTAAGCCTCGTGAGTCCCTTCTGCTATCGAACGAGGCGTTTGGCCGTCAGCTCCTCATTTTCCACCTCTGTCGCGTGCTCAAAATGGGCCTCGTCGGTCCCAGAGAACATCGCGAGCGGGTCGTGGGGCCCAAGGGTGGTGATGACGCAGAGGCCGGGGTTAAATAAGGCGTCGGCGAAGATGTTGGCTGGGCAGTTCCTTTGGACGTCGGCGGACCATTGACGAAGGTCATCTAGGACCTTAGCCGTTGCAGAGCTTCCGTGTGTGGTGCTTGGAACGCCTGTATGAGTTTGTTATCATTTCAAGGCGACGCCCTGGAATAAAAAGGCATACCGCCGTATTCTTATCGCAAAGCAGGCCTTTGTTATTGGAGGTTGTGAAGTTTTCAGGTAGCTTTCGAACGCCTCATCAGTCCACATTCCATACGTCAAATGGGAGGAGCGTACCGTTTCCCCTCTCTGTTCGAAACCCCGACATCTAGCCTCGAAATGCCCGGGTCTACGGTCACCGCATCCTTTTCGGTGGGTTGTGTAGCAGGAGGTCGGCCCTATCGAGTGCGCCAGTGGCAGCGGCGACGACAGCGGTCCAATCTTCACCCTTCAGAGCATGCGGCGGCGGGCCGCGTCGAGCGCCAGCCTGCAGAGGCTCCATTAGCGGATGATCCCAGCGTAGAAATGGGCCTCGTCCCGAGTAGAGGAGAGGCGGGAGCGGTGTCGACTGAAAGCCGCGATCCACAGGGTCGGGTTCGCGCCGCCAGTCGATACCGACTTGCCACCAGATACAAAAAGGCGACTTGCAGCTAGCAGCACGGTCCACAAGGTCGGGTTCGCGCGAGAGGCAGAGGCGCGGTCGAAGGATGAAGCTAGGGGCACACGTACCGGGCATGTCGACGTAGGGAGGGGTCCGAGCAGCTGGGTGTCTTGGGAGTAGATAGAGGGCGCCCAGGATCGAGCGAAGGGGGCTGATGGACATGCAGCGGAGGCACTGCTGCACAGGTGTCGAAGGAGGGGAGGGAGTAAAGTGCGCGGAGAACGGACGTGGCATGGAGCATGCCCCAGGTCCCGCCTGTTCTCTGCACCAGGAACACAATGCTACTGGAGAAAACCTCCAGAAGCACTGCGTCCTGCGGGGTATTGGTACTAGGAAGAGTGTGGGTGGGTGAAACATGTTCGTGCAAAGGCACGAGATTCAAATAAGACCACATACGGGAATCTTATCGCGCTGACCAACAGTATATTATCTTATCTCACTGACGTCAAAGAAACAAATGTACCCATCTTATCTCTGTGTCGTTCACCCCCGCCCCATGCCAGAGGTTCCTCTGGCATGGGTCATCGAGTGGATTACGAGCATCTTAGCCACTCGTATGAGAGACGCGTCTGACATTGCCGACTTCGCGGGTAAGTCTGTTGCCTGTTTTGGTCGTGCACATCGAGCCTCGCGTCGCCTCCAACCTCCGTCCTTCTGCTCGTTAGCGTCCTCGTGCCAGGGCATGCTCGGGCACGGAACGATTCGACGCAGGGGGCGGAAACTTAAGCCGTTAGAGACGTCTCGTTTGTGTTCTACAGAGGGCCAGAGGTGAGTTGATGTTCGTTGATGTTCGTTTCGTTTATGGATCTGTCCTAACATCCTCCTACCACCTTCCTCGAAGCATCTGCCGTGTGCCAGAGGATCCTCTGGCATCGGACGTCGTCTTCGTGGATTTCGAGCGGCGTAGCTGCTCGCATACGCTGCCCTTCGCAAACGAACGGTGAGTCCGTTCCGTTTCCATTCTGTGTCCCTTGTTCATTCCATCGATTCCTCCAGCCCCGACACCGTCTTCCGCCATGCCAGAGGGTCCTCTGGCATGGAACATCGTCTTTGTGGATTTCGAGCGGCGTAGCTGCTCGCATACGCTGCCCTTCGCAAACGAACGGTGAGTCCGCTCCGCCTCCATCTCTGCCTTGCTCATCCGATGCATTCGTCCAGCCCGACACCGTCTTCCATCGTGCCAGCTCTGGTTCTATGCTCTGGAAGAAAGCTGCGCCGTTTATTGGTGCCTGCAATTCCTTCGGTCTCTTTCCCCAACGCTGTATACCATTTACACCACACCTGTCAAAGTTCGTCAACCGTCTTCATCACTCCAGACATCGTATTGAACACGTGAGGGGTATTATCCGATGGTGCCAAGGCTTGCTTACATAAAAGTCTAATTTCATCATTGTCGGACTTTAGATTGTCGGACTTTGGATGGAGATGGCCAGTGTGCCACCCCACCGATGTTGTTCCCCGTCTTTCCACAACCACGACCGCTCTCCTCACCGAAAGATGGAGCAGCTCCAACTAAAGTGTTTCTATCCAGCTCAAAAGCCTCGTACAGTTGTTATTCCTAACTGCAAAGATGCATGCGTTGCACAGCTGTTGGAGGAAATCCACGGGAAGCTCAAACAGCGGATCCCCGAATTCAAGGTGGCCATGGACGACCTCTCCCTCTACAAGGTAGGCCTCCTCGCTCTGGAGCAACAATCCAATTAACTCTTAGCAGGCGGATCTCCCATCGAACCCCTATGAAGACCTGGATGGCCGTGCACGCCAATGGATCCTTGATCATCAGAGCGACGAACTCCATCCCCAGATGGACATTAACGAGCTCTTCCAGAGTCCGCCATCTCAAGGCATAACTCATATCTTGGTCGCCGATCCCGAACGTGAGCGCTCTCCCCCTGACGCTCATCCCCTCCTTGACCTCTTCACGTCTTCAGTCCGGCATGAGCTCGCCATGCAACCCCGTTCCGTCCCCTTGGCCCCAGAGTACGAACAATTGATCATGACCACGTCTGCTCGAGGCCAAGTTACACTCCAAGATCTGGAGGACAACGGCATCGTTGAGGAGAGCAGCCCGGATTCGCGCATTGTGGAGTTCCAGGGCATGCTCGAAACCCCCCCTCGCTATGAAGGCGTGGACTTGTTCAAATACGGTCTGCTCTTCCTCTCCAAATGCAGCTTCCCTCATTTCTGAAACGAGTCCGAAGTCGGGAGATATCTTCGAGACCTTCAAAAGACACCCTCCTCAAGCCCTCAGCCTCAGGTGGGCGTCGTCCCAGCCACTGAAGACCTCTGCGCACTCGGTCTGTGCCTCCTCCCCTCACCCAGTTTCCTTTGTTGCTGAGACGAGTTCAAAGGACGCAAGTTTATTTCCACCCGTGCCCTTCCGTACTTTCCCTCAGTCCCCAACGACAGCACCAACTCGGACCCCAACGACAGCACCAACCCGGACCCCAACAACGGCACCGCCCCTAACGGGGGCTCTAATGCCAGAGAGTGCAGTCTCCAAGAGATCGCTCATGTCCACCATGTGCTATTCTGCGATTTTTCCCAAAAGCTGGGCGCGGGGGAGAAGGGCCACTATGGCGAACTCCAAGCCTATGCGGCGGTGTTCTCCCCTTTTGGATACAGCTTGGCTGCCTTCAGGGCCTTCCAAATTGGGTAGTGCGTCGCTCTTTCGAAATTTCGGGTCCCTTTAGCTGACGTTCGCTGTTTAGCCACAGGACCGACTGGCCGTTCAGTATTTTCATTAAAACCGGCCGCGTACTCTACTCCTACAAGCCCCGAAGCGATTTTCAATTCTCACCTGCTACTTTTCCCGTCTTCCTTGCAGAAATCCAGTCGCAGACGAATATGAAGGACGACAACCGCATGAAACTTCAAGCAGCGGCCCTTCTTAGATTTGCAAACGGGTACTTGAAGAAGCACAAGGAGAACAAAACCTTCTTTCTCGTGACGGCGTACATCAATTCGAAGGGGATTCTGGAACGAAGGATTTTCTATCAGGATCAGGATCAGGGGCCGAGCATGAAGGTGTGTGAAGCCTCTTCGTCGCAATAAGCATACTTTCTAATATGCCCTAGGTCAAATACACCGCAGCTAAAGCCTTCGAACTCACCGAGAAGCCCAGTCACCTATCGTTCCTCTGCGAGCTGTACAACCTCGCATCGTGGGCGGCGAAGAATGTTTTGGGCAATAACGCCCAAGACGAAAAAGTTCAGATACAGGCGCTCGACGAGGCGCTCAGCAAGAAGCCGCCCCTCGAGGGGTGGACGAGCACAAAAAAAACCTCCCGAAAGGCGCCGGATGGTGGATTCGAGGGAGAAGGGCGACCAACCCAGCGAGCGAGAGGCGCCGGAGGTGCTGGGGATGAGTCCCAGCTTGCTGAGCAGCTGGAGGCTTTAGGATACCAGGTGGAGCCTCTCGTCTTCGAGGACGCCTCTGGAGTGTGGGAGCGGTTGGACCAGGTACGAAGACCTTCCGGTTCGCCCACATTCTATCTCACAATCACTTTTTTTCAGCGACAGCCGTCTACAATCAGGACTGTGTATGAACAGTCAGACGTTGAGCGCACGAACCCCTTGATCGCCAAACGAGCTCGCAAGTCGTCACAGGAGCTCGAGATTCTACAGCACCTCCGAGCCCAGAGTTCACCATCCCAGTACATCGTCGCCCTCTTCCACCATGTCGCTATTGGCGATACGACGTACCTTATCTTCCCGAGCCTGGAGCCTATCAGCGAAGAATCTCTGCGCGGCGGCAGGATCCAGCAGCCCTGCCAGAGCCTAGTTGCAGGCGTTGGGTACCTCCACAAGCATGGAGTTGCCCATCTCGATCTGAAACCCGACAACCTCCTCTACGACGCCCGCACTAGGGAGCTGAAGATCATCGACTTCGACATCGCCGTGCTAGTTGAGAACGAGGAGCAGGAGGTCGAAGGGTACCGCGGTACAAGAGGTTGGACAGCGCCCGAGGTGCGCGACGGACGGAGGTATAGTGCCGTCCGGGCTGATCGGTGGGCCTGCGGTCGCATTCTCAAGTGGTTTCTTCGGTATACAGGCAGCGGAACTGGCCGGGGCCTCTGGAATCTTGCGTGTCAGCTGCTGGCGGAAAGCCCCCGCGATCGACCGTCGCTCATCGGGTGGTGTCAGGCTGATTCTGGAGTGCTGGGCAAGACACCGAGATGCGCCGGCTTCGACAACGGTCCGTTGCCCCCTTTGAAAAAAGTGTGTGTCAGATGATGAGCCGGCCCGCTCCCTGCCCTTGGTAAATCCATTTTTTCAACCTTCGTTATCGCATTTCTGTGTTCCCCTCGATCCCCAACGCCTCTCACATCACGCCATACAGGGTATCCCGTCCTTTGTAAACTACTGTTCTTACGTACGCTTTTTTTCAATGAATTTCTCAACGGTCGCTGATACCCTAACGAACACTCGGAACGGCGAAGTCCGTTCCGTTTCCGTTTCCGTTTCCGTTTCCGTTCCGTGTGGCCTTGCTCATCCGATATGATGTATTGGGTGATGCAGTCGGCTACGATATCTGCCCCTTGTGGGTAGTCTTGAGCCAAAACCGGCAGTTCCTGGATAACCACCTTGGAGTTGGGACTGGACGAACGAGCTGAAAAATGCCGCCGAAAGCTAGCATGGTCACGGTGGTGAATAGCTGCAGCTGGTGGTGCTGGTGGTGCTGGCGGCAGCGTGCACGACGTCGCGGATGTGGAGGTAGTTGTAACATTCGTCGTATGGGAGGATAACGGCTTTGCCGTGGAGGGACTCGCCCGCGTGCTTATTAGAGGAAAGGAGCATGTTTGGAGTCTCTCATATGCCGTTCGCGAAGCGCTCGCGAGAGTCTACTTTTCCCAGGCAGATCTGACGTACTGAAATACGCAGGCGAGCGGAGACGATCCTGGAGCGCCATTTCGCAGTAAGCTATCCAATGCATAGGCGCACGTCTACCCACCTCTGTTTCTATTTCTCTCCTTACCTTGTCCGAGCCCCGTTCCGCGCCCTGCGCTGTTAGTAGCACGGTCGATAGTTTATCATACGCATCTAAATCCAATTTATATGAATGGGATTGCGATTGAATGAGACACGGAGGCGATCTTGGATCGCCAATCGTTGTACCCCGTACGTGAATTCTGACGAATCTATTTTGCACATGCGTACGCTAGCATCTGTTTACATATATACGAATTCCTACCTCTCTGTCCAGTCTCCAGCCTCATGCTACTTCGTTTTCTGTGCGGTTGTCGATTGAACGTATAGATTTCAATGCTCTTGCAATTGGATGCCCGGAGGCGATCCTGGATCGTCAGTTGTGAAAGCATTCCGAATTCACGCATCAAGCCATGTGCGTGTGTTTCTTCCAAGATGCTTTCGCAGAGAAGTGAAGGGGCGTTCGAACGGACGTCTGGCGGGCCCAATATTAAAACCGTAGTTTTATCTAATTGAAACAGTGGCTGCGCCACACCCCTCTCAACGTCTACGCGGGTGTTGTGGGTTTGTTCGCAATCCCCGCAGCAAGCATTCAGCCGCAAACCCCCTCAAAAACTTGCCACTGGTCTCCGTGTACCCAGCCGCCACCGTGGTCTCTGGCGATCCTGGATCGTCTCTTCTGGTGAGTTTTATCCTTGCTCCTTCTCGGTCTTTTCAACGTACGAACGGCACATCGTTTCCAGTCGACGTATACAGACCAGTGGAGGCTGGAAGGGGAGTATATGACAAAGGATAGAACGGACGGAAAATGGAAATGGCCTATGAAAGGAATAAAGGCTGTGCGGAGGGTGAGATCTACGGGCGGAATGGAGACGGAGCGGCGAGGGAGCGGACGATAAACCGAAGAAGCAGGAGAAGCAGACATTACGGGGCGGTGCATGGATGTGAAACAATATGATGCAGAGGGGGCCATGGACACGAAACTATACGACACGGAGCAGGGCACGGACATGAAACTATACGACATGGAGTGGGGCACGGATGCGAAACGATGCGATACGGAGTGGGCCGTGGACGTGAAATGATACGACACGGAGCAAGGCATGGAGGCGAACCTCGCACGAAGAGTGGTGCACGCGGGGCATGGATGGAAAACAATACGATACAGACAGGGAAATACACAGGCGATCGTGGAACGCAAAAGGAGCTGTGGACGGGTTAGAGACCGAGGGGGGACAGCATTGAGAAGACTACGCACCGGCCCATAGTTAATAAACATCTACTCCCACTCGGGCTGGAGAGCCACGTACGGGTTTATTAGAATTCGTGGGGCAGGGTCCTTCACTCCAAGGCCCCTGAATTTGTTGGAGTTTTTGTCGATCTTCGTCCACCATCGACTGGGCCGCAGGGATCCAACGTAGCCCACAAAACTTTTTCCACAACTCCCGCCAGATGGCGTCCACCGTCGGCGTCAGCGTTCGTGCCCTCAGGTTCTCCCACCGAGGGTAGTATGTCGTCTGGAGGTAGTTTTGGATCTTGCCTCTCTTGACCTTTGCTTCCTTGGGGGGAAAAAGGTGCTTGAATGCCGCGAGCCAATCGCTGTGTTCCGCCTTCCGCCATTGAACGTCTCGAAAGTAATGTGAGAGGACCAGGTCCTCGTACGTCGCCTCGTTGACGAGCTTTCGATCTCTTGGAGAAAGGATGCAATAGGGCGGCGTAGTGGCATCTCGGTGAGGTCGAGAAGGAACTGGTACCAGATCTCGGTCACGACCACGTCGATGTCGAGGTCCTTCATACGATTTCCCTCAGCCAACAGCAGGTCGTCAAGCAGCTCCACATCCAACTCGTCTCCGTTGACATCAGGGATGGGTGGAAGGGTATAGCCCCTAGCCGCAAAGTCGAAGATGAGTTGCTGAGGAGCCTGGCCGTGGTTGACAAACGTGGTGGTCTTCTTCCGGTTCTCTGTACGGTTGGTATTTCGTGGCTTCACGACTCGCGAGCAAAGTATCATGTGCATGACCTCGTCTTCCTCCATACCATATATAAACCGGACGGCCTGGTCGTTAAGGAAGGAAACGGCCCATCCGAGGCGGGGCACTGGGACAGTATGAAGGGGCCGAAGGAAATGCATGCCGTACGGGTGGAACGGCGTTTTCTCTGGAAGAGGCTGTCTATGGAGGCGTTGGCGAGCCTCCAGACGTGCCTCCACCTCTTGTACGAACTCCTGCTCCTCCTCGTCACCCTCTGCGTCGCCTGCTGGAAGCAGCTCAGGGATGTCGTTGTCTCCTTCTTCCTCGGCGGCCTCCTCCTCCTCTGCTGTCGGCATGGTTGTACGCGTGTTGTATGCTAGCGTATTTGGATCAGCGTTCTCCCGGTCCACAAGGGGGAAGATAGCATTCATGAGCTGGCGATATGACGGACCATCGTCGGGCGCAGAATGAAGCCCATTAGGGCTGCTCAATTCTCAGATCGTTCGTTCGTTCGCTCATCAGTTCGTCGCTCCCACACGGTCTGGGCAGCCAAGGAAACCCGAGGTAAGGCACCAGTGATATATTTGGAAGGATGCCGAGTCGGCTGATTTCATACTCCGCCCCACGAGAACCTTGTCGCCGAACCTTCGCACTTGGGTGTACGTACACAACGCGTCGACGCGCCAGGCTACCCCATACTCTGTTGTTCACCGCGAAACCTTCACTCTTTTTTAATTATCACATACCTCATTAATACTATGTCAGAGTAAGGAATTGCTTGGATGCATGCTGTATATTGCCTCTAAAATCCTGTCCTAACAGCTATTATACCCCACCATATAATTTCTACGACTTGGACCACCAGGATCCCTACGACGTGCAGGAGCATTCCAGGATGGTTAACATGGAGCCCATATCTTTCATGGCCTTAATGGATGATGTAAGGATACCTCTCCTTTGCATTTTTTTCCATGTTTTCATGTCTTGAAGGCTCTCCGAGTCAATCCTCTCCTGAATTTGCAAGTACATCCAGAGGGACCAACCAAGCAAAATGTCCCTCCTTTCCCACCTGAGCGCAACCTCCAACCAGCGGGGCAACTGTACCCTGGGCCTGGTGCTGCTGTTCTGGAAGATCCAGATGACATTTACTGGCCACCTACTCCGCCGCGGCCAGCAGCAGTGCAGCATCACCAAACATCGCTCGCGGCAATAACCAATGCTGCCCCTGCCTCACCAATAATACAGTCTGCCCCAGCTGCAGCGACTCCAACCACACCCAAGACAGGGAAACGCAAGGCAGCGGCGAAAGCAGGCGATGACATTGACAAACGACTGCGACACTCCGACGCTGAAAGTGTGGGCAAGGAGAACGATGCCGAAACCCCAGGTCGAGGTCAACCAAGCAAGGGTGCTGGCGCACGCTCAAAGAAAAAGCCTACCACTACGAAAGGCACCAAACAAGCGTCGACCACCGACAAACCAGAAAGCAAAAATGACAAGCCTACGAAGTCAGATACGAAAGTTGTCAAGCCCGAAGAGTACTCTGACACTGTCATGGCGGCGACTCGACTCTGGTCTGACGACGACCAGGATGCCCTCTTCAAGTTTATCCTTGGTCCAGAGTCAGATGACATCTTTGAGACGTTCAAGAAAAACCGTCCGTATGTCTTCAAGAAGGTACGTGTTCTATTCCATATCTACATCCTCAAAGGATCAAAGGCTTACATACTCCCTTAGGCATTCAAGCAACCCAAGAACCGCCATTCTGAGGGCTCAATTAAGTCCTTTTGGGATCGTGCGCTCAAGACGTTTGCATGGATAGAACAGGTTGAAAAGTTCACTGGTGGTGGAGGAGATGCCGACATTGATGACCTCGACGAAGACCAAAAGCTGATCCACTATACGGAGAAGCTTGAGGCAGTGCGAGGCGCACGGCAGGAGGTTGGTAGCCTCCAAGCAAAGACCATTATTAAATGGCAGGAGAAAAAGTGGTATGATCTCTTTGTCTCTCGGTACGTTGTCTTTGTAGCCTCCAAGGTTTGAATCTGACTGATTCAATCAGGTACCGCGGAAACCCAAAAATTTCTCGTGAAGTCGAACGCCATTCGGGCATGGCTCTCTCTGACTCCAGTGACGAGGAGAAAGACCCTAAGGATGATGGTAAGGAGGAGAACAGCAAGGTCAGCGAGCCGAGGCACACCCCAGCCCGAGGCTTCCATGTCGATGCGTCGAAATCACTTACACAGATCTCGGAGTACCTGCAGTCGAAGGGAATGGCTGACAAGCAGCGCCTTGGTGTTCTTGAACAGCGTATTGAACTCGATGACAAGAGGTTGGAGCTCGACCGTGAGCGTGAACTCCGGACGGCCCGTGAAGCTCAAGCTCGCCTCAATGAGGAGGTGAAGAAGAATCGCTTTGAGATGGCAAGATCTATTGTCGGGATGCAGACACTTGCCAATAGTCAACTTGACCCACAGGTGGCTGATGCAGCAAACAAATTTCTTCTCAAACAGTTTGCAGACTAGATATTTAAACATTCTTTCCCCATGATTGCGATACCCCCCGGCATTCTTTACACATATTAGCTTCATCCCCTACTCTACAATGATCACTTGCTTATAATACCTAATGTCTTTATACCCCTCATATATACTTATTATGGAATCAATAAATCGAGTAAATATTGGTGCTTTTGCTGGCCAGCCACCTTGAGCCAGTTTTCGGTCTCATGCACAGGGATATGTGCGGGCACACCAATGGCCTCGCCAACCACCTCGTCAGCATCGTCTTCAGTGTCTTCTACCACACCTATGGGTAAAGGATCATCACGTGAATCAAAATCCCAAATAGCCTCAGGCTGGTCGTGATACTCGACACAGAGATTGTGGATGATCATCAAAGCCTCAATGGCTTTATAGCATTCCTGGATGTCAGTATGCTGCCCGAATTCCTTGAGTGAAGGAAAGCGCCCCTTGAGCATTCCGAAGACATGTTCAATGTCAATCTGAACAGAAGATAGGTGTTTGTTGAACTGGCGCATGCGTGATTTCAGGGCGGGTGCTGCTTTTGAGATCTCCGTCTCATCAAAAGGGCGGACAAGCCACGGAGAAGAAGGGTAACCTGTAACTTGTATGAGAACATGGACAAGGTAAGAGCAAGAGAGATAAGAGGACCTTTATCAGCGAGAATATAGTAGCCCTCCTTAAACAGCTGATGACGATGCTTCCAGATGAAAGAATTCTTCCATACCCGCACATCCGGCACTGAACCTGGCCATCCCAGCTCGTAGGAGGTGATTCTGCATTCATGGTCAACAGTAATCTGAACATTTGTCTACCAAGCAAGTCATTAAGAGAGCAACAAAAATTGTCAATAAATACTCACACCAAAAGCCTTTTTCTGAGAGAGATATACATGACCATTGACAATGGGCTCCTCAGTAAACTTTACGAGACTCCCATCACCACTCCCGACACAACCGGGGAAGCCAGATTTGTTTTTGATGTCGTTGGCAATGACTTCTTGACAAGAGTGCGACGGAAAAGTAGCGCTACAGTGTTTCTGTCCCATGCACCGGCATGCCTTTGAAACACGTCTACAGTAGGTGAAGACAGTTCCGTGGCCAATGGACAACTTCCGTGCAGTGTCTATTGAGTCGCATCCATGCATACCATAACGGACGAGGAAGCAGCCAAGTTGATACTTGATATGGCGCTGTGGCTTCCTCCCCTTGGATACAAAAATTGGGTTGAGGGCTAGCATTGAAACCAGGCGGTCAAACATATCACGACTCAAGCTATCAAAATTCTCAGTCATGTATAGGAGTATTAATCAGAGGGTATAACAGGTGCACCGAAACATCTGACGGAACCATCGATCTGGACTTCGCAGCGCTGCTGAAAAAAAGTCAATTGACTTTGGTATTTGGTTGTATGGTCCCTGTGTCCCATCCCCAGAAAAAGCATGAAAGACCAGGAGCCAGTTGACCGCAGAGAGATCTTGATGTATAGATCTAGGTAGTCCTTTCATGAATAGATCGGCTAAGTTGTCGTACGTGTTGATGTACACAAGATTGAGCGTGCCATTCTGTACGAGATCACGGAGGAAATGAAGCGTGATGTTGATGTGCTTCGTGCGTGCATGAAATTCCGGGTGGTGTGTGATAGAAACGGTGGCCTGGTTGTCCGAGAAGATTGTCGAGGTCGTTGGTAAGTCAATTCCAAGTTCTGTGAACAGAGAACGGTGCCACAGGACTTGTTTTGCGGCATGAGTAGCAGCTACATACTCCGCTTCCGCGGTTGAGAGTGCTACCGTGGTTTGTTTCTTGGAACTCCAAGAAACTGCGCCTCCAGCGAGTGTGACAACGTAACCACTCACTGATTTACGGTTCGCGTCGCTTCCCCAGTCGGCGTCGCAATAAATATTGAGTTCTGGGGTAGTAAAGTCGTCGGACCCGCTGTAAGTAAGTGCATGGGTACGAGTTCCTTTGAGGTAGCGAAATATTCGCTTCACAGCGGTCCAGTGCTTCGGTTTGGGGTTCTGAGTGAACTGGGCGAGCTTCTGGACGGCGTATGCGATATCTGGACGCGTTCCAATGGCCAGATATATCAGAGAACCTATAAGCGTCGCGTATCCGACAGATAAGCGCTCGTCTTGGTCCTGGTTCACTCCTGGCTTTGTTTCTTCATCTGAGTTGTCGTCGAGACGAATATTGGGGTCTAGAGGCGTCGTAACAGAGTTGCAGTCGTCTAGACCACATTTCTTGAGCAAGGAGTCGATGTAGGCAGTCTGGAAGAGGGATATGGTATGCTCTTCATTGTTTTGAACCATTCCCATTCCAAGAAGCATTCAGGGTTGTCCCAGTGCTTTAATTTCGAACTTACTGCCTAGATCCTTCTCCACAATGTCGTTTCGGGCGCTTGTACTTGCTATGGACAATATATCGTCGACCCATACGAGTAGGATCTCGAAATCGTCACCCGTGCGACGCAGGTAGCAGCAGGAATCGGATTTGAGTCGATTAAATCCCAAATCTTGCATGGCTCGGTCGAATTCTTTATTCCAAACATTTCCGGCTTGTTTGAGGCCATAGAGGGATCGTTTAAGCAGGCAGACACGGCCTGTACCGTCGTCAAAACCTGGAGGTTGTCGCATATAAATCTCCTCCTCGAGGTAGCCATTTAAATAGGCTCCCTTCACGTCGAATTGACGGAGATCCCATCCATTTATTGCTGCGAGACCGAGTCCGGTGCGCAATGTTTCAAAGCGCATAACCAGTGCGAACGTGCCGTCATTGCTGTAATCGGTCCCTGGCTTCTGTGAGAAGCCCTGTGCGACTATTCGAGCCTTGTATTTAATGACATTCCCGTGCTCGTCGTGTTTCTTGTCGAAAACCCATCTTGATCCTATTGCGGTTCTTCCTTCCGGTAGGTCAGTTTCCTCCCATGTATTCATCTTCTTGATGGTGGCTAATTCTTCCTGCATTGCTGCTTCCCAATAGAATGCCTCCGGGCTTTGTAAGGCCTTGTCCACGGTCCGTGGGATGTCTGGTTCTGTAGGGCTATTAATAAACATGTACCCTTCAATTATTTCCCGGACGAATTTATCATCGGACACTTTGGGATGTGTGCTATAGCTTCCTGATCGCGCAAAGTGTGCACGCTCACGTGCCCGAGCTTGGGACGCCTTCGTGTGACGAGTAGGATCAGGTGGAGGCGAGGGAGTGGGAGTATACCTGAGTTCTTGCCCTCGCAATCTTGCTGCAGGCTTCTTTGAGTCCGGATTTGCCAGCTTCTTGTAATCAATTGGTGTCTTCCTCTCTCGGAGTTGACGAGAGTCTGGCTCTTGAGGTGTTTCCGGAGTTTCCGCGAGCGGCTCGGCTTCTTCGATGGGCGCTTGTTGTGCGGTTTCCTTTTGGGGAATGGTTTGCGAGGATGTCGAGATCTTCCCTTGCTCCCCCTCAGACCACAAACCGGGCAATTCTGTAATAGTTAGCTCATGTGGCTCTTCATTCTCATTGAATGAAACATTTCTTGATGACTTGATATTTCGTTTTGAGGGATCATAATAGCGGATGGACTTAGAACCATCATTGAAACCCACAAAGATCATTTTCCGTGATCTTGGTTTCAATTTTGAAAGATTCTCGGTTTTGTCGAGTACCCAGACATCACATCCAAATTCCCTCAAGTGAGACACATCAGGCTTCTTCCTGAACCATGCCTGATATGGTGTTTTGCCATCAAGAGCCCGTGTCGGGGCGCGATTGCAAAGATAGTTTGCATGGGAAACTGCCTCGTCCCACAAGAACGATGGTAAATTCTTTGCGATAAGCATTGCCCGAGCTAAATTTAATAGAGTGCGATTGAACCTTTCAGCCACCCCATTCTGTGATGACGAGTAGGGTGCTGTAAGCTCTAACTCTATTCCGTGAGAGGCTGCCCATTCCTTTACCCGTGTATTGACAAATTCACGGCCGTTATTGAAGTGCATCCACTGGGGATATTTCCCAAACTGGCGCTCTATCTTGGTGACCTGCTGAATGATGCAATCATAGGCTTCCGACTTCTCCTTTAAAAATAGAACATGGCCATATCGTGTGCAGTCATCCGTGAAGGAAATATAATATTTAAATCCTCCAATAGACTTCACACCAGCTGGTCCCCACAAATCACTCATTATCCTCTCCCCCGGAGTCTCCAAATGATTCTCCGCTTCCTTGGGAAAGGGTTTATGAGTTTGCTTGGCTTGAATACAAGCTTCGCAAGTCTTTGATGGGATAGAAGCTTGATCGATGGTCATGCCATTGACCAAATTCTCGCGATCGAGCTTCTGTAGGGACGAAATTGATAGATGGCCATACCGTCAGTGCCATTGGTCCCAAGAGAGCTTTGCTGAGGTAGCGAGATTTGCTCGCTCTTGCTCATGTAATACTGCTTGTGCCTCGAGCAAGTATAAATCATGGGTTAAATGTCCTATCCCAATGAGATTATCCTTTTTATCTCTTAGGAAACATTTCCCATTCTTGAATTCTGCATGTCCGCCACTCCGATCGAGTGCGCTCATGGACAATAAACAATTCGGGGAATCTGGCACGTGAAGGACATCACGTAATCAATGCTTCAGGTTTTTCCCGTTTACAGCAAATTTGACTAATACGGTCCTGCGGCCCTGTGCCACTGTTGGGGAACCCACCCCGTGAACAGATGAGTTTTTCAGTGGGTGATAGTCAATAAATGCTTCACGCATCATGCAGATGTGTGATGTTGTGCCCGAATCAAATAGCCAATCATATTTTGAGATTTCTTTTGTACTGGTGTTGGAAATAGCCATGTACGAAACCTCGTTAAGGTCGTCATTGACCTTTTCTTTGGCTTGATTTGTCTGGCCAGCCCGGTTCGGACCCTTTCGAGTCTTCGGACCTTTTCCTTCGCGTCCTCCCCCTTTTGCCCAACAGTCCTTTGCATAATGCCCCATCTTGTGGCAATTATGGCATTCAATGTTGGGTCTGGCCTTTCCTTTGGCCTGGAGTGACATTCCTCCAACTTCTCGCTCCTTCCGTCATTGGGATTCTTCCAATAAAATTGCTATGAGCTCTTGAGATTTGAGCTCCAGCTTATTGCCACTAGATCCGAGATAAGATGAAGTGTAATTATCCCACGACTCGGGAAGGGATGTGATAAGGATCATGACGAAATCCTCATCCGAGATCTTGCTACCCATTGTGTGCAGTTCCTCCTGCAACTGGCGTAGCTTCACGATATGCTCTGCCATATCAAATCCTTCCTCCGCCATCACCCGATATAGTGTTCGGTGGGTGGCCAACACTCCGAGTCAGCCCTTGGATTCCTTGACCGTGGTAAGTTGTTCCCACATTTGGCGTGCCGTCTCACCTCCCATAACGTGAACCATTTCGGAATCGCTGATTGCGAGTTCGATTCAGCATCTCACCTTCACATCACCGGCATTCCACTTCTTCAATGCTGCAGCTTCAGCACTGGTGGGAGTTTTGGGGTCTGCTGATCCTGGAGGTGCTGCACCTTCCGTGATGTAACCATCCAGTCTGAGGTCAACCAATACCGCAAGCATACGGCGCTTCCATGGCATCCAATTGGTTGCCTTCAGTAACTCCATTCGATACGATCCGCTAGTGTAATTGTCCGACATTTTGGCAGTGATGTACGTAAACTACATAGATAAGATAAACGTGTGGGAGTAGAGGGCGAATAAGATGGTAAGTGTGTCGTTTAGGCTTCGGGGCCCATAACCTGTTGGCACAGTGGTGGTGGTAAGTGGTTAAGACACGATTGGCATTTAGCACCCATTGAAAGGGCTTATATACCTACGTACAAAGTAACTAGAATATTCTAATAAATACTATTCTAAGTAATTGTCCATTAAGGGAAATAAACGAGAATGTACTCAAGGAGTCGGGAGACGACTCTTCGAGGGCGGAATGTCCGAGTACCAACTATTTGGTTCTATTCCGACAGACAGCACAGTACAAGTTCCACCCACTGAATCAGGTCGCCAAATCCCCTTGCCAGCACATATTCTTCTTCACGATCACAATCATCTCCTCCAACTGTTCGACAAAGCGCTCTCTCAAGAAAACTGGCCAGATACTCATAACCTGACCGCTGTGTTCATTGGTGATTGGGTCCCCACACACTAGATCCCTCTACATAATATAATTTTATTACATAATGTAATTTTATCGTAGCTGATAGCTCTCCAATTGTAACCCATGCTTGATGAGTATAATCTATTTTTGTTCCCCATCTATGTCACACGTGGCAAGACGGGTTAGCCCCTATTTAAGCCAAGAATTGAAATTCCAACAAAACCTCTTAGAACTGTTGGGTTCTTTGATATGTTATGATATTGTACAACAGTAGTGATGTGTATAACGTGTCTTCCATGACGGCCGTCTTGAAGGTCTTGAAGGTCTTGACTCTTGAGCAATGATTCAAACATCATGTCACATGTAGTGAAATGGTGGCCAGCGTGTGGGCCACAAAACTGATTGCTACCTGAGTTGGCTAACGTTACCTCCCATTTTTGCTCTCAACCACCATGGTCAAAAATAGAGCCATCACCACCAGCCTCTCCATGAATTCTACTTTGACCTTCGATCCAATTTCCCCTATCAGCAACTCCAGCCATGAGCTGAGTGGTGGCACCATCCACAAGCACACCCCAAGCAGCATTGAAGATGAGCGATGTGCATCTCCCTCCAACAGCGAGAGCACCTCCGCTGGCCGATCCATGAAGTTGAGCGATGGTTCGGACTCTGGCTACGCCACCTCCAACCCTTCTGTTGGCCAGCAGCCAAGCGAGGAAACAGTGATCCTCACTGACAGCCAGAAAGCGCGTGCGAGCTGGCGCACCCCAGGCCACAAACCATGTTGCAATGTACTATACAAGATATCGGACGGGTTTACCCTCGAAAAGGTGGATCTGATGCTAGAATTGCCCCTATTACTATCGAATGTGACCAACGAGCGCATGACAGCGTTCGTCCCACTGCAGCTCTCTGAATTCAAGGAGCCCAAGGATATGATGGAGGTTGTGGCTGATGCTTTCGAAGGTAAGCTTTCGACATTGTTATATCTCTGCGACGCGTTCTTACCTGATCATCTTTGTTTCAGGACATCGTCGTGCCAACGTTAAGTTTGGCTATACTCACAGTGCTATCACTGATGAGACCGTCGTGATCAACGCTCATACTGGCTTTGGTATGCTTGTTGACTGGGATCTGGCTGGCAACAATGTTAACAGTCGCCTTAGCCGTTCCGTATGTCATACTCTTCTCTTCGCTATTCCTATATTCTAATGTTCCAACAGGGAACTTGCTACTTCGAGTCTATCGGCCTTCTCAAAGACCCCTGCAGGAAGGTGATGCTTCAAGACAACCTCGAGTCATTCTTCTACGTTACCCTCTACTCAGCGCTCAAGTTCGTGCGGAACAACCACTGCGTGTGTGACACCCACCTGATTATACAAGCCATATTCAAGAACCAGACCGCTGGCAATTGCACGATGCCCGGCTACACCAAACGCCAGATGATCAGAGAAAGGGGGTATATTAGACCCGACTTCAAGTTTACGAAGAACGCAGGTCTCAACAGGTGGCATAGAGGTGCTGCTTTCGAGGAGTACTATACTTGGCTCGATCGCTGGCAGCCCGTTGCTGCAGCTATTTGGAAATTGGAGGACAAATTACCTGCCAGGCCTCTGAAAGGCACTATGCTGTACGATCACAGCTACCTCGCGGCTCTCTTTGATGAGGCAATTGCTACTCCGGACGAAGTCAACAGCATCGCCCTTCTGGCAGCAGCATCTACTCGCGTTGTACACCCATGGGAGGAGGCTGGCTGGGAGAAGTTGACTCCAGCCGAGAAGTTCGACAAGGTACCATCGACAGAGTACCGCAGACAGTTGTGGTGGGAGAAGGTCGGCTTGCCGTTATGGAAGGAGATCGTGCTTCCGGAGCTGAGCGCGCTCCCGATTGAATTGAGTGTTGAACACGAGGATGACGACAGAGAACCCTATGAGCCAGATGATGGCGAAATTGAGGATGATGATCCCTACGTGCCTTACGAACCTTACATTGTTTAAATCAGTAGTATCCTGAAATGTAAATTTGTGTCTGTTCTTCTGAATTCAGTGTGTGCGCCACACAATGACGTCACATGCCCGAGTCTAACGGAATGATTGTGATCGAGCAGCGACACTCGCCGAGAGCATTTTCTGTCTCTACAATTATAAGCATGGACAGTGCGCATCTTAGCTATGCCATTTCGTTTCTAATTCTGCTTTCTATTGTCGCAGGCCGGAAACGGTACAAAATACATTTCAGAAGTCGATTTACTTGAATTAACACACGATACGCCTATATTCCTAGTTTCCTTCGCGAGTAATGTGATCTATGTGATTAATCCTCCAGGGTAACGTTCTAAAGTATCAGCATGACGATGCGCAAATTAGATAAAGTTTTACGATACGTATAACATTATTCGCAAAGATCTCCCTTAATCATATCTAGCCCAAGAAGTAGCCTCGTCAATTTCTTCTTTCTTCTCGGAGGCGGGTAAGGCCATGTCAGTTATCGGCAGTGTTTCAGGGCTTGTCCCAGAGCTATGGTCCAAATGGGCCATGGAGGAGGCTCTATCCCACAGACGTCGTCGCAGCTTTAACCATAACTCGTCCCCTAGTTTCTCGAGGACTTTAGCATCAATCCCAACAGAAGGCGGGTTCCAGGCGACTAGAATCCCATGTGTACCGGGCAAGGCGATCTTCGGCTCGACGAGTTCACGAAGGCGCTGACAGCACCAGCAGCATTTCTCGCTCACAGCGATAGCTCTCCCCTTGTTAGCCCGGCGGAGCTCCAAAACCATGTAGGGATCGCATGACGCTAACCAGAAATTATCCAGACATAGTGGGTCTACTAATTCCCGTAACAGATCGGGTACGTCTACCACGTCTTGCGGGAGAGGGGGGGCATTGTTCTGGTAGTAGTGATTGAAAATTCCCATCAAAGCAGCTTCAGCGTGAACACTGCCTGTGAAGGCCGGTTTGTAGTGTTCGCCGAGTAGGGCCACAATATCGCGACGTTCTTGAACATCTGCGCGCGGGAAACGTCGGTAGTATTCTTTCTCAAGCTCTGCGAAAGGAGCGACTTCCTCGCTCTGGGGATAGACCTCGATGAGACCGACCGTGGCGCTTTTAGCGAGCTCCTTCGTCTTCGTATCCTGAAGGAGGGCGAAGATGGCCGTATGCCAGGACGCGATTCCCTTGAGATAACGGAGCACTAGCGTCGCCATGTTTTCTTGCTTTTCCATTCGCATATCGGTTTGGCGTTCTTTCCCGACGTCTTTATCTGGGGAATTGCTCAGTCGGTAGCTCCATTTCCATGAAAAAGATGACGGATTAGACGTACCCGAGTCAGTAACACGAAGACGAAATACGTTTTCGACACTCTTAAGAAGAGTCCTTACGATATATCCATCTTTCAGCTCCAAGAAGAAGTACAGGTCACGGCATAGGGCATTAACCCTGGAAAATATTTTTGCGTCGACGTTTGTCTGGCTGGAGTAAACCTGATGAACGTCCTTGACAGCAGAATCGAGTTTCGTAAGAATCCAAGCAAGAAAGTGCACCCAATGGAGAATGGTGTCTCTAGAGAACTCCCAGTAGATCACTCCGTTCTCCTCGGTAGGCTTGAACCTTGTCTCCACAAACGCACTGTGCCGTTTCACCCACGGCCAAACTTGAGGATTGGAACATCAAATTCGTCCGGTGGTTTCCAGAAGCGGAGCGTGTTGAAAACTCGTTCTCGCAGCACCTTGTCTGAAAGAACGCGGGCCCGTAGCGTTCGGAAGCAACGAGCAACGACGAATATGCAAAAGTGATTGAAGTCGTCGCTCGTACCGGATACAGTGTCAAACTCAAGGCCAGACAGCACCGTTATAATATCCTTGATATGTTCCTGGAGCGGGACATCGATCGCCCTACGCAAAAGGTGAGCATAAAGACCTTTCTAGCGTTATCTGCGTACCCTTCAACCACATCGTCTACGGTTCGATCTTCATCTCGGGCGATCTTTTGGACTTTCAACAGGCCTGCAAAGTCCGTCGTTGCGTCTGGGTTTGTCGGGGTCACCACCAGTGCACGAAATCCTTCTACAAACGTGGCCCCCGTGACGGCTATGGCCTTTGCGCCATCCTGATTGTCCTTGTCGCCGCATGAAAGAAGTGTAGTAAGGTGATTAAAGAAGTCGGGGATTGCGTTCTCTTTGGCAGCTGTAGCCGGATCACATTCCTTCGGGCCTTGCAAGATAGTGGTGAGAGAGCGAATACGACACAACAAATTGTGTAGTTGAGAATCGAGCAAGGAGTCTAGTGTCGACGAGGCTGTCGATGCGGATTCTAGTGAAGACATGGTGAAGAAGACGGAGTCATCCTGACTCTCCTTACATAAGCAAGAAGGCAATTTTGTGCTTGCTTGGCAACAGCTTCACGGTGAAGTTGGCAATGCCGCAATGGGCCTAACGTGCCTTACGAATCTTCTGACTTTTTTCTTTGACCCTTGGATTAGCTCGCGAAATGAAGTTCTTGTCCAATCTCCCACAATTCAAGTCGTGGTTATGCGCCACACGATGACGTCACAAGCCCGAAGACAAGAGCATAGCAATAAAATGGAAGACCCGTCGGTCCTTCTCCAGGACGATATTTCGTTCTATTTCCAGTGATGGTACATAAAGTCCAGGGTCCTCTATTCGTAGACGTCACATCCGTATTCCTGATTACCCTCGCGCATAAACGTCAGGATATGGTCTACGTTACGACATAGCGAAGAGAGGGATTCGATCAATACACCAATAAAACAGCTTAACGGTAAAAGTAACTCACCTCCCAGCGTCCGTGTCGTGAACCCAACCTCAGAATAACAATAATAGTCTGCAAGTGCTCATCAGCCTTACCGCCCATAATTCACCAACAAGAACCACCTACATATCCACTTCCTCTTAAACACCTCAATCTCGTCCCTCCCCAGCACTTTCACCTCCTTCGCCGCTACCCCATCCGCGACCTGTCGCTCGCGGTACTCTTTCTGCAAAGCGGGCGTGATGATGGCGTCGAAGCGCGTCACGAAACGCTGGCGCCACTCGCGGAGCGTGCGTGCATAGTGCGGCCCAATGTTTGCGATGGACTCGACGACGAGCTTGCCCTTTGAGCCGGCGGTGAGCGTGGACATGAGGAAGGTGAGCGTTGGGAGGAAGCCGCCTGGGAATACTGGAGGGGGAGATGGGGTTAGGTTGGAGTGAGAGGGGAAGGGGGAGGCGGCTTACTCTGGGGTGAAGGCAAAAGGTTCGGGTTCACTGAGCGAGGAGTTGAGATTGTGAAGAATAGGTATTTAGGCTTACCCATTTTCTAATGAAATCTATTTCCTGGATGTATCGCTCAAATCCTACGAAATAAGGTAAGATTCAAACTTTGTGGGTCACCGAACTGGCAGAAATTGGCTCACTAGCTTCCGGGATCGTGATGACCTGCACCACGCCCACCGCGCCTTTCCTCTCCATCGCCCAGTCCACGATCTTCCAATAACCCTCCAGAAACTCCCTACCCACGGCTTCGATCATCTCTATGCTCACAACTCTCGCGAAGCGTCCCTCCCACTCTGGCGGCATGTTTCTGTAATCCATTAGGTGAACTCGAATCCGCTCACTGTGTCCTGCGGCGGCGATCCGTTCCTCCGCGAGCACCTTCTGGGCACTGGAGAGCGTGATAGTGTCGATCTCAACGTGGGGGTACTGCGAAGCTAACTGGATCGCAAGTGCACCCCACCCAGTGCCGATCTCAAGCACGCGGACTGGCTTGCTGGACGCGGATGGCGGCGGGACGTGCAATTTGTTGATTATATGCTGCAATTTGCGGAGCTGGGCCAGGTATAGTGGATCTTCATCTGGTGACGGCGCGGTCACCGATGGTGGGTTGATGTTGATGGATATTTTCGATTCGTTTGGTGGTGGTGGGCTGTCGGGTTCTGATGGTGGTGATGGCAAGAGGGAGTGGGCGGCGGCGACCCTCTTGAGGCCCTGGCCACCGCTCCATTGGGTCTGTGAGGTGGAGGACTTGCCCTCCCCGAGATCCCCGTCCAGCTCGGGGAAGATGGCACACGAGTACGTCATGTCCTGGGACAGAAAGCCTGCGGTCCAATGATTAGAATCAGTATTCTGCTCTCAACGCTTCTCTCAGATTGAGCATATTAGACGGTAACACGCACCCGCAAACATGTCGTTCGAGATGTCATAGTGCGCGGAGATGTTCGATCTTGAATTCCCAATTGTGTTCAAAAATCGATAGGACGTGAGTTTCTGCGGCAGTGTGAAGAGATACGACATGGTCGAGTCGAGATTTGACAGGTTCTCCCTGTTCTCAAGGAACATCTGAATCAAAAGTGATTGGTAACGGAGTTGGTGTGGATGGCGTTAGACGAACCTGGAATAGCGCGACGAGGTCGTCGCACTCAACGTCGCCGTACATGTAGGCCTCCGAGAACCCCAGGTCCCCCATGGTGCACAGACGGACCCAGAATGCATCGTTGACAACGCGGAGTTCAGCCTTGAGATCGGGTCGTGGGTCGGGAACTGTGGGTTGCTCGTTGCCAGGCCCGGCAATTGGGAACGTGTAGATGTGGGAGAGCGTCAAGACACGGAGGTGTCCTACCGTGATTTTTTGCATGAGCCTTGACGCAGATTTCAGTCCATTCCTCCTAGACCAAAAAGCAAAAGAAATGCATACGCAACGACGGCTGCCTCTGCAAGACGAGCAGCAGGCGTCCAACCTGTCCTAAATGCAGCCTCTACGACCATATTCCACGCTCTATCGGCGACGCCAGAGAGGGAGAACGGGGGTTTTGCGTCTGGAAGGTCCATTGCTTGGAAAAGAGGGAAAGAGAGCGAGGGAGATGGGCATGATTGGCGCGCTCTTATATAGAGGATGTGGTAAAGGTGGAAGGTCGTTGCTGGATTCGATCGCTAGCCTGTCTCTCGATCACGATCGGGACTTCTATTTTGGATCTACGCAAGTTCAGCTTGTCACGGTCAAATATTTCTAGGACTCTAAGAACGCCTTCAGAACGTTGACGGGATAATAAGAAGTGATTCAAATCCTACGAGAAGTCGAAATACCAATGTCCAGAACAAATCGACGGACAAATTCGTGCACATTTCATTTGGCTCCGAGGCCGATGTGCCCACCGGATCGTCAGGGGCTTGGTCATTTATCAGGTACTTCGCCAGAGCATCGTCGATTCAACACCTTCTCTACGCAACGTGATGCTCTCTAGTTGCGACGAGTGGCGTCATTCAACAACATCTGACGCACTCTAATCGACCGGTGAAAGGAATATCGATGAACGTATTGTATTGTCTTGCTGGATTTCGTGTGCGTACTGGGTATGTTACAGCTTTGAAAACGGAATAAGGATATCAATACATACAAAACGAAAGGGAACAACTGACAGCAAAGATGAAGCCAGACGACGATAGAAAAAAAGAAAAGAAAAGAAGAGAGAAACAGGCCGAACGAGAAAAAGAAAAAGAAATCAAACAAGCAAATCAAACGCCATATTGAAAGCTAAACCGAAACACCAGGCGAAGCCTTGAAGAACCTCGACTCCGAACCCATCCTCCTCAACTGCCTCGACACGAACTCCTTCGTCGGCGAGTCCGATTCATTGCTGTCAGCAGAATCATCACTCGCAGCGGAGTCATCACTGCCCGGCATTTCCACGTCTTCATCGTCATCGTCATCACCGAACAGCCCCTTCAACGACGGCGTCCTCACAGCACCGAACCCCTTCCGCTGCATTACAGGCGAGATAAGATGGTGTGGCGTCACCTGCCCCAGGTGCGGGTCATCATCCGACGAGGGCGTTGGGGCGTCCATCGCGTCCTGGGCGAGATCGTCCGAGAGTTGGAGGGTCATCGACACCGGGGCCGAACATGTCCGCCACATTCCCGTTGGAATGGCGTGCCTCTTCCCGAGCGTCATCGTCCGCCCGCCAAGGGGCGTCGGCGTCTGCTGACCTTGTTGCGAGTCCGCGAGCTGCTGGATGGAAGGCAGGGGCTGGTCGCTACTCCGCCCGATGTCGCTCTCTGTGCGTTTCCTCTTCCGTGGGGCGGCAGACCCGAGGGTGAGCAGGAGAGACTCGGGGATGCTGACGGACCGGCGGAGCCGAGCAACTTTGGTGAGGTCGATCTTCCGCGGCGTTGTGATGGCCTGGCCGTCGAGGCTCGTCGAATGCACTTTTGGTGCGACGGAGACGCCGATGATCCCATCTTCGCGCTTCCTCTTGGGTAGAGGCACCGTCGGGCGTGATTGGACGACAGAAAGCACGTCTTGCGTTTGTGTCTCTGCAGCGGACTCAACGGAAGGGAAAGGTACTGCGACCGTGGCAGGTACAACCGCCTTCTTCACCGACACGCACTTGGGCCTCATCTTCGTCTTCAGCCTTTTCGCCGACACAGGCGTCTCCTTCACACCCTCCTCCTTCTCTTCCTCCAAGCGGCGCTTCTTTGCGTTCGCCACCGGGCTCGGAGTACCTTTCGGTTGCTTCAGGATCTGCGCAATCCTTTCCGCCACGGAAACCAACTTCGGGCCATTAATCCGACTCGGAGTGTCCGCGTTCGAATTCTCCTTGTCCTCCTCATCGCTTTCTTCGTCCTTGGCGTTGAGCCGTCTGCGTTTCAAAGGCGAGTGGCGGGGCTGTACAGGTGACAATGGTACTCGTCGATGAGAGCGAGAAGAGGATGTGGAGCTGGTGCTGCTCCTCCTGCTCCGGAGAGGCGAGACGGGCGAGGATGGTACGGCTGGATAGGCACCGACACCGAAGGGCTTTTGTGGCCGTTGAGGAGACGGGATCTGCGAGAGAGGATCGCGTTTGCTGCTCGGCGAGCGTGTGGGAGTCGAGAAGCATGAAGAACCAGCAGATGAAGACGAAGGGAAAGGAGCTGGGGGCAGAGAGAAAGTAGCCGCGAGAGGGGTGCTCGGGCATACCGTCGAACTCGAGCTGGCCTGCTCATCGACTTCTGGTGGAAGAAGTCCAACCGACCGTAGCGAGTGCCGAATTGGTTCCGGCCAGCCAGCGGTGGGTGCAGGAACCTGAGCGTACTCGAGTTTCCAGTATTCTACAAAAGCTTCAGCTGCGAGAGGCGGTACGCGAGTACGGAAGATGGAGGCGAGTATGCTGCCGAGTGCTTTGAGGGTTGAAAGCGTCGATGGAAGGACTTGAATGCTGACGAGGATGTGTTGGTATAGAGGGATGATCTAAGCAAATGTTCAATTGAGAAAAACTTCAGCAAATTGTGAAAAAAGGACACACATCATATAAGATATCATCCTCCGTCCACACCTTACACTCATCACCAAGCCACAAACACAGGCCTTCCTGTAAGCTCTGCAGAAGCCTCAAGCAAAGCTCCTCCGGACAATGTTCAATGACCGTCATCAACGACCTCGCGAGCCACATCATCACCGGCTTGTTCCTCGGCTCAGGCGGGTACGTCGCACGCATCGTCTCCGAGGCGAGCTCGAGGAGGTTCAGTGGAACGTCGCGCATGTCCGCCGCGTCCAGATGCGAGAAGAGGAGGTCGACGAGCCGTGTGGATGCGTCAGGCAAGGCGCCGGGTGTTTGGAAGCAGGAGACGAAGGACGCAGTGGTGTCGAGCACGGTACAGGTGTCGATGCCGTGGTCTAGGGCTTTGTTATTGGTGAAGGAGAGCAGGTCTTCCCAGACGACGAAGTCGTTGCTGCTGATGGTCCATGCATGGCGGTCGCTGGAGAAGAAAAAAAATCATACGAATCAGCAGAGGCAGAAGGGTATGGTGAAGAGAAAGGAGAAAAATACTTACGTGAATGGCACACCAAGCAACACGACCCCTCCCTCCCAATGGCCCTCGCGCCTCTTCCATCGTTGCACGAAAGTCTTCCACACCGCATTCGTGAACTCCTTCGTCCAATTCCAGCCCCAAGTTCCTTTTTGGCTCGTCACCGGCGCGTCCTCTTCGCACGCCCAGAAGACCCTAACCGCTTCGGGGTCGCACACGGTAATAATATCCACACACAGCGCGACCCAGGCATTCCGTGCCCGCTCGCCACCCTCCTCGTCAGCCTCCGGAGCTGTAGACCCTGAAAGACGCGCGTTATCCGCTAAAAGCGAGTGGTCATTCCTCATGATGCACGCGAGGAGCGTCTCGCCCGCCTCGCGGAGGGATGACAAGGGGAAGATCTTGCGCATGGCGGTCCAAAGGCTCTCTACGACACGCAGGCGGAGCTCGCCATTCGAGCAGGTTGCGTCGGCGTCGAGGTCTAGAATGGTGTCGTCTGAGTCGGGGATGGCGTCGGATTTGGAGGGTGTTTGGGATTTCTTGGGGCGGAAGTTGAGTTCGGGATTTTCGAGAATTTCATTGACGTGCTTAATGGCCAAGGAGGCGAAGGCTGAGATGCCTGTGTCGTCGTCGCGGTCTATAGAACAAAATTGTTAGTTTCAGGAAAACCAGTATAGAATTGGAACACAAACCTTGAAGATGGGCAACGTTCGCTCTGAGGAGCCCAGACCACACGTCGACGATGTTCTCTGGCACCTCGGCGTCGTCCCACATCTCCAATGCACCAAGCGCGGTCCTCCAAGCACCAACCATCCCATTGAACACCCATTTCTTCGACATCTCCTCCCTCGTAAGGCAACGAATATCGTTCACGATCACTCCGTTGTCGAATATCGGGCGAACGGCACCGCTCAAGTTTTTGAACTCCGTCGTGAGCAGTCCAGGGACCGCGTCGAAGAGGCCTTTTGGAATGAGGAGGTTCTTGTCCCAGCCTTCCTCCATTTCATACTGGTCCGCATGCGGGCGGCTGACCATATGCCCCATCGCGTCCATCGCTTCAAGGCATGTGCTACCTGCCTTGGCAGTCATTTGCTGGAGGATGGACAAGGAAAGGCGGAGAGGTTCGTCGCCGACAGAGGACTCGTCCCCTAGGAGGGCTGCGATACTTGCGATGCCCGCATGGCAGTCGACGATCGAGGTCATCACTTTGCAGTGCACCTGCCTCGCGTTCTTAGACTTGGTCCGCTCGTCGTCGTCCACCTCTGACTCTTCGTCTGAGTCGACAGGCAGTGGAGGCTGGAAGTATGCCCAAGTCATGGTCCGCCATGCCAGGCACGTCAGTGCACGCACTGAGCTCTTCTTGCTCCGCATACCGAGGCCGAGGAGGGAGGAGACGATGCGGTTGACCCTGCCGTCGTTGCAGACCCTGGAGCCGAGCAGGACGACGAAGCTCGCGAGGACGCATATGGCCCAGACAGGACCTTGCGCGACATGCGCGGGATCAGCATTGGACATGGTCGTTCTTAACGTTCGGACAATCTGGCATTCAGTCTGCTTTGTCGGCGAGTCAGATGCCTTCTTCGGCGTAGGGAGAGCAGTGATGTGTGCGGCGATCGTGCTGGAGATTTTTGTATGCGCAGAGGAGAGCGGGATGGAGGTAGCTGCTAGCACGAAGCCACCTAGGGCATGACATGCTTGCGTCCGCAGAACGAGGGTTGGAGCAAGGAGGTTGGAGAGGATCGAGGGAAGGAGGGGTATAAAAGCGGGAAGGAAAACACCAGGGAGGTACATGCAAAGGTCATGGATGGCCTGGAGAAATGTTAATCAACGGTAATGCCAGAGAGAAAAGTTAAATATATGCACCCTCAATCCATCGTTGGCAGAACCTTTCTTGCCTTCTTTACCTAGCTCGCCATCAAGACCTCTCCGTAAGGCGTAGGCGATTCGGTCGGCTGCTGGCTTTAAGACGTCGGCTGGTAGGCGTTGACCCTGAATGAGACCAATTGCCAGCGCACAAGTCTTTCGCGAATTAGGCGTCGGCAGAGAGTCAGCGAGTGGAATAGCGAGAATTGCAGTCAGAATTTGACGAAGTTCATTTTCTATAAGAAAATTAGCTTTGGAAAAGAATAGGAATACGCGCGACTCACCTTGGAACACTGTGTATATCGCCGGTAGCGAAAGAACGACATTCAGCAGTCGAATGACTGAATGACAAGTCGTGCATAGATCTCGCGCATATTTGACCTGCTCCGCCGTCATTCCACCTTTCTTCTTCGCTGGACTGCTTTGTGGGGATGGGAGAGTGAACTTTGGCAGGCATTCTTCCTCAGAGGCGGGAGCCCCTGCGAGGGGGTCGACCAAAGCGCGTCCCAGGTCGCGAACAATAGCGCTAACGAGGGCTGGGGCGTTCTTGCGTAGTGGCTGGAATAGTGGCCAAGATGCGTCCGCGTCTGTTGCATCTGAGACACTCGCCCGAAGGCGAGCAGCAAGAACGTTGTACCCCTCAATAAGCTTGCCCAAAGGCTCCTTCCCGTCTTCGTTTGTCGTTGAGAGAATTTGCTCTACAGGGTGGTTGAGGTAATGGAGATTCACGAGAGGGTCGGAGGGCTCTGGGGTGACTTCGCGCTCCTTGCCGGTGTCAACTGGCAGTGACAAGAATGCATTGAGGTTCGGCTTCTTCAGGATAGATTTCGGCGCCTCTGGCCGTTGTTTCGACGGCGGCGGGGGTTTAGGAGGGGTAGAGAGGAGGTGAAATGAGTTCTTGGAGGCCCAGGCCACGGTGCGCGTCGAGGGGCCAGCGATGGGGAGGAGAAATTTGTTTTCCTTGTCCCTGTCGCTCCTGTGGGATGAGCTGGGAGGTGTCAAGAGCGTCATCGTGTGGGGGATGGTCGTCGTGGAGGGCGACGGCGACAAGGGCAGGAAGGGACAGTGGGAACGGGAGCAAGGAATGCTGGGACTATTTCAAAGAGACGTGTGACAGTTCGCTTAACGGTCACTCCGTGACTCATTAAACGCGCTTGTTGACGCGTCGAGCGCGTTGCTTGCCTTCGCTTGTCTCTATTTACATCGGTCGGACCGCTAACCCGGTCCAGGACTCTTGGTGTTGCTGCTCGTCAATGCAAAAAATGAATTAATGTAAGCATCTATTGTGCAATTAGATAGCATATCGCAGGGAGGAGGACAGGGCCTGATTTAAATTCGTAGATGCTTAGTAGGCTTGACCAAAGGCTCGTACCCACGGCTTCGAAACCAAGTACTACCGTGAATGGCTGGAAAATCTAGGAGAAATTGCGTAGGACCCAGCTCGGAACAATTCATGGAAATACCTTTACTGGAAAATATCATACAGATATGAAACACACAGGAAACTAAGTGCCGGCACTTTCCTGGCCTTAGTCAGTTTCGCATTCTTCTTGGGCACCTCACGCACAAGGTGTTTTCGTTTCTTTGCGATGGCAGTCGACTTGAAATCCTTTCGGCGTGCCATTGCAGCTTCAGGTCCCAGTGTCTTCAGAGTGGTCGTGTCTTCGCCTTTGGATGCTCGCCTAACCGTCGTCAACAAAGGAGAGGCAGTGAAGTGATAAACAGCGGCGGTTGGGTTACGAGCATCTGACCAGCCATCTTGAACGAGCGTGCTCTCAAATATTAGAAGGGGATGCGTATGATTGCGAAGCACGGTATATGCTGGAAGGGGTGGCAGTTGGAGCAGCAGTGTAGAGAATGAGACCTCTGATGAGCAATAGCCTTTTAGGTCGTCACCACTCAGGCTCAGTCTGCTAGTGGAGGCCGCCGTCGAGGCACTATATTCTTTGAGGTGGTAGATATATTGTGCCTAGGCCACCCTCATTCGCAGGATGCCGAGCGTCAAGGGGTAATTGTCCAAGAAATCCGGGTTTTCGATATCAGAGTCAACCCTCTTGAGCAGCCATGACGTCCCCTGGCCTCCGACATTGACCCCAAGCCTGTGACTGAGCCTACATTCACGGAAGACAGAGTTGATGAGGTCGACGAGGCACGATTGAGAGAAATCCACAGGAATGTGCTGCAGCGAGAGGTATAGAACAATGTGGAAGAAGGATTTCAGATCGTCATGTAAGTCGGGAGTCTTTTCAGGGAATCTCAAAAGGAATGTCGAGAGGTATTGCCTGTCGCCTGAGGGTGGCGTCAGAAGACGTCAACAGCAGGGAATTTGAAACTTACAGCACGACAGATATGTAGTGCCAGTTTTGGTAGAGAGGCGTCTGCTTTGGCCAGTATGCCGCCCCCGTTGTCGGTCATCATGATATCACGCTCGCTGATATCGCCATGCAAGATACCGTACCGGGTGTAGGCAGCTGAGTGGGCTGGAATGAAGACTATCAATAAGGAGCTTGAGAAAGGACGTAGCAACACACCTATCAATGAGCCATGAATAGCTGTTATTGCTTAGGATCTCAAATTCGTCAAGCACTCCCCGCGAAGGCGGAGCTGCTAGCAAGCTTGCGCTACAACACCGCCGTCGACCCTGATGTTCATTGGAGCGTCCATTGTCGAAGAAACATGACCAGAGTCGAAGTTCTCCATACAGAGAGTAGACCTTCTCTCCAGAAAATAGCCCTCTAACCCAGTTTCAGTGCGAGCAAGGTATAATGAACCTCGAGTCAGATGTGAGGGAGTGGATTCGTCGGTTCACTGCTGAAATATAGCCGTCCAGAAATCGAAAGCGCCCATCCTGAATCACGAGAGCAAAATAACTTGCTAGATAGGCTCACATAAGCGTCCTCTCACAACGTGAGAGGGGCTTATATCAAGGTCCCGGTTTTATCAGGGAAGTGTAAACTTTTGGGTGAGACACTCTTGCCGATCCGTGGCCATGGAAGAGGCGGGGGTGGAACTGTTTTTTTTGCAACTTTCCATTTGCGCGGTGTGCTAAATGGGCTCGGACTGCCCGAGGCGTTGACGGGATGTGTTAGAGGTCGAAGCGGGGGTCACGAGACAGTGGAGGGTGTGGTTTTTGAGGTATTTTTATCAGCCTCCTGCAGAGGCGTGTCCATGAAAAAACTGACGAGCCTCCTAAGTACTCCTTTTTTTGGACTCGTGTCACGCTCGTCCAGTCCGGCAACTAAAACTTGTAATAAACTAATTGAGAGACTACAAATTCCGATCTAATGGTTGTGATGCGAAACACTGCCCTCCCATGTGACAGACTTTGTTACAAGACCGTCCACGAGTGGACGATTTGACGGTCTTGGTACGAGACTAACTTGCTAGAAGAGTAACGTTCCACGCTCAAAGGTACGTTAAATAGGAAGAGCTTACATAACTCCTACACGCGTATTCGCCTGCCCTAAGCTCTCAGGGGACACGCGTCTGGCATATTCGGAGGTTTCAAGCATTGAATCTTTGGATGACGATTTGTGCAAGCGACAGAAACAATGGATGAAGTACGCTGCAACGCGGACGGGAACTCCGCATTCTGCAAAGACACCCCTTGGTCAGTGAGCGCTCAGACCCTTGACCAGATTTAAAATAAAAACCTTGCCCGTGCGATTCGGAGACCAGGTGTCTCGACCACGCCCGCTAGAGAGAAGAACTCTCCCAAAAAATCGTGCTAGTTAGTAAATATGAAATAACCAAAGAATCAAACAGAAGACGTTGGGCGGGATGACTTGGATGATCTGTCGGTACACGTACCCACAAATAGTATTCATAGTACATAGAAACTTCAACCCCAGCAAAGCTCATGGCAGTGGATCCATTCCGTGATCAATTCGCTGCCCTCGAACGTGATGGCATCCTCAAAGTGTCGTCTACGAAACATGAGTTCTTTTCCTTCCCCTCCTTGTACCAGCACTTGGCAGAATAATTATAAGTCGATTCCTCGCAGACTTTTTTTATGATCTTGCTTACTTCAGTGTTCATATTCCGTTCTATTGGATCCTATTGTGAAGAATGGATTGTAGTGCATAGTAGAGCACTGAGAGGAAAAATGATACAACGGCGTCCTGTAAGGCAACGAGATTTACATCTTTTGCGCAAAAGCGGCGCAGACAGAAAACGACATTTCCCTACACAGATCATCATAATGTCACCGTAGATAACACCCTTTCTTAGCTTGCAGAGCGATACGTCGAGTACGTCTTAGAATTGTCTAGTACATGTACTGCCTGAAAGAATGGTCTACTTCAGAAAAGATTCGAGCGGCGTTCTGTGAATCGGCATGCCGCGCATTTGGCCTTATCTCAATCGGCCAAGGCTCTGTCGTGAAACAAATTCAATCCTTATGTCATTTTCGCTAACATCGTTGTGGGGAATGAAGGTATAGTGGCCCCCGGCGGCGAGCTAAGTTGCAGCAGGGTTGTTCTTAATTAGAACGCATTATTGGGAGGCCTCAGAGGTCAGGTCCTCGGGCTCAAGTCAAATGTTAAATATTGAGGGTCCTCATGAGTTCACTTCAGATCGACAACCGCCAGGATCGAATAATGCCAAAAGGGTGTCCGTCTTATTTAATTGAATATACAAGTTCTGTCGCCGCTTTTAAATTCAACACACGGCAACTTATGATGGAAGGGAAGAAAGAAAAATCTTAGTAGTGGTCAAGAACGAAAAACCATCAAATAGTACAACAACATAAAGATATACGGCTATGCGGCCTAAGAGGACCTAAGCACGAACATCTTTCTTTAACCTGGCCACTCTCTCCTTCTTCTTCTTCTCTCTCTCCTTCCTCTTCTTCTCTTTCTGGTAAATCGAGCGCCTCTTCGGGTTGGCAATCGAGTTGACACCCCCTTGGTTGGACATGGTATATTCGGATCTTGACCTTTTTGAGGCAGTGGAGGCCTCTCCTTCACATCCCCGCTTGAGCCCAGGCTGCGCCTCCGCAGGATCAGAAGCAGTAAATTGATGGACAGCGGCCATCTCGTTGCGGACATCGGACCAGCCGTCTTGAGCGAGCGCACTCTCAAATATCAGGAGGAGATGTTTATGATCCCGAAGCACGATGTGAGCTGGCAGGGAAGGAGGTTGCTCTGCAGAGAGCAGGCCTTGCTGACTATTGTCTCCCAATCCCGCGGTGTGCGAATGAAGGTTGTTTATAGGATAGGCCACTTCCGAAGGTTCTTCTTCATCAAAATAGCGATGAAATTGGTAAAAGGCACTTCGAGCATGCTGGATGAATTGCGTTAAGGGAGTGTTGTCCACATAAACCAGCTTTCGAATATCAGAGTTTCTACCCGCAAATAGCTTTGTCTTCGCCTGGCCACCCACATCAATCCCAAATTCGAGGCTGAAGTTGCATTCCTCGAAAACAGACTTCATGAGCTGGACAAGTCGCGCTTGAGAGACGTTGACTGGAAGGTATTGCAGCGTGAAGAAAAGGACAACATAGAAGAAAGACTCGAGGTCATCCTGTAAGCTGTGCACCTTCCAGGGATAGCGCAAAACCAAGGCCGACATAAAGTACCATGTGCCCTAAAAAGATGTCAGAGGGTGTTAATGCATACGAGTGCTAGCAACACTTACGGTGCGATACGTGTGCCTCGAGAATTCCTCATAGCCTTCCTCGTCCTCGTCCTCATCTTCATCGTCGTCCTTATCATCTTCATCATCGCCTTCGTCGTCCTGCGCCGTTAGGGCCGGCAAATCTTCCTCTCCATCCTCCTCTTCATCTTCTTGCTCCTCATCAGAGGCGTGTTCCCCTTCATCTGTGGTTTTGTCTTCTTCAGCAGTCTCAGGGTTCGATGGGTGACCGGGCACCCTTTTCGCCAAATCCCAGTCGTTCAAGCACCCAGTTTCTTCATCGTCCATCATCACGTTCTTTCCACTAACGTCACGGTGGAGGATGCCACATATCTCATAGGCGTCTTGGTGTGCTGTCATATCGAAAAGCGTCAGAGAGAAGCACCGAAACAAAAGAGAAAGACATACCAATCAGTGCATGACTGACGGCTCTCAGCAACTTCTTTGAGGTCGTGAATCCATCAAGGTGGTTGCCGACGAAGAGCTCTGTAAACCGATGGTGTGTCCTCCTGAACACGTTTCGCTGAGGACCGGCTCGCCACGACGCGCGGACGTATCTATGGTTGTTCGTGGTATGGTACGGCTGCTTGATGTCGTCGCCGTACTGGAACTTCGGCACATACCGCACACCCTTGTCGTTCAGCTCCTTCAAAATCTCCGACTCCTTCTCCATCCCGCTTAGGTCGGCTCGCCAAGTCTCCTTTAGAAACACGACATCATCTGTTTCCAAATCTACAGCAGGGTAGGCGCGAGTCGATCGACCGTGGAGAGTTTTGGGTTCTGCCATGGCACCCCAGACAGCAAATTCGTGCATCTCACCATCCGGTTTCGGTACACTCATGACGAGAACAGGGCGGTGCTTCTTTGGCGCCCACCTCTTCAACTTCTCCATTGCAATATCCCTCTCGTCCGAGGTTGCCAGCCGAACGGTCTCGTCGATCCCGCGCTGTGCAGGTGTCAGGCGAGCGAAGCGCCAGAAGAACTCGGCCAGGACGCCAGACTCTTCGCGGTAATTGACCGCTCGGGTAACTAGTGTAGCGCAACGATCGTGGAGGAGGAAACGGACCTCCTTTGCGTTTATGAAGACGAAGAATGCGCGGGTCCGGTGTTGGCGCGCACAGATCTCAGTCAGAGCTGCACCGATCTGGCCGCGTGCTTGGGTGCCCGCCTCCGTCTTGTTCTCGAACTGGAACTTCCGAAGCGCTTCCCCATCAAGGTTACTTGGGGGGTCATTGAAGGGGGAAACATTGTCGGGCTTCATCTCGACGCAGAGCTGGCTTCTGTCGAAGAACGTCTTGTTCTGGGGGTTCCGCGTCTTGGTCGAACCTTTGGTGTTCGGAGGGAGGAATTCTTCATCACTTGTATCTTCTTCGCAGTAGTCCTCTTTAAGATAGCAGGTGATGTCGGGCTTCCACTGTGCATCAATGTAAGAGTCGAAGTCGGTATGGTTCGATGTGTTCACGAGGATGCATGTTGGATCCAATAATCCAGCGTCGGACACCAGTTCGATCTTAAGTGGCGTATTAGTACTGCATACACGAGAGTTGAATAAGAGACTTACCAATGGATCGTACATATCTTTCTCAGCCTTCCCTTTGCCTGCGGGAATCTTGTCAAAGTAGTTCGGCGCGATGAGATTTTCGGAGACTGGCTCGTCGATGCTCATATGCTTCGCAAAAAAAGCCTTGTACGGGATAGGTCCCACCCACTGTCCTTTGGTGTCGCGGGCCATCTCTTTACGATATTGTTCGTGGCCGAGAACGGGGCCGCAAGGGGGAGTCGCTCCAAGGTTCCTGTGACGAGGGGTGTCTTCCACAGAAGACGATGGGAGAGGGTTGGCTGCACCATGAGGAGTGGTTGGAAACATGTTCGTAGTTGTAAGTAAGGGACTCACGGGTGACTTGGTTTTATAGCACGCAGGCCGGGCCACAGTTCAGTGGCAGTTGTCGAAAGCCACTTGCGCTTTGCAGAAATAGCCGAGAGCCACTGTGAACGATGAAAATATATGAGTCATTTTCACGCAAATGTCCCGATTTGAGGTTTACCTGCGAGCGTTTGAACAATAGAGGTGCAGTGTGTCGCCCTCGTCGTGGTTCGAAATCAAGGAGATTTGTCCGAATCGGGAAGCGAGACGACCATAAATTTCGCGGTCACATGGTCGTTAGGGAAGACGCGACCGGCCTGAATGACACGGGGGGCATCGAGGAAATCTTTGGGCACAAAAATTGCAATGAACGCTGTTGAACCTGTTAGGTATTCCGTATCTTTCTCTCTTAGACATTTCATCACGAAAACAGGTTCAATGGTGGGAAGCAAATCCCACCACCGTTTACCAGTGAGGCCGATTTCAAATTTTATTGAATGTTTCGGGGAGGAGAATGAGATTAAATGTTTTCTGCGCGTTTTTCCCTTTGTCTCCAGGTCAAAAACGCTTTGCTCTACATAAAGTGGTTGCCTTGAGGCGGAAAGGATGTTCAGTGTGTTTGTAAGTGGCTCTTTGTGTCTCAAATCTACTGGTAAATTTCTCAAGTATCTTTCAAATGCCTCCGCCTCCGTAACTGCGCCATTCTATTTAACATGTTCATTCAGGGTTCGGAGACATTTTTACCACAAAACTTTGACCTATGCGCGGTGTGTGAGAACCGGCATTCACCATTTTCAATTACAGGAACTGAGACCCTTTTTTTTATTAAAAATTAGAGTGACAAATGGGCAAGGCGGCAAGTTGCAACTATCGTTACATGATACTTACATGTTACATGTACATATCGCCCACCTGAGAAAACGGCGGATTCTGAAGCAAGCGGGTACGACATCGATCTGACGAAGGTTTTGTATCAGATAGTAGACATCTTTTTCCTCTTGGTGGATGTTTCAGGGAGGTCGTCACGTTTGGCGACATTCCGAGCGCGCTTTGGCGATGGCGTGGCAGGAAGTACACCGGTGCGAATGACTGGCCAGTTGGGCTTGGCAAGAGCTGACTCGAAAAGGAGCTGGAACGACGAGTGATCTGCCAGTGCAAGGCTCTCGAAAGGAGCAGGAGCAGGTAGCTGGGGTGTCGTCCACTTGGCCGCCGCTGCTTTGCAGAGTCGCTGATACCGTACTTCCATTGGTAATATTCGTCTAGATATTCGAGGGCATCGTCAACCCATTGCGAGAACGGTTTGTTGTGATAGTACTCGAGCTCCTCTATGCGTTGTCGGAGACTGACCACGTTACGTTTTACTGCCCACCATAAAATAGGTGAAACTCGTGATTGTAGCCTGAGGGTTGGAAAGCATGACTGATGATCGTCTTTATCCGGAGCTCGGGGAGGGTGTTCGGCAGGAAATGTAGACTATAGTAGAACACGACCCAGAAGAAGGACTCAATGTCGTCTTGGAGTGTGTGAGACTTGAAAGGATCGTCGAGGAGGTCAGCAGCCATAAAATACCACGTTCCCTATTGGTTAGAAGGCCAGTCAAAGAGCAAAAGCAAGACAGTGTGTGGCATGGCTTACAACTCGAAAAAAAAAATCTCTTCGGTGCATCTCTGGAGGACAGCGGGAAATCCTACCTTCATTCTCTGTCATATCCCAGTCGTTAGGAACCCCGCCGTCGCGACTGTCGAGTGTGATGTTTTTGGGGCCAACATCTTGGTGAAGAACGCCGCATTTATCCAAGCACTGACGATGAGCTGCGATGAATACTCATCAGAAAAGGGAACAGTGTGGTGTGTGAAGAAACGTACCATCGAACGCATCGGTAGCAGCTTGAAGAAGTTCTTTGGGTTTCTTGAAATCGTTTAGTCCGGTACCTACGATTTCTCCGTGCGAGCGATGGTGCTTACGAGGAATCGGCGGAGGGAGAAGTGGCGTTCTTCTCTGCGCATTTCCAGGCGACTGCTGAGACATAGAAGTATCATTTGGCCCGAATGTGACAATTTCGCTAGAATAGGCGAACGTCGCAGTCTTTCCGCGTGAATTTACTCTCCATTCCATGCTAGCACTCCGTCTTATCTTCAGTGGGTATTGCGATTTAAAACTTCCGACAAAATGCTTTTTGGCTGAATTCTTGGAACTGCCACAACAGACAGAGCGTCCTGCGATGCTTGGAGGAGACAGGGTGCCGGGGAAAGTCGGGAACAATCACAGTATGGACTCTCCACCTAGCCAGGGATGTAGAGGGGTAGTGCTTACTGTGTAAGACGATAAGCAATTGTAATGTGTTGAGAGATGGTTGTGGTCGAGGTCAGAGTAGGGGCTTGGCGCTTACATACATAATGGCAACCGAATTCAGACACATGCGTGCGTTAGGGCAGGTCAGATCGCGTCAACTTTCAACGCGCCGACTTCCCAACGCCGACACGTTACAGTCATCTCTGGCTGTTTCTGCTCACATTTGCTCGATTTTAGGGTACATAACTGGTATAAAATTATTTTAATGGCTCCACTACACTGATTCCAAGTGGTTTTACGAGAATCCATGGGCTGCTTTAGTTCTGGGTTCTATTTTAAATTTCAATGTACCAAATGATGGTGGATGACTGTGTAGTACTCGTATCCGTTGTCAGAATTTCCCGACAATCCACCAAAGTCACGAGGTACGAAGAGCTAATGCTGAGTTGGACAAGCCCGAAATAGACTATAGGGTTTTACCAGCGAATCTGAGAAATTTGCTGTCGGTGCACTTCAAGCCCAAGGCCTGTGTTCGTTAGATCATTTTGGCGTATACCCTCTTACGCCGTTGCTCTAGAAGCAAAAGTGAAAATGAATACATGTTTGAACGACGTTGTGGTACAAATCCTGATCCTAACAAACTTGACGGTCCAACAAATCTTGAAGCACACAGATTGATATGTACTGAACATAACATAAAAAATGCATTGCGAATTCTAAAAAGAGAGAAAAATAAGTATAGGATCAATGAAGTCCATCACTATATAGGCAGTGTCCAACATGCGATCAAGAAGTCCTAGAAGCCCGTTGAAGTGCCTGCTTTGGGTGTTGTCACTTTCTGTGCCCTGATACGCAGGGATGAGCGTGTAGGTGGCCGGGGGGGTGGCAGAGATTTAGTCGACATCTTGGATTTCTTCTGCAAAGGCGACTCAGGATGAGGAGTTGAGTCCTCCTCATCCGCTGGCGGCTTCCTCTTGGATCCTCGAGCTATGGCGTCTAGTTGATCACCGAGATTCGTGCGTTTGGATGGCCAGCCAGGCGTCGCAAGTGTTATCTTGAAGAGGGAGGCAAAATGGTCGTGACTATGAAGGCGGATCGTTGCAGGGGGTGGAGGCACGAGTCTAGAAGGGGATGGGTGCGGGGAACCGTCTGACGGAAGTGGCTTGTCCCGCTGTTCATGGGCGATCCGACGAGACGTGATTTGACAATACTGGTAGAACTCGGACAGGCAGTCCAATGCATCATGGAGCCACGTGGCGAGGGGCTTATTATCCGTGAATTGGACATTGAGGAATCCATCCATGATCAAGCCACGTTTGCCCTGACCGCCGACGTACTGGCGGATCGAATTCTCCCATTTCCACTCCAGGAATAACTTGTCGATCAAATCCTTCAGCTTATCCAGCTCCAAGTTGTGCGGAAGGCACCGAAGGGCATAGTAAAGGACGAGATGAAAGAAGGACTCGAGATCGTCTTGCAGAGTGTGTAACTTGAGGGGATCGATCAGCAGCAGACCTGAGATAAAGTTCCACGTTCCCTGGAAAATGGAATAAGCAATAGCTTGACTAGTTTAAAATGAGGCTGCATACCGTTCGATAAGAATGTCGCGCAAGGTCGTCCTTTGGAAGGACATCACTGCCGGGAATTCTGATCCGTTTAGCAAGGTCCCAATCATTCAGGATTCCTCGCCCATTCTCGTCAATCATGACGTTGTCTTCGCTGATGTCCCGATGAAGAATGCCGCGTACTACAAGGGCTTGCGTATGCGCTGCCCAAACGAACAGCAATTAGGCCCCTGTTAGCGGGAAAGAAGAGACGAAAACTCACCCTCGAACGCATCAGAAATGACAGTCATCAACTGCTTCGGGGTGGTGAACTTTGAAAGGTGAATACCGAGAAAGTCTTGTAAGAATCGGTTGTGCGCTCGCGGTTCCAGTGAGGCCAAGTGACCCGCTCGCCAAGCTGCCTTTGCATGCGTTTGAGAATGCGTTTCATGGTAAGGGCCGATTATATCACCCCCGTCCGCAAACTTGGGAATGCGTGGCACGCCCGCTGCACACAATTCCTTGAGAATGTCCGACTCCTTCTCCATCCCTTCCAGGTTGGTTCGCCATGTGTCCTTGAGAAACATGACCTTCTTGGTCTTCAAGTCGAAAACATGAAACGCTCTTGTCGCTCGTCCAGTGAGAGAATCGGGTTCCATGAGGGTATCTCTTCCGATGACCGTACGGGAGGATCCATCCTCGGTGGGCACGTTTAGCGCAAGGAACGGTCGGGCCTTATCCAGCACGGGAAGGTACTTGCTCAGGTGGGGAACCGCTAGCGCCTTTTCCTCCTTAGTCGCCAGGCGGACGGTGGTATCGATTCCAAGATCCTCATCAGACAGGCGAGCGAAGCGATAGAGGAATTCAGCAAGGACTTGGGAGCTCGACCGATAATTGAAGGCCCTCGTGACGATGGTGCCACTTCGGTCGGCTCGAAGGAAGCGGGCTTCGGTTTTGTTCATGAACACCATGAATGCGTGCGTCCTGTATTGGCGAGCACAAATCTCTGCCAAAACTAACGCCATTTGACCACGGTGTGAATCCGGCTCAATCCCATCCTTCTCGAAAGTGTGCTCGCGCAACTGGGCTTCGGTCATGCCGTCTTTAGGCGGGTCGACGAACGGTGAATCATTGTCGGGCTTGATCTCGAAGGCCAGCTGAACTTCCTCGAACGCTACGTTGTGTTTCTTTTGATCGTTGGTCTTGTCTTGCGCTTCCTTCTCATCCTTCGCCTTCCGTGCAATAATGTCTGGTTTCCACTTCTTGTGCTGTTGAGAATTCTTGTCTGGACCGTCGGACGTGTTGAGCAGTATGTACTTGTCGTCCATAAGACCAGCCTTCCGGATGAGTTCGATCTTCTCGCCAGACATTGATCATTTGGCAAAACGAGATATCTGAACATGACTCACCAATGGCTGATACATCGTTGATTCCTTCTTGTCCCGGGGGATCGATCGGAAGAAGTTCTCTGTGACGAGATCTTTCGGTACTTCGCCGTCGATGGGCATGTATCGAGCGAAAAATTCGTTGTTGGGCATGGGGCCCACCCAGTGTCCGGTCATTTCCTGGGACATGTCGTGACGAGCCTGCTTGTAGTCGACTCGGGCTGGCTTGCGACGGGAATTCCTCCTCAATGCAATCGGGGTGCCACCTTGAAGAGAGGCCGTGAGGTTAGGATTTGCTAAGGCGCCGTGGAGAGTCATGGTAGAGATTAAGGGACTTACCTGAATATCAAATGTTTATATAGCGTTCGCAGAAAGTGAGCCACAGGCCACAGTCGGTTGTTGAAATAATTGGGCCACTTGAGGCGCCGAACAACGTCGATTTTTTCGGCCTTCAGGTATAGAGTCCGTCCACACGTGTAAGCGTCGGGCGATTCCCAAGAGGATCTGTGAACAGTGGGCAAGCAAGGGAAGTGGTAAAGTCGTTGTTGATGATCAAGTTCAAGGGCGTTCGGACCGATTTGGCAATATGCGACACCGCGGTCACGTGTAGTGGTCTAGCGGACTTTAGGGTCGGCTAGATCGTGTTTATCCGCAGGCGGTGAAGCAGGGCTGCAAACCTAACATGATATTTGTGGAAGGGAGGATGATATTTCACATAAGGTAGAGGCCATCAGGAACCAGCTAGCTTATGTAATCCAAAAACCTTTGCAATGTCGCCTCGAATTGCAGCCTCAACACTGAATTAATTCCCCATCATAGTGCTAAGACTTGTAAAATACATTCCAAAGAAGAGATCCCTGGAAAAAATAATTTGAATTTTTGCTTTGGGGCCAAGAAATAAGGGTCCAAAAATTTGACCATGAAAAGTGTAGTAAATGCAATAAAACCCATTTTCGTAAAGGCAATATTCTTTTTGAAAATGCGACGCGGTGGATTTTGCCGCTTACATAATGCATACACGTGACTTAGGGGGAGGAGGAAAGGCCACAAACTGCCACAAAATGGCAACAAAATAACCATTCTCTGCACATTCAGACATGGGCCGACACTCCAAAGCAACTACTGCACGTCTTGGGAACCTCAACCACCCTAGAAGGTCCTATAAACCCACTGTAGAAGATGTGAGCGAGTCAGAAGATGAAGATTACATCCCTACCAGCAACAGGCAGCCACTCCTCGAAGAAGGCTTCTTCTTCCTGGATGAAGACTTGGATTCAGACTCGGACTGGGACCCAGAGGATGAGGAGGAGGTGGAGGTTGATGAGGAAAAACTAGAGGGGCTGAAGAATGAGAGTGACATTCATCAGTTCGCAGCTGTTCTCTGTGAAGCTCAAGCTCTTGCTGTAAAGGCTGAACGTGAAGCAGCAGCTGATAAGCCCAACCGCCCAAAGCACTACACTGGGAACTCGAAATGAAGCCAGCGGCTCCATGCCTTCAATCGGAAGAAGTTAGCAGCAGCTGGACAACAATTTATTAATTCCTGGTTCACAGTAGCCAAAAAGACGGTCTCCGAGGATGAATCTGGTTCAGACTCAGACTCATCACCTGAAGACCCACCCACCGAAGATGTTGAGGCAAGCATGGGCCGGCTCTTCCCTGAAAGAGATGAATTGAGCAATGAAGTCAGTCCAGATGCATGTCAAAAGCTTAATCGAGGACTAACCAACAAGACTAGATGAACCCGGGGCCGTTGCATGACACTACAGGCACCCAGAGTGACACATGAGTGAGATCTGCAAAGGAGGAAGTCGAAGAGCTCCTGAAGCAGTTGCGGAACGGATGTCGCCCTTCGGATGACAGCCCTGAGACAAGGACTGATGTCCTGTTGAATGGATTATGCTACAAGGACTTTCCTATGCTGCATCGTGCACTCACAAAACTCACCGTCAAGAGCAAAGACAAGAAGCTTGATGTGTTCTTCCGAAGCCGAATTACAGGGATGGTTGCGACATTGAATCTTTATCTCGATTCACAGCTCTCATATACATGGCGGGAGGCTTCCCTGATTGCAGCAAAAGCTGCAGGACGAGGACCCAATCACGCACGCAACCTACAAAAGTGGATCTGTCAGTTTTTGAAATCTGGGAAACTGCCCCTTCACCGATATGGCTCCTACAACTCCTCAATCCTCGATGATGAAGACTTTGCCCGGGATATCCAGCTACACTTGACAGAAAAGGCAAAAGATGGCTACATCCGGGCACAGGACATTGTTGACTACATTGCCACAAAGGATGTCCAGGAGCGGCTTGGGGTGAAGGCACGAGGAATCACCGTTCGAACGGCTCGACGCTGGTTGAAGAAGCTGAACTGGCGATATACCCGCAAACGGAATGGCATGTACATTGATGGCCATGAAAGGGAGGATGTGGTTGCTTATCAGAAAGCATTCGTGTCACGCTGGCAGGAATATGAGAAGCGTTTCATTATTTATGACAATGATGGCAACGTACTCTCTAAACCAGCTGGCTTCCCTGTCCCTCAAATCGGCCGCTTCCGCTTGATCCTGGTCACACACGATGAATCAACGTTCTATGAAAACGACAGACGCAAGACAAAGTGGACCCACTTCCAAGAAAAGGCGACAACGGAGAGAAAAGGAGAGGGGCCATCGATCATGGTGTCCGAATTCTTAACACCTGATTGGGGGCGGCTAAAAGACGGAGATGAGTGAGTAACATTCAAATGATTATCCACCACTCAAGGCTGATCATCGAGTGAAAAAAGCGAGGCACATATCCTCTTCAGAGCAGGGAAGAATCGGGATGGTTACTTCGACAATGACGATCTGATCAGTCAAGTGGATCATGCTATTGACATTTTTGAGGGACTCACCAATGGCTTTGCAACTGGTCTTTTCCTGTTTGACAATGCACCGAGTCACCAAAAGCGGGCAATGGATGCCCTCTCTGCTCGGAAAATGCCCAAAAATGCCCATGCAACATGGACACATCACAAAGATGGCCCAAAGATGAGGACCACCTGCTTCGGTGAGCACAGCACTATCCAAGACTTCTATTACCCAGATGATCACCCCACCATGCCGGGCTGGTTTAAAGGGATGGAGAATATTATCCGGGAGCGCAGTCTGTGGCCACAGCGGGGGCTCAACGTGCAGTGTGAGGGGTTCAAGTGTGAGCCTGGGAAGACGGACTGCTGCTGTCGACGGCTTCTATTCACACAGCCCGATTTCGTAAATCAGAAGTCTCGCCTTGAAGAGTTAATCACTTCCCGCGGTCACATTTGTGACTTCTACCCAAAATATCACTGTGAACTCAATTTCATTGAGCAGTATTGGGGGGCAGCAAAGCTTCGGTATCGGAATAGCCCCAAGACAACTGATATAAAGGAGATGGAGAGGAATGTACTTGCCTGCCTCGACGATGTTCCTGATGTTTCAATCAAACGGTGAGTGTTTATTTTCACTTCCATCAATAAATGGATCTAACGCGCTGATTAGATATGCCAATCGCGCTGCTCGATTTATCAACGGATACTTCCAGGGACTTACAGGCCCCGAGGCAGCGTGGGCAAACAGGAAATATCACGGCCATCGCACACTTCCTGCGTCTGTTGTTGCTAAACTTAAGGAGGAGTTCTTAAAGAGGTTTGGGGGGTCCAAGTAAATATTCTACTGTACTCTGACTTGTATTCCGAGGGTCAAAAATTTTGAAAATTTTCGAGAGCGAGATTTTGCCACCCTTGGCGCTTATATAATACAATTATATAAGCTAGCTGGTTCCTGATGGCCTCTACCTTAACTGTCGTTCACATTGTGTTCACACAGAAAAATTCCCCGAGGCTCGACGCCTGATCGATTTCTTCACTAAACCAATCCCACTTCAAAGCCGAAGTCCGGGATGGACTGCAATCAGACGCGTAAGGCGAACAGTGACCGTCGACAATATACTTTAGTACACTATTCGTCATATTTTCTGGTAGTAAGTCCTGTAGGGGGCGGGAGGTGGTGTATGTCATCGTGTACATCGGCGACCAACGAAGGCGGCAACAACAACCTTGCGAAATGTGTATGCCCAACGGTGGGTTCGAATAACAAGTGTAAGAAAAAACTTTTGGGAACCCAAATCAAAATTAGACAAGTGCGATAATAGTACATAACTGTCGTTATTAGGTCGACTGAGTGCTGGTAGAGGTGGGGCAGGATACTAAGGCGAGAACGTTGTAGACCATCGCCGAAGGTCAGAACACAGAGGATGGGTCAATGTCGAAGGCAACAGTAAAGCCTGAAGATCGATGCAGGATGTGGGGAGTTGTGCATGTGCGATGCGTTGTGGATGATAAATGGCTTGACGAAGCGGAAAGACCAGGAGGCTATTAACCTCAGTCACCAGTCACTCGCAGTATACCATTCGTCCAAAAAGTAAGGCAATGCTATCGCGTCTCTGACCTAGCAAAATCGGCGTTTCGGTGGTCCACAGATGCGAGGGGGCACCGCCGTCGACATCCGTCTGGATCCTCGAGTTCGGACGTATTGATCAAGTTCATCGCCAAGGTACGTGCGCGTGGACGCCCACCCAGGCGCTTCGAGTGCCGTCTTAAAGAGCGAAGAAAAATATTCGTGATTGTGGAGGAGGATGGTGGCAGGCAGTGGAGGCACAAGTACGCGGGGTACCGGAAGTGCCTCATCTTTGTGCTCTTCGAAGTGCTTCCGTTCGACGTCAATGCAGTACCAATAAAACCTGGCAATACAGCGCAACGCGCTGCGGAGCCACTTTTGAAGGGGCTTATGATCCATGAAGTCAACGCTGAGAGAGTGGTATCCCTCCGTAATCATGAAAAATTTCCCTTGGCCACCAACGTACTGGCCAATCGCGCTTCTCCACCTACACTCCTCAAATAGCTCAGCATGTAGTTCCTTCAGCTCCTGTATGCCTTGATCGTTAGGGATATACCGGATTGAATAATAGAGAACGAGAAAGAAGAAGGACTCGAGGTCGTCTTGCACACTGTGTATCTTGAGCGGATTCTTGAGGAGCCGAGCTGAAAGGAAATACCACATCCCCTGGCAATGTGAAGCAAGTTAGACATGATTAATGGGAGGGATTGAGAAGAAGTAGCATACCGTTCGATAAGAATTGAGAGCAAGATCGTCCTGCGGAAACACAGCACCCTCCGAAGCTCTCGACCCTTTGGCCATATCCCAATCGTTCAAGATTCCTCTGCCGGTTTCATCAAGCATGACGTTGTTGTCGTTAACGTTCCGATGAAGAATGCCGCATAATACAAGCAATTGTCTATGTGCTGCGGAATGTACGTCGATTAGGATCGTGGTTATGGAAAGAAAGTGAAGCCCACCGTCGAATGTATCAGCAATTGCCATTATCAGCTGTCTGGGGTTGCTAAATTTTGAGAGATGAATGTCAACAACGCCCTGCAAGAATCGATGGTACGCTCGCGGTTCCAGAGAGACCGGGGGACCATATCTCCATGTAGCGCGCGTGCATATATGTGGCTGAAGTTCATGGTGTTGACCAGCATCGTCGCACCCAGCCGTGACCTTGGAAGTGCGGCTGTCTGGAACGTCGGCCGCATGGAGTTCCTTCTTCATGCCTATTGCGGATGCGGCAAGACGATAAGTGTCCATGAAATTTATAGGGAAGGTAGACAGGTCGAGACTAAGCGTAAAGGACGTATCAACTGAAGGTGTCGAACGCTGATGTTGGTTGGTCTTGGAAGGTAGCATCTGGTGAAACTTGTGCCAGTGGCGAAGCCGTTGTTGCATGGACACGCCCACGTGATGATCAAGTTTAGGGCGGGCTGTATGGCGTTCAGGGGGTCATGAATTCACAATGCCCTCTATATTACTTATTACTAGGCGGATTAATTTCTGCGTCGCTTAGGAAGTAGTGTGGGCGAAATATATGGCTGCTGTGATTTGCCGCCGAGGTGCAATCTTGTTCTCCATCTCCATCTCATCCTGTTGCCTCTATGTTCCTCGCTGGCCAGGGGTTTATTTAAGGTGATTTTTGTTCTTGTCTTCACCCAGGAGACGCTGCGGACGGTAACGCTGCTTTCAACACCGCAGAGGAACCAGTTGGATGGAGAATTATGTGTGTGCGTGGTCCTGGTCGAGCGTGGCGTACGGAAGCCTGGGTCGACGAGGCGGAAATACCAGGAATGTATTTGTAGGATGGTCACATCGGTTACAAATCTGTCGCAGGGAACTATTTGCCGCAGTGTTGTGGTATATGCGACCTAGAACAATCGGCGTTTCGGTGGTCCACAGATGCGGGGGAGCACCAGTGTCGACATACGCCTGCGTCCTCGAGTTCGGACGTATTGATCAAGGTCATCGCCAAGGTACGTGCGCATGGACGCCCAACCAGGCGCCTCGAGGGCCGTCTTAACGAGGGAAGAAAAATATTCATGATTGTGAAGGCCGATGCTGGCAGGCGGTGGAGGCACAGGTACGCAGTGTAACGGAAGTGGTTCGCCTTCGTGCTCTTCAAAGTGCTTCTGTTCAGTGTCGATGCAGTACCGATAAAACTCGGCGATACAGCCCAATGTGTTCCGCAGCCAGTTTTGAAGAGGCCTGTGATCCACGAAGTTAATCCTGAGAGTGTGGTATCCGCGCGTAATCGTGAAGAATTTCCCTTCGCCACCAAGGTACTGGCCGCTCGTGCTGTTCCACCTACACTCCTCGAATATCTGGGATTGCAATTCCTTCAGCTTCTCTATCCCTTGATTGTAAGGAATATACCGGAGTGCATAATAAAGAACAAGGTAGAAGAAGGATTCGAGGTCGTCTTGCAGGGTATGTATCTTGAGCGGTTCAATCAGGAGACGAGCTGAAAGAAAGTACCATATCCCCTGGCGAAATAAATCAGGCACAATTAAAGGGACTGATTGAGAAGACACCGCATACCGTTCGATAAGGGTTGTGGGCAAAGCCATCCTCCGAAACCAAACTCTCTGCAACTCTGCCCCCCTTAGCAAGATCCCAATCGTGCAAAATCCCTCCGCCGTTTTCGTCAAGCATAACGCTGTTGTCGTCAATGTTCCGATGAAGAATGCCGCATAATACTAGTAATTGTTTATGAGCTGAAAAACTGGACGTCAATTAGGATCGTGGTTGTAGAAAGAAAGAGAAGCTCGCCGTCGAAGGCATCAGCGATTGCCATCATCAGCTGTCTGGGGTTGCTAAATTCTGAGAGATGAATGTCAACGGCGCCCTGTAAGAATCGATAGTGCGCTTGCGGTTCCAGAGAGGCCCGGGGACTATATCTCCACGTAGCGCGAGAGTATATATGTGACTGAAGTCCATGATGTTGACCAGCGTCGTCGCACCCAGCCGCGATCTCGGAAATGTGATTGTGTGAAACGTTGGTAGCGTGGAGTTCATTCTTCATGAGGATTTGCCACGGACCTTTGGAAACTGTGACCTTCTTGGGCTGCAAGTCGTCAATGTGGAGCGCTCTTGATGCGGGTCCGGCAAGACGATAAGTGTCCATGGAAGTATCCGTGCAGGTAGGCAGGAAAGGTGTTGAATGCTGATATTGTTCGGTGTTGGGAGGTACTACTAGGACCGAGGTAGTGGTGAATCTGATTCATCAGAAGTTGTTGCTGTTGCGGACGCGCCCACATGATAATTAAGTTTAGGGCGGGCTGTATCGCGTTCAGGGGTCTCCTACATTGCTAAGTAAACGATGAAGGGGTCATGAATTTATACTGCCCTCTATTCTACTACTAGGCAGATTTGTTTCTGTGTCGCGTAGGAAGTAGTGTGGGCGCTATAGTGTTGTGTGCGGGGGTGGCTTCTGGCCCTTGCTGCGATCTCCTGCCAAAGTGCAATCTCGTTCTCCATCTTATCGATTCCGGTTCCGTATATGTTCCTTCCCGACCAGGGTTTCTTTAAGGTGATTTCTATTCTTGTCTTCACCCAGGAGAGGCTGCGGACGGTAACGCTGCTTTCAACACCGCAGAGGAACCACTGCACAAGGTCATCAGCCTGCGTGCACACGTTCATGGAGTGGTGCGCGCCGTCTCAGGCGCCATCGAGCGTTGGGGGAAGTACGTATAGGTTCGTGTCAGCCGTCGTGCGCATGGTCAGGTCATGTCACAGTCGCTGTAGCGATTCCTTCCTGAACAACCCCCGCAGCTTCTGGCGTCGAGCATCCCAGGACTTGTTTATGAGAAAGTGTTGAGGTGCGCCGGCCTGGGATGGGGGTGAGTGTGCAATGATGACGAGGGGGACCGAAATTACCATAGAGGTTGGCCGACGACGGACTGGCGGTAGGCCGTTGATACACGGGGTGTCGTCGACGCATGCTGACAGCAAGGCGGGGAATTGGGTACCGCCAGCGTGGCGAGACTTTGGTGGTGTCCTCAGGACGAAGATGGATGTCGTAGTGGATTGATTTGAGCCGAGTCAAGACGGGGAGATATTGTCGATGATGGAACGAAAGCTTTGGTAGGATAGACGATTCGACTTAAAATTCTTAAAGGCGGGTGGGCAAGAGCTCACCCACGATGTGCAGATGGCTATCGGTGTCGGCGTTGTGCCCAAGGCGACGACGCCAATGGTGATAGTGCTTTGGGTGGTGTGGCAGGTATAGTATTCAGCCTGCAAAAGATGTCAGTCAGCCTCGTCGAACATAGCGGGTGGGGGTAAATGTACGTACAAGCGACCTCATGCACAAAGGTGATGAACCCGTCAGGGCGAGATGGTGTAAACAACGCCAGCCGCATCTTAAGGCGTTGTCAGTCAAGGCGAGATAGTTCTGAGGACAGCAAGACGCACCATAGATGTCCGAGCGGCGACGACGTTCGACCGTCAACCTCCAAATGATGTGATGACGACGAGGCGAGGTCATGGTGGATAGAGAAACAGGACAGATCGTCGAAAGACGAAAGGCAAAGAGTAGGTAGGAGACGACTCGGACTCGAGATAGTCGTGGTCGTAGAGAAGAAAGGAAATGAAATGCGAAGGGGTTTAAATACGCCATCCAGGCTTGGTCGTGTTTGTGTCCACCACGATCGGGACCACGGCAGTGTCAGCCTTCGGGGCGAGAGCCTTGGACGGACAGTCAGCCGTCTTGAAATCCCTCGGTCGAGAGGGGAAAGAGGAAGAAGGGACGATGTCGTAGACCTGTACAGATTTAATAATTATACGAACAACGGCGTTATGGATTTTCCGCCTTGTAGGCGCTGTGTTTGATAATGAAAATCATGAGAACGAACGACGTTTTGGACGCGTGACGTCATTGAAGAAGCCCCTATTTTGTGCGCCCAATCCGGAAGGAAACAATATTTGACTCTAAATCCTGAGACTGAGAGAGATGGGATGCGTACTAGAGCAGACGGTGGAACAGAATATTTGGGTGACAACAATTCATGACTGGGGTTGTGCGAAGCTTTGGCTCGGAGTAGCACAGGGATTCGGGCTTAACGCGCTCGAACCATCCTTCCTGCGATCAGGTCGAAGAACAGACTCCAGGTTCTGCTAGAACCAACCCCCACTGTTCTTTCCTTGCTACTTACCCCATGACGCACGCCAGCGCTGCATCATCACAGATTAAAATGCAAAAACGGGTCAGCGGAGAAAGAAGGGGCCATGACCGACAGAAAAACGGCACCTGGAATGCATCGTGTCGCGCTTCTTGCGTTTCATCCGCCACAGAGGGTACAGAATACGTCACCACCAGCGCTAGCGAGGTCCTTTGGCCAATGAGCAGAGGAGGGATGATAGGGCAAGGTTATCAACCCGAAACCAAGCGGGTCGGAGATGGCAGCTGATCATTTGTGTGAGATGTGGGGATGCTGGAACCCTTCGGCCTTGCAACGACACAGGATTCGTCATCTCTCGCAGTCTGGATAAAATCTCCAGCCATCATCTGCCAACATTTCCCAACAGTGGTTTCACAGAAAAGAGGCAATAGCCTGAAGCCAAGAGATGAAAACCCAAGGAATACGGAACACACCAAGATACAATAGCGAGAAGTGTATCGACGTCCATTCTCGTCGGAGAGCTACGGACGCGGGTCGGAGAGGGACATGGCGTGCCCGAGTCGCAGGCTCGAGCCTAAGACCAGCTGTTCCAAGTTAGTGTAATACGATAGCTCCTCGTAAGCCGTTCCTGGGCTGATACTCAGGTAATATAACCTCGACGAGAAGACGACTCCATCGAAGCGCTGAAAGAAGTAAGAGGTGGCGGGACCAGAGCTAAGAGGTCACTGGGAAGCGCTGCCGACGTGGATAGTGGTAAGTGCTGGCCGAATTCTCGAGCACGAGTACCAAACGCATGATACCAAGAGGATGCAACGCCACAGGCTCGGAGAGATACGAGCAGCTTCGCGGACGAGAGGTTGGCGATTATTGTTCTGTCCAATGATTCTTGCGGATGGGACCGGAGATTGGGTGAGATAGCGAATCGCAAATCTCGTTTAGTTCAGCTTCATGTACTGGGTGTTCTAGTGGGAGGAAGGCCGTGGAATGCCCGAGCGCTACCGAAATCCTGTTCGGGGTGGGGCATCTGACGAGACATAGCCCGAGCTGTGGATCACTGTGCGTGCGGGAGGCGATAAACGGACTCGGACTCACCAAGTACCGAGTTCGCCGTCTGCTTGCTATGTACATCGATGAATCTATGGCGCGGTCGGGTAGGGGTATCACCCTGCGATGAACGACGAGGGAAGTTGGCGGGTGAAGACAACCTATTCCAGCGTGTGTCCTTCCGGTGCCACGAGCTCCGAAGGCAAGCATCGATGGACTGCCTCCCTGGCCAATCAGCTGAACACGAGGCTCGACGTCCGATTGAGGTAAGAGGGGTCGAAGCATGTTGAGTGATCGTGAGATTGCCGTCTCAGTTGGCACAGGGTTGGGTGTGCTGCCTGGCGAAAAATGCAGAGTCTGTCACGATGATCCCCCGTTTGACGACATCGCAGCCGTGAAAAACTTTGCTGTGTATAATGTTGAGAGAAACAATCGATGATCGAGTGCGGCGAGGAAGTCGATGACGACAGAATATGCCTGGATTAGGGGAGGAGCCTAATTTTATCAGAAAACAACGTGTTCAGGCGCAGATAGAGGCAGCAATGTGGTTGCCCCGGTCAATAACGTCGCGAGATCGCAGTTCATCGTCGGTGGACTGGCTACCATCGAGAGAAAGAACGTCGCAGCGCCTTCGCGGAATCGCAGACTTGCAGCAGATGATCATCTAAGAGCGAAGATTGAGCTTGAATCTTCTTGCCTTGCTGTTCGAACGCTGCACCCTGCAAACGCATGTCGCCTGCACAGGGTTTGATCATGACCCAAGATAGCTGGAAGGCTGGGTCTAGTACGAGCGTCGATTTGGGCTAAATGAACTTGTTTTTGGAGATTGACAACGTGTTTTCCGCAGCGTGCTTTGGAGCAGAAGGTATCTTTGAATCCGAAAATTCGTCTTCGAGCTGCCAAGCAAGCGACACCAACGGAACGGAATGCGGGTGCGTCCCAGAACAAAAGCAGCGCAGGATAGACTAGAGTTTGAAGCTTGTGCTTGGTGAAGGCATCGGAGGTAGATTTACAAGATATGCAGGTCGAGAACCGCAGAAGCCCCGTTGAGATGAACGTCGGGAAAGAAGATGAGGCGTGTGAAAGATAACGCTGAAACGCGAAACCGTGGGCACAGCCTATTTTGGGAGCCCGGGTATAAAAGCGCAGTCTGGTTGCACGTCTCTCTACCGAACGGTCACCTCACTCGACATATCCAACTCTTTAACGACCTGCAAACCTCTCTATCCGCTGTATCACCATGAAGTTCATTGCCACCCTCTTCTTCGGTCTCCTCGCCTTCATTTCTCTCGTCTCTGGCGCCCCAGTCCAACTCCAAGAGCGAGACGTCTTCGTGCCACCAGTCCTGCTCCCAAACAGCCAATCGGTTTGGAAAGTAGGCACTCGACAGACTGTCACTTGGTAAGCTATAGTGCGAATCGTAGACAACGCTGTTAATGCTCACATGATCTGTTCATAATTAGGGACGTCTCGAAACCCCCGAAACAGATCACCAACAACAAGGCGAGAATCGTTCTTGTCACCAACGGCCGCTTGGATTTTGGTACGCAGCCATAGCCCTCATGAGGCGGCCATAACTGACTGAGCCGTGCAGAACATCCTCTGGCCATTGACATCGATGTCCTTGCTGGCAAGGCCCATGTCACAGTGCCCCACGTCGCTCCGGGAAAGAACTATCAGATTCTCGGTGCGTCATGTTTTTCTTACCTGGGGTTTCAACGCGCTGACCAACCTCTCTCACACAGTCTTCGGTGACTCCGGCAACACTGGCGAGTTCTTTACGATCACAGCGTGAGCGAGCCGATCAACCCCACCCCCTCATGAACGCACGACTCCCATTACAAGGAAATCACGAAAAAATGGACTACTTCACCCTTGTACACTCTTCGTTCACGCACCCACGGACTTGCGTAATGCCCCCATCTGTACCATATCTCGCACATTGCTCTGGACTTTCGACCTTTGGACACTTTCGTGTATTTCTAGCTACGTTAGACTCTCCATTCCTAGTGTTGATGCTATAATTCATCATCTTGGCTGTCGCACGCGTGAAACGGAAAGTAGGAGGCCTTCTGGGGCGTGCCAGTTCAATGTTCTCGGAGGCTTGGGACCTGCTTCTTTAATAACGGTTTGATTGGTCGGTCAGCGTGCTCTGAGACGAGAGGAAGTAACGACGAGCGCCTCGAGGGCAACAAAAGCCGCTCAATGCACGGGTGACATAATTCCCGAGATGCTGAACTCGCTGAATACTCATTAATCTTGTTCCACTCGAGTGGCCGATATCTCCCACTGAGGAAACGTATGGGTGGATTGATGGCCAAGCTACTAGCACTCCGGGGCTGGGCAGGCTGAAGAAAACTGAAATGGAGGACCTCGCATGCTGAACGAAGGAACCCTCGATGCTGTCATAAACATAAACCTCAGAATAGCTAGATTTGCGGACTTCATTTGGATTCGCCGTTTCTTCCTTTGTGCTCCGTGTATAGTGAGCCTCGTTGTGTGAGCAACGAGCAATGGGCATTTGTAAATGATACCTCCCCTGGAAGCGTTCCCGGCTCTGGGCTTTCGTGAACACTAATGCAGGGTCGCCACATTTCTTTTTTAGCAAAAATATTTCCGACATGGGTGCGTGCCAACGGAGGGCCGCGCTAAACCCCAGGTACATGAAAAGTCCGATCGCACAAGTGTACGTTATGTCTTCCTGTGCCCGGGCCCTCGCCTTCGATAATGAGAACAAGTATGTACTAGCCGCAGGTACCGCGCTGTATCCAAGTCCCTCGAAATTTTCGGACTTGAAACCTGTGTTTACTTCGATGACTCTTCTGTCTCTGTTCGTATACATGAAGTCCTTGGGACCCAGATTCATGCGTTGCTTTCCTATCTGTTTCACTATAGAGTAAATGACTCCTCTACGACAAGTTTATTTGGAAATAAATACGGAGGCGCAAGGTGCACGTGAAAGGGCGGGGTTGCCTATTTTGGTAGTCTGTCGGGGATTTCGTCCTGAGTTAGGCCTGAAGTCCTTCGACAGCGCCTGGCAACCAGAATCTCAGAAGTTCAGGCCTCGCTTACACGAAGTGTAATTTCAGCCTCTTCAGGCACTTACCTTACATACGAGTGTCTGTTTCATCGAAGCCTATAAATTGCCTGCCGTCTAATAATGGATCTAGCCCCCCATCGACTATTGTTCCAGCGGGAAAGAAGCGCACATAACACCATCGTCTGTCACTGTCAGACGTACATATGCACGGTTCTCCGGTATCAGAACTTGGATTGTTGGAGCGCATTTCAATCTTGGGACAGCAGTCACATGTGCATCATGGATCATTACCCGAGAGTACATAAGAAGCAGCCGAACATACGAGAACACCGTTGACGCTTGTCTCCCACCACGTCCACGTCCACTGCAGGCTGCTCGCCGTAACGACCTCAGGCCCTCGACGATGCTTGCACTACACGCCATTACGACTCTCCTCACCACGGCGTTCTGGATGGGCGTCCAGGCGTCACCGCTATCCCGCCGAGACGTTATTGCACCCAAGATTACGAGCCCGGATGCTAACACTGTGTGGACGGTCGGGTCGGTGGTGACGGTGACGTGGTACGTTGCTTCGGGGGCTCGCGGGGAACGTTCGCTCGAGCTCATTCCACCACAGGGACACCTCGAACTTCCCTCCAGATTCGCAAATCACGAACCCCATTGGCAAGGTTATTCTGGGCTTTGACGAGAACGATAGCCTCAACCTCGACTTCAGTGAGTCTCATTTCAGTTTTCTACATACGGCGGGGTTGGGCTTGGAGCTGGGCTTGTGGATGCGAGCTGCGCAGGCGAACAGCGTGCAATGCTCCGCATGCGTATCTATCTCGGTTCTGACCGATAGAAATGAATGCACACTGAACCATTCTGTTCCGTCACATCGACCTCGATCCATGGAATAGTCACTTACTGATACATTCAAACCCCACAGACAACCCACTCGCCCAGGACTTCAAGCTCAGAGACGGAAGCGTCCAGCTCACGGTCCCAGACGTCCCTCCACGCGACGACTATCTTATCGTCCGTGAGTACACCTCGTTCTTGACTATCAATTACGGGAATCTTACCATCGATGCAGTCTTCGGCGACTCCGGCAACACCTCTCCTGCGTTCGTCATCACGCGCATCGCTTCGGGAACGTCTGCATCTGCGTCGCGGTCCGCATCGAGCTCGACGCTAATCACCACACCCATACCTATCACCGGCTCGACCGTCACCGGCGGGATTTTGACGGACACGCGCACGCAGTCGCTGCCCACAATCAGTGACTTCAGCAGCGCCCCAGCTTTGACAGCTACATCGCCTGCATCGACAACTGCCAGCTTACCCATCTCGCCGGCCTCTTCATCCGAGTCATCAAGTACAACGTCTGCCACGGCGGATTCTGCGAACGCCACGACGACGAGCGCGGCGTGGTCGGTTCATCGCAGCGGCTTGAGCTTCAAGGCTCTATCTGCGTGCATGGCCTCTATGGTCGTGTACATGATGCTCTGACACGATTCTCTCCTCCCGCCTTGAATCCACGTGGGCGATTTTCTGCTCTCCTCTGGGTTCACTTTCGGCTTCAGGTTCTGAAGACTTTGATGTTCAATGCTTGGACTACCCTTCTCTTCGTTTGGTCGATCCATTTGACTTTCATGCTACGCTACGCCACGTTTATCCACTACCCCCTACGCATCGCACATCCACAACTCCCCCACCCTGCATCTATCTCCTAGCCTCCTTGCTTCTATACGACATATCAACCTCCCTCCTCTGCTAACCCACGGCGATAACTTTTAGCGTTGTCGCTCGGGTTCACCACGCCTTCGATCCACATCTGCCCCGCATCTAGTCGAGCTATCTACGACCATCACCTGTACTATCACCGCACACGTATGAATTCTTGGTTTTGGGTTCTTGTATCGCTTTGTGTCCTGAGACTTCTTTGAAGCTCTTCGTCGCGCGTACGGGTGTCTTGTGGCCATAGCCTTCCATAGCCCATAGCCCAAATAGGGGCTATCAGGGATGGAGGGAAATGACGTCACGCGCATGTAGGCGCGTCTGTCCCTGTCTGTCCCTGTTCAGCATGTGCGCCTCCGAAGACGAAGACTTACCGTTTGCGCTCAAAAACGAAAGCCCGATACTGCAGAAAGAATTATTTGTCACAGGGAAGTGTCCGATAACCGTAAGTCATACTCTACGTTCTCTAAATGGCCGCGTTGCGGCTCAAAGCCCCCTCTCCGAACGCATTGAATCTCCTACGCTTCGAGTCATCGAAGATGGCTGACGGTCAGGCTGACGATTTCTCCCTTCAACGAGCGTTTGAAAGGCGGCTGACAAGTGACGGTACTCCGCCTCGATCGAGTTATGGCTGACACAAATACGGCCAACCCCCGAGGGGTATAAAAGCCCCCCGCTGTCGTCTTCCCTCTTTCATCACGACCACGACCATCTCGAGTCGCCTTTCGCCTATCCGGTGTTCCACTTTGTCGATGTACACACACTCTCAGCGCCGTTGGGTCCGCCATAACCTCGCCTCGTCGTCTTCGTATTCCTTGGAGGTTAAGCATAGTCGCCGCGTTGTCTATGGTGCGTTCTCTTGTCCTTAAACACTCCTCGCCTTTATCGATGAAGACTTCAGATGCGACCGACCTCATTTACACCATCATCTCGCCTAGGTGCATTCACCGCCGTTTCGCATGCAGTTACCGGTACGTATATTTCTCCTCGCCCGCCACGGTCAACGAAGCCGACCCATATATTCTCCAGTCTCACTATGCCCGCCTCACAAGATAGAGCGCCAATACCGTTGGGCGTGGTCGCTTCCAGGCGCAATGCTAACACCGATGGCTATCCTCCCATAGTGAGTGCGCTCCTACCCAATCGCCTTCCAGAATGTCAAATATAACTCTCTTTCCTACCAGAGCCGTTGTTACCTCGTTGAAAATGCCCACCTCTCTCGACTCAGCCCCCATCAATCCTCCACTACCACCCATCTTCGCCCTGAGCACACCAACAAAGCCTCGCCACGCCGACGGAACCCTAACACACCACCTTGCCGCCAGCGTGCGTCGACGACACCCTACGTATCAACCATCTATCGCCAGTCCGTCGGTCACTTCTACGGTAATTTCGGTCCCCCTCGTCATCGTTGCGTACTCACCCCCATCCCAGGCCGACGGACCTCCTCAAACACTTTCTCATAAACAAGTCCTGGGATGCTCGACGCCAGAAAGCTGCGGGGTTGTTCAGGAAGGAATCGCTACAGCGACTGTGACATGACCTGACCATGCGCACGACGGCTGACACGAACCTATACGTACTTCCCCCAACGCTGGACGGCGCCTGAGACGGCGCGCACCACTCCATGAACGTGTGTACACAGGCTGATGACCTGGTGCAGTGGTTCCTCTGCGGTGTTGAAAGCAGCGTTGCCGTCCGCAGCCTCTCCTTGGTGAAGAAAAGATCGAAAATCAAATTCGTATGACGCTAATAGGCTGCCGGATGGGACGTAAAGAGAGGGAGTGGAAGCAGTGCCGCCGGAGTGACCGAAGCGTCAACAAAGCGCAAAACAAAGCGATTTAACGACATCTGACAACCCAATGAGGCGGAGCAGAACCTCGAGTAGGACATCAAGCAGGCTTGGGACGCACGCTCCTACGGCGAAATATTGGGCATCCATAATACTATCACCATAGTGTGATCATGCACCCGCCCTTGCAGTACATACAACCATTGGTTTTACACTTCGAGCATTCTCACTCTGGCTTCAGTAATGAATACCTTCTTTTTATTTGCACGATTACTTATGTCCGCGCAATGAACGCAGAACGCGATTCGGAGGGTTGAAGGGATGAGCATAGGGCACTCAGGCTTTGGCGACGAAAACATCTCCAGTGTGCGGTTACCTGAGCCGTTGAATATAATTCAGCTTGGTGAACAGTGTCTGGGTTGCGGTCTATGGCGCGAGTTGCCCTGCCCTAGAGTGCGCATCAGTCACGTGGACATGACCAACATTACCATCCGTCGATCCTCAAGAACGCTCCCTCTTGTCCACTCTCGGTGGAACCCCCGTTTCAAAGAGATTTGTAAGCGAGCTTGACCGAGTTCCGAACTGCAAGGACACCTTCCAAAGGATGGAGAAAGAAGAGAGGTGCCATTGGATTGGCCCCATGCCGAAGGAGGAATTCTTTTCGAAATACATGCATGTCGACGATGATGTCGAACTACCCACCGTCGCCAAAGACCACTTCAAAGGAGTCCCTAAGGGTTGTAAGGAAGTCGAGATGTACGAGCCTCTGGTGAGTTGTCTCATTTGCATATCGCCGTCTGTCTCTGAATGTCTGCTATTGTCTATACAGATTCAGCTCATTCAGGATGCAAATCTTGGGGGGTCGTTTGACTTCATCAACACGTCAGCATATGCAGATCCCAACTCCCTCCCGTATAAGAAGTTCCAACCAGTTATCTCTACTCACTCCAAAGAGGGGGACGGAGATGGGGATTCGGATGAGGACAAAAAGACAGTGTTTTGGAGGCCGCAATTACCTTTCGAGCTCAAGACCGGCAAGCTTTCCCCCTTCTCAGACCCATCCAAGGACAGCACCGCCGAAGAACGTTTGCGACATCCTTTCGAGAACCCTTCCGAATCTGCGCGTGATCTCCGCGGTCAAATGGCCACTACTCTCGCGGAGATGTGTGCTCGCCAGTTCCGGACGCATGCCTTCATGGTATTCATGAACGAGACAGAAGTTCGATTCCTCCGCACCGACCGAACTGCGACAGTTGTCACTAAAGCCTACAACTATCGCACCAACTCCGACGTATTGGCCGAGTTCCTTGCACGTTTCTCGCACATCACGGATGCCCAACGGGGTATGGACGAGTCAGTGAGGTCAGCCACTTCTGAAGAAATCGAGGTAGCACAAGCCTATCTCCGGCATTATCAGCAGACACCTCGAAGATTCCTTCCTTGGGTTGCCATTCAGGTGCCCACTCTGGATGGTTCAGTTCGCGAGGTTATTGCACGCGAACCGCTGTCGGAGCCGGATTCTTTAACTGGACGATCGACGCGCGCCTTTCCTGTGTACGATCTAAAAGAAAAGAAGGTCATGTTCCTCAAAGATACATGGCGGGCAGATTTACCTGGGATGGACCAGGAAACTGATCTTCTTCGACTCCTCAATGAGGCGGGAGTACAACATGTCCCCAAGTTGGTCGATGGCGGCGATGTTGTTGGGGTTGGGGAATATCACACTACTCATTCCCACCTGTCGGAGAATGCGACATGGAGAGCTGGTCCTCTCGCTGAACTGGTTCCTCGTGCACACCATCGATTCCTTGAAGATTTTATGGGCATTGAACTCAAGCGCTTCAAAAACCCCAGAGAGTTGATACAGGGGGTTGCTGATGCCTTCGAGGGTGCGTTTGTTGCTGTATTTGTTTGTTCATCTCTCCTCATATTTTCCCCCAGCGCATCGTCAAGCTCTTTATAAATGCGGAATTCTTCATCGTGACGTTAGTGTCAAGAACGTCATGCTCGATCGAGGCGGTCGGGGAGTGCTCAACGACTGGGACATGGCCAAGAAGGTGGGCATACCTGGCGAGCCACTCCCTCCCGCTCCCCCAGAGACGCCAAAGAGGCACTGTTATCGCACTGTAAGCCCTCAATTATCCTCTATTACTCATACATTTTTACTGACACTATAATTATTAGGGGACATGGTATTTTATGGCTGCCGGTCTTCTCGGAGATCCCCTTAAGTTTCACACCCTCCAAGATGACATCGAGTCTTTCTTCTGGGTTGTGTTCTACTATAGCCTACACTTCCTGCCGAATTCCCTTTCTGATGCCCGGATAGAGGCGATCATCAAGATTGTTTTCCAGCAATCGATCTACGATCCCGAGCTTCGTCAATTCACTGGTGGGGAGGGAAAGCTTAAGTTGATCATGTCCCGAAAATACATACAGGACCTCGAGTTCCCTGGCAATGCACCGTTGTCGCAATGGTTTGACGACGCTCTTCAATACCTCGACGAATACTACCGTTGGGAGGACGAGCGGAGCCGTAACGAGCGTCTCTGCAAAGCCGCGGCGGCCAAAGGGACGACGGCCAAGCTACCTGCTCTTCCTCCCTTTGAGAGCCTTGCACTGGCGGATCACTCGTCGTTCCAGCTTCTTTTCGAGTCGGCTCTTGCGAAACCCGACTGGCCAACTACACGCATCGGTGTGCTTCCTGCCTCGCCATCAGCAAGGGGTACTCGAAATGCCTCCAAACGCGGGACGCAAGATGACCTCCCTGAAACACCCTCGAAAAGGCCGAGGGCATCTGGTGTCCAATTCAAAACCTTTGCCAAATCGATACCATAGTCGTCGTTTTCTCCATAATCTGCCGGATTCTCAGACCAACTAGAGCACAGATGTGCATATGTAGCATGTAATGATAGAAGTCGTGATGTACATTTTTAATCCTATTTTTCTCTCCCTCTTCGTTCTCAGTTCCTGCGATTGATAACTTCAGATAAGGACAACGCAGGACATGCAGGACAACCGACGCGCTTGCGCCTGCCCTAACGCCCAATGGTGATCATGTGACCGTGAGTTTTGGCATGGCATCGCGGTGGCAGCTTCGCCATCCCAAGGGTTTTCCTTTTGCGGACGCGGACCGAGCGATGACCGAAATGACCGAAGAGACATCACGTGATAGAAAGAACCGAATTGAGAACAGTTCCGGGCCAAGAAACGTCCCTGCCGAAGTGTGAAACGGAAATAATGACGAAATGAGACACCTGCCGAGGAGTTTGAGCGAGGTTTCAGACGAAAACCCTGGCCAGAAAAGTGCACAGAATTGCTTCCGGAACACCCTTGAAATCACCAATTTTTCCGCGGTGGCAGCTTCGCCATCCCAAGGGTTTTCCTTTTGCGGACGAGGACCGAGTGATGACCGGAATGACCGAATGTACGTCACGTGATAGAAAGAGCCGAATTGAGAACAGTTCCAGGGTCAAGAACCGTGCCTGCCGAAGTGTGAAACGGAAATAATGACAAAATGAGACGCGTGCCGAAGACTTTGAGCGAGGTTTCAGATGAAAACCCTGGCCAAGAAAAGTGCATAGATTTGCTTCCGAAACACCCTTGGAATGACCAATTTTTCATCGCGGTTCCGTTTCTTCGTCGCTTGGCAAATCGGGACTTTTGACCGCAACCCTAACACCGACGACTGAGTACTTGCCACATATCTTGACTCATCATTCTCAACCAGGCTCTCGAGGGAACAATACAACACACTCTACCGCCCCTCTACGATGGATCCCTCCGTACAATTATTGGAAGATCTCTTCAAGGAACCAGATTTTCGTCGCGCGTGCGCTTGGACGAAAGTGCTCAAATTTTACGACTTGCAGACCAAGAAGATCCTGTCCCTCAAGGATCCATGGCAGACTCTCGTGGAGAAGGAGTTGGGCATTTGCAAGGAGTTTCGTGCAACGGACGCCACAGAATCCCCCAGGCTTTCAGCTGCCGTCGACGGCACTGGCCAACATTGTAAAGCTAAATCTCGCAAACACGCATGCGGTCCTTGAGTTGGAGACCTGGTCCTCTGATCTCTCTGGAACTGCAAACGCACCACCGATTCTTCCAGGACGTCGTCAACATTCACCTCTCGGAATTCAGCAATCCGAAGCAACTGATGATCGCAGTCGCTGACGCATTCGACGCCGGGCCGCTCTTCCTTTCCGTGAACGCGATCCTAATCGACTTACATTCCTCAGCTCATAAATAGTTGATGGTATTATGCGGTATCCTTCATCGGAACATTGACGACAGCAGCGTCATGCTTGTCAAAAGCGGTGGAGGAAGCTTGAATGACTGGGATCTTGCTAAGGGAGGCAGACTCGCAGAGAATACTTTGCTTCCCCAGGATGACCCTCCCCGCAATTCGTATCGAACGGTATGCCGCCTCTTCGAGTCCTCCTCATTAATTGTGTTTAATCCATTTCGTCAGGGGACATGGTACTTCCTTTCAGCTCGTCTCCTGATGGACCCGCTCAAGATACACACCCTGCAAGACGACCTCGAATCCATCTTCTACCTCGTTCTTTACTATGCACCCCGGTATATTCCTTGTAACAAAGGGATGGAGGAGCTGAGGGAAGTGCATGCTCAGCCTTTCCTGGAGTGGAGGGAAAGCGTGATTGGCCGGTATGTTGGCAGCGAGAGCAAATTCTTCACGCTTATATGCGGAGGATTAACTTCGTGGATCATAACCCCCTTCATAAATGGCTCCGCAGTGCACTGGGTTGCATCGCCGAGTTCTATCGTTACTGCATCGACGGCGAAGAGCAGCTCTTCGAGGAGCACGAAGACGAGCCTCTTCCGCCATCATCTGAGCCTGTTTCTCCACCGCTGCTGCTACCTTCTGCCTCTACAATCATGAACACTTTTCTTCCCTGTTCAAGACGGCACTCAAGACATCTGGTTGGTCGCCCATACGCCCTCACCTCGGCGATGACGGTGAACTTGATCAATACGTCCGAACCCAAGGAACCAGGCGGATGTCGACGCCGGTGCCCCGTCGCATGTGCACCACCGAAGCGTCCATTGTTCTAGCCGCGAGACGCGACGAAATTTCCTTATCACTTGGCGATTGCTTTCTTGTGGGTGACTGACGACCGAGGTTGACTGTTCTGCAGACCCCTAGGCTCCTGGCCTTCCACTTCGTCGAGTCATGTCCTCCAGCCTACGAATTACCCTACACCGCGTTTATCTGCTACGCCTTATGGATACCCCATCCATAATTTCTCCACCCAGCATCTGTCTCCTATCCTCATCCCTGCCTCCAACGACGTATCAACCCAATAACTTTTCGTGTTGTCGCCTTGGGTTCATCACGACCATATCTGCCCGCGTCTAGTCGAGCTATCTACGACAACCATCTGTACTATCATTTCACGCGTATGGTCGTTGAAGTTTCCGCGTCGCGCGTGCGAGCGTGTTGTGGCTGCGGTATTCAGCTCGTTCCTTGGGATGGATAGGGGCTGTCAGGGATGGAAGACAATGACATCACGCGCGTAGCTGCGCCTGCCCCTATTCAGTTTCTGCGCCACCGCGGAGGCGAAGACTAATGTGCGTCGATAATAATAATAATCGCATTGAAGTGTCCCAGTAACCGTAAGTCATAGATATCGCCGCATTGCACCTCAGCCGTTTCACAGATATCAAGCGCGTCGCCGCCCCTTCGCCGGACGGATTGGATCCCCTACACCTTGGGTCACCCAAGACGGCTGACGGACAGGCTGACGATTTCTCCCTCCGGCCAGCGTTTGGATGACGGCATTCCGCCTCGATCGAGTTATGGCTGACACAAACATGACCAGCCTTCGTAGGGGTATAAAAGACCGCCCGCCATCCTCTTCCCTCTTTCATCGCGACCACAACAATCTCGAAACGTCTCCCGCCCATCTAGCGTCCCACTTCGGCGATGTACACAAACTCTCAACGTTCAACCCTGTTGGGTCCGCCATAGCCTCGTCTCGTCCTTTTCGTATTCCACGGAGGCTGGAGGCCAAGCGTTGTCGTTGTGTTGTCTATGGTGCGTTATCTAGTCCTTAAACGCTCCTCGCCTTTATTGATGAAGCCCTCAGATGCGGCCGACCTCATTTACACCATCTCGCCTAGGCGCGTTTACCGCCGTTTCGCATGAAGCTACTGGTACGTATATTTCTACTTCGTCCACCACGGTCAACGAAGCCGACCCATATATTCTCCAGTCTCACTATGCCCGCCTCACAAGATAGTACGCCAATACCGTTGGGCGTGGTCGCTTCCAGGCGCAATGCTAACACCGATGGCTATTCTCCCATAGTGAGTGCGCTCTTACCCGCTCGCCTTCCAGAATGTCAAGTCTAACTCACTTTCCTACCAGAGCCGTCGTTACCTCGTTGAAAATACCCACCTCTCAGCCCCCATCAATCCTCCACTACCACCCATCTTCGCCCTGAGCACACCAACAAAGCCTTGCCACGCCGGTGGAACCCTAACACGCCACCTTACCGCCAGCGTGCGTCGACGACACCCTGTGTATCAATGGTCTACCATCAGTCCGCCAACCACCTCTACGGTAATTTCGGTCCCCCTCGTCATCGTTGCACACTCACCCCGATCCCAGGGTGGCGGACATCTTCAAACTTACAAACAAGTCCTGGGATGCTCGACGTCAGAAAGCCGCGGGGGTTGTTCAGGAAGGAATCGCTACAGCGACTGTGACATGACCTGACCATGCGCACGACGGCTGACACGAACCTATACGTACTTCCCCCAACGCTGGACGGCGCCTGAGACGGAGCGCACCACTCCATGAACGCGTGCACAAAGGCTGATGGCCTTGTGCAGTGGTTCCTCTGCGGTGTTGAAAGCAGCGTTGCCGTCCGCAGCCCCTCCTAGGTGAAGGCAAAAACCTGAAAAAAAAAACAATAACTTTCTCGGCCGAATTCAAACCGGGAGGATGGATGACGGAGATGAAGCAGAGAGTGGACGCCGCGCAAGGAGATCCAAATAAATTGCCACGCATACGGAGACACGCTCAGGACTGCACGCGATAACATAGAGTACATCCCACCTCCCACAGGCTTTGCCACCGCCAAACAAATATGACTATTAGTGTACAGTCTGCCGCTATCTACTTGCCGGCCACTACGCCTCCAATTCCAATCGATCTCGAGCTTCACTCGAGCTTGTATACTGGAGCGAAGCTCCACAATTTCGTTAGTGCAGAAATCAATCCAGTGCTAAATGTCTTCTTGAACCCGTCAACGCCCATCCGCAACGGATCCTTTCATGGACAATCTCATTATATTGCTAGAGGCATCATACCAGCGTTATACGTTTCTGACTGGAGCACAGGAAGAACGTCATTACGCGAGATGCGTTTATTCTACCTATCTTTCCCGGACCCCCTCCCTAGCGCAAAAAGGGACGCGGAAGATAGGGGCGTCGAAACACGTGACGGCATTTTGGTTGTCGGTTCAGACGGCCCGTGCGGTTGAGCCCACTGAGCTCTTTCCCCGACCGCAGCATCCTTCTACTTCTCTGTATCGCTTTCAGTGATTTCCTTGCACAAGAACGGAAGCCGAGACTCCACGTCGATGAAGGGAGAACAAAGCGCTGTGATGTCGCCAACCGATGTCCCAGAAGGCGACTCCCAAACCCGGGACCGTCTGCCTTTTGTGCCTACTTGCCAGCCGCCGTCTTTGACATCTAGCCTGGGCCTTCTCAAGGGCCCATTCTCGGAAGATGCTTACGGACCTCTCTTACACGCAGGACGGATACTTTGGCTTGCAAGAGTGCCCGGTTGCAGTCCGACCGTGAGGTATTCGACGTCGCAAGGTCTCGACAACAGATGCTCGCGATTCATCGCTCAACCTCACATAATTTCGGCTGCGTCGTATCCCTCAGGTTACTCAAGTGGCTCTACTAGAACGACCCATCGCTTCATGGCAGAAGTGACCACCCACCTATCCGAATTTCGAGAGGCGAAGGAGTTGGTGCAGGTAGTGGCCGATGCTTTTGAAGGTGTGTGGGAGTGCCTCTCTCCATCCTTGGTTCTTACTGACTTCATCTAAGCCCACTCTCAGTTGTATTCCAAGTGCAATGTTCTCCACAAAAATGTTAACGACAACACGATATTGATACTCTATGCCACTGGTCGGGGAGTGTTGGCTGACTGGGATCAAGTGACGAGAGAACACGGAATCGGCCAGCCAGCAAGTTCAGAGAGACAGGCTGGGCCGGCCCGGCGAAAAACCACCAGTCCTGCCGAAGAGGCCAAAAGACATTCTTATCGCACTGTACGTCGAAGACCTGCTCTCGGGAGCCCTTTATCTGACATATCGCTACGTTCAGGGCACTTGGTATTATCTGTCGTCGAGGCTTCTTGACGTGCCGTTTAAATTACACACCGTTCAAGACGACATTGAGTCCTTTTTCCATGTCCTGTTCTACTACTGCCTGGAATTCGTCCATCACAACCGAGGCGACGACGAAGTCAAGTGCATAATCAACGATGTCTTCGAGGAATCCACTTATGATCCCGTCCTGGGTTATCACCAAGGCGGAAAGGGGAAGAGACTCATGTTCTTGATACATCGACACTTCAAGCCGGTCGGGTTCAACTTTCCCAACAACAGCCCCCTTATGGACTGGATTCGCGGAACGCATTCAGCTCTCCGACAATACTACGTGTACCTTCAAAACACAGAGGACGGTGACTCTGGAGCAGATGACCTCCCTGGGGTGTCTAGCAAACCACCGCCATTTGAGTCTCTTGCTATCTATGATCACACCTATCTCCGTAACCTCTTCGCCACGTCCCTCGCTCAGAATACCTGGTCGCGCGAGCGCAAGGGTGTTATCGTCACGAAGCGCTCCCGTCCACGTGTGACCAGGGCAAGCAGCAAAAACACTTATGACCGAGATGATTGTGAAGACCTTCCTCCTACACCCTCCAAGCGCGCAAGAACAGACCGATTTATCCTCCCAACGAAGACACCGTCATAGCAGTGATGGAATGGGAAGGGCGGCAATAAGTTGCGCTACACTACATGATGTTTGCCGCGGTACTTTACTTTTTCTATACTCCCATATTCTCATCCCGACTCTTATCCTTATTATTTCACAGCTACTGTATACTGTTCTTATCCATCATCATTATTTCTGAATGCCTTCAATCAAAAGTAGAAGTTTTAAGGAGAGCCTGAATCAAGTTTTAGTCGGTCCAAATATGCCCACCCGTGCGCCTGTGCCCTGAGTTCAATTGAACCATGATTATTTTCCCTATGCACGACCAACTGGGACCAATCCTGAAGCTTGAAGACCCAACAGAAAAATGGAGTCGAAGGAAGAAAACGCCTTCCCGAACCTGTGTCGCCTAAGAACTCCCAACCCACCCACTGTCCTCCAGTGTCCGTGCACTTTCGAAGCGTTCCTCAGATCAGGGTCCAAATTTAACAGGATCAAAGAGAAAAACTTCTTGGATGCAATCGTTTTATACCAACTAGGTGCCCCCCCTTTCCCAATTCCAGAATATCTGCACCGCCAGTGATTCAGGTAGGTCAGGGTCAGAAGGTGATAACTCGAATTGGGCGCGAGTTGACCTGCCCTTGAGTCCGTATCAGTCACGTGTACGTGACCAACAACACGCTTTGCCTTATTCGGCGTTCGCCCTGTAACCACCACGTCAAGCCACAACCCGCCACCATTGTTCCTAGTTTTGAGCCACCCGGCTGGCAACTTACGCTACATTTTTGGGACGTTCTGCGCTTCTACTGCACATTGTTCGCTTGGCTGGCCCATCGATTTCAATCACCGACCAGCCAGGCTCCTTGGATCTATAAAAGCCTTCGGGGGTTTGGTAAGCTCTTCAATGTTCACCATGGAGTATCCTAACGTACTTCCTCCATCTAACGCCAGCGGCACACCTGTATCACAACGACTTGGGCGATTTCCTGTCCACGATCGACTTCCTGACCGCGACGAGATCTACGATAGAATGGAGAAAGAGGAAAGGCACCATTGGGTTGGCCCGATGTCGAAGGAGGAGTTCTTCTCTAAGTATATGCATCTTGATGCCGATGTCGAACTTCCCACTATCCCCAAAGACTATTTCAACGGGGTTCCCAAAGGTGGCTTGGAAGTCGACATGTATGAGCCTCTGGTAAGTTGCCTTGTTGCTGTCTCGCTATCTACTCCTAATAACTTTCAGATTAACCTAATCCACCGTGCTAATCTTGGGAACTCAACCTTCGAATTCATCAATACCTCGGCCCATGCAGACCCCAATTCTCTTTTTTATAAGAAGATTCAACCCGACATCTCGACACACCACACAAAGGACGAAGAAGATCGCGATCCTGATCAGAAGAACAGAACAGCCTTCTACAAGCAGCAGCTGCCCTTCGAGCTCAAGACTGGCAAGCTCTCGCCCTTCTTGGACCCTCCAAAGGACTGCACCGACGAACAGCGTCTGAAGCACCCGTTCGAGAACGTCAGTCAAGACGCACGCGATCTGAGAGGACAAATGGCCACCGTCCTCGCAGAGATGTCTGCTCGCCAGTTCAGAACCCACGCCTTCATGGTATTCATGAACGAGACCGAAGTTCGTTTCCTGCGCACAGACCGAACTGCCACGATCGTTACTGAGGCCATCAACTATCGCACCGACTCCGACGTAGTAGCCGAGTTCCTGGCTCGTTTCTCGCACATGACCGATGCCCAACGCGGTGTCGACGAGACGGTAAAGCCCGCCAAACCCAAAGATATCGAGGAAGCACGACAGCTCCTGCAGCATTATCAGAAGGAGCCTGAAAGGTTCCTGCCTTGGGTTGCGATCCAAGTTCCCACTCTCGATGGATCTGTTCGCGAAGTCATCGCACGCGAGCCAATGTCTGAGCCCGATTCTCTCACTGGCCGATCGACTAGGGCGTTTCCAGTGTACGATCTGCGAGAGAAGAAGGTCATGTTCCTCAAGGACACCTGGCGAGCGGATTTGCCTGGTATGGACCGGGAAACAGAGATTCTTCGGCTTCTCAACGAAGCAGGAGTAGAGCATGTCCCAAAACTCGTTGACGGCGGCGATGTTCATGGAGAGTATCACAATACTCAATCGCACTTGTCTGAAGAAGCGCCATGGAGAGCCGGTCCTCTTGCCCCCCTCGTGCCTCGTGCTCACCATCGATTCCTTGAAGATTTCCTCGGCATTGATCTAGCTCGATTCCGAAAACCAAAAGAGCTGTTCCAAGTTGTTGCCGACGCTTTCGAGGGTATGTTCTCCATTAGTCGCATAATTTCCCTGGTAGTGATTGTGCTATTCTAGCTCATTGTCAGGCATTACATAAGTGCGGAATTCTCCATCGCGACGTGAGCGTCAACAACATCATGATTGGCGCTGGAGGTCGTGGTGTGCTCAATGATTGGGACATGGCCAAGAGGGTCGGTATCCCTGGCCAAACACCTCCGCCCCCTCCCCCAGAGGCTTTGAAGAGGCACTGCTATCGAACTGTAAGTAGACTTGTCTCAATGGTGTCATCATTCTGACTGTCGTTCTAGGGGACGTGGTATTTCCTGTCTGCATTGATGCTCATCAATCCAATCAAAATCCACACTCTTCAAGATGATATTGAATCTTTTTTTTACGTTATCTTCTACTACGGCCTGCATTTCCTCCACCACAACCTCGATGACGAAGAAGTCCAGCGAATTATCTCCAAAGTCTTCCAGGAATCTTCCTACGACCATGTACTTCGTCAGTTCACGGGCGGTGATGGAAAGCGCGCTATGATTATGCACCGCAGGTACATCACCCAACGGTTCACATTCACCGACAACCCCGCGCTGTCGCATTGGTTCGACGATGCGCGGAAGGCCCTTGCATCCTATCATAAATGGGTGGACAGCGTCGAGGAATTCAGGCTTGCCGAGCTAGATGCAAAAGCCAAGGGCTACCCTATCGACGAAGATGATCGCCCTGCCCCACCAGAAAGCCTCAAGTTAGCAAGCCATTCTTACTTCCGACAGCTCTTTATCTCTGGGCTGGCCCGCAATGACTGGTCATCCAAGCGTCTTGGGGTTCTTGACGGTGTCGATGCTCAACCCCCTGCTCGAACCAGGGGCTCTCTCAAACGACCACGCCCTGCCGATGTCGATGACTTTCCCGACTCGCCTTCGAAGAGGCCAAATTCATCGTCAATCAAATTCAGAATTTTTGCAAAGTCGATATAGCCGTTTTCTTCTGGTTCTGTAGCTGGTTGTGTTTCGTAACAGTTCTATTTATTTATCAATTTATTTATTTTTCACTGTAGATCCTCGTTGTTCAAAGTTCCAGTGCATATCCGACATTTGATGGGCCACACTTTCCATATGCGGCTGTTACCCCTGTTTTGAACTTGAATGCAAGCACCAACGTCAAACAGCGACCAGCTTCTCAGACAACCGTCTATATAGGTATCCATTATTCGAGGGCTAGCCACTGAATTCTAGCAACACGCTGACGCCATCTTTCAGCATTCAAGCACCCAAAAGAATCAGTACGATGCCTTTGAAGGTCGCCCTTCTTTCGTCAATAAGGCCGCTGAAATGAGCTAGTGTTGCCTCTGAAGCTCATCGGAAATATTTCGAACTATGTTGGTTCTTCAAGCGATATCAGTGAACTGGGAGTCGACATCCTTATTGGCCGCGACGATCGAGGAATTCTAAACGATTGGTACCTATAGTGATGACACCCCAGACACTCGAGGACGGAGCAACTTTTCAGGGAATTTGATATTTCGTGTCTGCTGAGCTCTCGATCCACCCGCTCCAGCTTGAAAGAAACCCGACAAAATAAACTTGAGTCTTTCTTTCCCCCCCTACGCACTTCAGTTTTTTTTTTTCCAAATAACGGCGAGACCTCATTCTCGAAGAACCTTGTGCGGCGACTGTTTGCCGAAGAGTGGTGGGACGACTCGGACACCGTAAATCTGCTCGTGGGCGGATGGGCCAAGTCCAGTACGGTAACGGGCAGTCGTCGCTCAACGTCCGCTTCACGGATAATGGACTTCAAGTAAATGGATGATTGAAATCCCGTATCATCTCGCGGAATACTGCCGTAACGCTGCTTAGACGAGATGCAGCAGGACCGTCTTGAATAACTATGATGAGTTAGTGTTGAAATATCCGCCTGCATCAGTAACAATCCGCTTGCACAACTATGACCTTGCCAAATTATTTGAGGCTGCCCTTGAAAGTTGAAACATGCGATCACGAGGAAGGCTAGAGCATGAAGGGATGCCCTATGCAGAATTACAACCATGGTACCGTCTCGAGCCTTGCCTTCTTCTGCTATCAGTCTACTTATTCGATTCCTCGCCTTCGAGAAGTCGTCAAGCGTCTTGTTGCAGCGGCCGATAACCAGCGGTGCCGCCGGCCCGGGAGATGTGGCGATGATGTGAGACTTGGCGTCGCTGACTGCGCTCCTTGGCCGTTGTCCACAAAGTTCCTTCTTCTCCCGATACTTTATGTCCTTTGTCACGCTACTTTGAAGACCAGAAAATGGCCACTCTCACCGCACCTCAACCATCGCGGAATCCGTTTCGGTCCAACCCGCAAACACCCAATATCACTGGCTCGTCAAGCAGGTCGGCACCTGTAAACGGAGACCCTTTCAACAACAGCTCAGAGAGAAGCCGTAGCGTCCCAGCTTCACCTCCGCCAGCATTCTCAGATGACCCGCCGGGGACAGTGACGACCCCGCCAACGACGAACAACTCATCCCGCGAACGGGAGCGCGAGATGAGGTCAGTCCTGGAGGAACCCCCACCCTACTCAATCACTCCGTCGGTGCGAGAGGGTGAGACCACCCTCGAACTTGGCCCAGCCAGGCCCTTCCAGCAATCGTCTTTACCAGCACATCTTGCTCGGCCTCCAGTTGCGAGCTGGGCACCTCAAACTTCTATTCAACAACCCATGCGTACGGGTTCCACAACCCCATCTCTAGGAAATCGTACAGGGTCGCTTTTCCGGCAGTTATCACAGTCGCTGGACAACGTGGTCAACAATCTCAATAGCATCGGCACTTCGTCGAACTCTGGATTATCCACCCATACGACGGGGCAGAGCACTTGGTCGTCCTACCCAGGCCATCAGCAGCACCACACCCCACCTCCTCGACAACCACCATACAACTTTACGCCACCTGCTGTGCCACCGCCGAACCACCCATCCTCGGGTGCGGAGTCTCTTTCTCCTCCCCCAAGATACCCACTTTCACCTTCTTCGCAATCCACACCCGCTAGATCCCCCTCCAGTGCATCGTCCTCGGATTTCACTAGAGATTTCTATGCTGCTGGGACAGGCGATGGCTTGGGGGTGGAGGGAGCTTCTAATAACACACGCCCACCTGCACCCCCGCCCCGCCCGCCTCCTTCAGTAGCTCCGCGTCCCACTCCCCCTTCGAATCACTCGGTGCCAAACGACGGTCGTCCAACTAACCATCCTGTGATTGGTCATCCCCTTTTGAAGGACGGCAAAGTGCTGGTCTATCCGAAAGGCCATGAATGCGAAAAGTGTAAGCCGCTTTACGCGTTCCCAGCTGCGATTCTTACTGATGTGATAACTCTGGTTCTAGGCCACAATGTTGGTTACAAGGATTCCGACCCGCAGCGACCGTGTAAACGCTGCTGGAATAAGTACGCGAAAGCCTTCACTGGGCCATTGGCGTACTCCTTTTCCCCAGAGTCTGTGGACCCTAGTGACAACTTCCAACGCCCTCTTTCTCGTATTCCCCTGCCTCCTCCACCACCACCGCCGCCACCGCCACCACCGCAGCCCTCGTATCCGCCTAACCCTGCTCCTACTCGCTTCGCTCCGGGCGGTTACATGCCGAACAACTACGGAGGATTCCACAATCCACCTAATAGGTTTCCGGCGGCGGCAGCTCGTCCTCCGCCTGGGTCGGTGGTGTACTCTGCCGGCGATCCAAGGATCGGAGGGCGGCTGTGCTTCAACTGCCATGGAAAGGGCAACGTCAGCTTCCTGCTCCTGGAGCGTGTTACGTGCGAGGTGTGTGGTGGTATTGGGAGGACGTTCCATTAAAGCGCGGCTTTCCTGCTGATGCTATATTCTTGTAATACCTCACACATACCATGTACAGACTATGCTTGACTGCGGAAGGTTCTGACTTGTTCTTGCCTAGAAGCTTCTTTCTATGCTTTTGCCGGCGGACATACGTTGTACTAATTGCTTTTCAACGTTAGAAATCTTGTTCTATTGTATGTCTGTATTCCTAGTTGTGGTTTTTCTAACTTTTTGTTCCTTTTACTTCACTTCAAACCTGTGGCGTTTCTGTGAAACACGCGACGGCCCGAAAGTATACCATATATGGGACCGCCTACGGAATATTCCGCATATGGACTCAGTCATCCGGACCGCCGGCGCGTCAGCCTCTTCCTTTTTGTCCACCACCATCGTCAGAGAGGCTTGTCGTATTGTTGACCAAGATTCATCGGTGATACAACCCATGGCCAACGTGAAGGCTCAAGCTGCCAAGGATCATGTCCGTACCTTTCAATGTTGTGTTGAAAAGGATATTTTACTCAAAAAAGTCGCGACATCCAACAGGGAAACACCGCATTTAAAGCAGGGGATTATCCGACAGCGATAGGTCACTATACAGCAGCGATACTTGCGGACAGGAAGGATGCTACTTTCCCTCTGAACCGTGCAGCAGCTTATCTCAAGCTAGGCAAGTACGTTCAGCCAGCCCGGATAGGCATCGCTTTATGCTGACGCGTCATCTTGTAGATACGAGGATGCAGAAAGAGATTGCACAAACGTACTTGGTCTAAACCCCAAGAACGTCAAGGGCTTGTTCAGGAGGGGCCAGGCACGCTTGGGTTTGGGCAAACTGGTTGAGGCTCAACGAGGTGCGTTGGATTGCATTTTGGGAGCGCATATATTCACTTTTTCCTGAAGATTTCACCGATGCTTTGCTTATTGAACCGTCAAACTCGAGTTCCCAGGAGGAGTTGAAGAAGGTGACGAGTCTGATCCAGGAGCAGAAGGCGAAGGTGTGTTCGATCCTCTGTCCACTACATCTTCGAACGAGTTCCTGATGGAGGATCGCCCAGAAGTCGAAAGCTCCTATCTCTCCTATGCAGGCTACTCTGGACCCCAACGCTGCACCGAGACGTCGGCGGGTGCCTATCACAATCGTCGAGCCACCACCACAGGCGGGATCTTCGAAGCTTGCACAGGCAGAGTCTGGCAAGACCGCGAAAAAACCGCAAGATGCAACGAAGTCCATCCCTCAGCCTCCTAAGGCATTTACTGACACTCTCGAGGCTGTTTCGTCTCGGTCATTGAAACCACCCCCGAGCTCGACCCCAACTACCAGTCCAATCGTGGAAGCAACTTCGCCTAACGCATCATCGTCAGCTTCGACATCACCGCCAACGTCCTATTCGTCATCTGAAACGTCTTCGGCCAAACCTGCCAGCTTCATGGATGCGAAGCAGGCACGCGAAAATGCCAAACCCAGTCGGGTTGGTGGGGGCATCTTTCGTGCATCGGGGAAGAACACGATCTTCCCAACTCGAGACAGTACGACGCTTGCAGATACGCCTGTGCCTCCACCCGCGGCAGTCCCCCGGCCCATTCTTACTCCTGTTAACCAAAAAAATTCCCCGCCTCAGACGGCATCTACCTATGCGTTGAATGGGTCCATTCATAAACCCCCTTCCTCCCTCTTCGATTTTACAAGAGTTTGGGGCTCCTTGAAGTCTATAGAAGAAAAGTGGCAATATCTTAACGTTCGTCCAATCTTATTTCCCTTCCTCGGAGAGAACGTTCTGATTTCCATGGTAATCTATTCAGACCGTCCCACCGTCCGCTCTACCCACGTTTTGCAAAACCTCGCTGGAACCCTCTTTGCTCGTTTCGATTCTTGCAACGTTCTTGGCCGCTCTCAACGCCGCCGGTGAGGACCCTGGAATCAAGCAACGTGTGAACGAGTACCTGGACAACTTCGCGAAGGTCCCGAGGTTTGGGACACTCGTCTTGTTCTTGAGCAAGGATGAGAAGATGCTCGCAAAGCAAGTATTGTCGTTGGTGGGTTTGGAGAAACCAACAGGGGTGTGGGCTCCTGTGGCATAGGCTTAGCCCATGCAATTCTTGCGTCGAAGACTGCAAGAGGGGGTCTCAACGCGCATGGCTCGAGAGGGCCATCGAAATCCGGAATCTTTCAGATATTTGTGGGTTTTACTTCAAACTTTGCTTCACTCCGTATTTGCCGGGGGCAGCTTTGTCTTGGGTCTCTAACACCCCGGTCCAGGGACCGGTGTTGGTCGCTGTTTTCCGTCCCTGCCAATGTCATGGTCCGGTCGCCTAAGCCGACACCCGAACAAGCAATCATGAAGCCTGTGCGCCACATATACGATTCCGTTTTCGCCTAATTCAGACACCATTAGAGGATGGTGACAGACATTCTACTCAAAGTCTTCCTTTTCACGTTAGGAATGCGACTGAAGTAAAATTTCCGCAGAATGCCGTCAAGTCGCCGGCTCCGCCAACGGCTGACGGCCTATTCGTGGGGCGTTACGGCGTTGTTGTGCCTGTCCTCATTTTGTTTCTTATGTTCTCACTCGTTCCCACTGACCAAGTCTCTGGGTTTGTCATCCACATGCGTGATGGCCTCTCTTGCTCGAGGTGCTGACGCACAGCCCAGATGGCTTTTCCCTGCACCTCTGCACGTCTTCTTGTACGTGTATACTTTGGTTGTGGTCTTCCATTACAATCATTGCGCGTCATGTTGAATCCCTCCGGTCTTTTAAATTCCAATGCGCCCCCGAATTTTCACCGAATCGATGCAATGGAGGTCTTCGAATTTTTGGGGTTGCCTCTCGTGGCTGCCCTGTTGAGCGGAGATAATCGACGCACTGGCCTCCAGCTATTTCCTGGGAATTTTAAGAAAGTCCAAGGTGCTTGTCTGAACTCCGAGCACCTGTGCTTGCCAGTCTGCTTGGCCTACAAGGGCTGCAGCAACCGAGAAACACCCCACGCCTACAGCTCATGGTTCGGGAACTTCGTCCGAAACCCATGAAAAGACCGGTTTATACTTGAAGTAGAGAGGCAACGGGTTCTTTTTAAAGTTTGTGATTTCTCTGTTCTAGCCTCTTCATTGTTTTGGGGTAACAACAACAGGTAACGAACAGGTACGAGCAAGTACGTGAGTTGGAGACCCGACGGAGACCCGCACTCGTCGGGGACTCTGGGAACGTACACAAGAGAATATCAACAAGTTACATGAGGCTTTGTTTCTATTTTGTACAGCGTAAAGATGGGGAAGGCAGTGTCCGGTGAGGACATGCACTTGTGATGAGAAAAAGAAAAATATCGTGAAGGAAACTTAAATCATAACAAAAACGTGTCGAACGTGAACAGAATAGAGGATAGCGTATAACGTGTATGGCGTGAGGAGGAGTAGGATAGAAGGGGTAGAAATAAAGTGTGCAATCATGAATGAGATAATAAGGATACAGTTTGACTTCTATTCTTGATTCGTTTATGGTGCCGCCGTATCCAGCGGCGTCGTCTATAGAGATGAGGTTGCGCAGTGATTCCGTCATTGAGGTGTGATGAAGATGAACGCGGGTGAAAATGGCGCGGGTCGTCGGGACGAGTATAGGGGAACAGGTCGTGTAGAGAAGGGAACCATCGACGGAATCATATTGGATGTCGAGGAGTCTTCAAGGCTTCCATGACCTGTTCATGAAGTGCCAGGAGACAGTAATCTTGCCAGTGTCAAGCGTCGATATCTTCTTGAAGAGCGCCGGGGACATGTCTATTTCCGGATGAGCGCTCTGCAAAGCTCCTTCGACGGAGAGGAGGAAGGGGGGAGGTACGCACCGACGTCGTTGTCACCGCACGACTGGCAGCTGTCTCGAGTCATGCCGTACGCTTTCTTGCCGTTTGCTGTGTTGACGATCTCCATCCACTACACACGTAGACATAGAGGTGAGACAAAAATAGAAACAACGGACGCAGTGATATGTGGTGAGCGTTCATTCGACAACAGACAAAGGAAGGACGCGTTTCTCCGGCGTACCTGATCGCAGTTACTGCCTTTGTTGCGGTCGTACAGGCCCTTTCCAATGGCGACTACGAGGTCGTTGTCGCCGTTCCGTTTACCACAGTTACCAAGGCCTGTGGGATCAGTTAGTGGGGCCATAATGAATAACGTCCGGTACGAGGGCACTTACCGGGATAGTACCAGGTACCCTGTCGAAAGAAACTATGGTGAGCATAGTAGAGGAGGCGTGCGCAGAAATACACACCCTTCCGACGCGGGTGAGGCGCTTTTCGAGGTCGACCAGTTCACCGTCTTGTACGGGTACCGGAGCGGCGAGTACCAGGAGGACAGACGCGAAGAGGGCAAACAGGAAGAAGCCGACGCGTGACATGTTGAGTGGTAGGTGCAGCGCAGAAATATTAGATAGGGAGACAGTGGGGTGTAACGGGCGGGGAGGCACTCGACAACAGAGTTGTAATCATCGTTTCTGGGGCGCTTTTATACCTGCGAGATGGGGGCGTTACGCAAAGCATCGTGGTACTAGGAGACTCAGTTAATCAGTCGGAATGGAGGGCCGGGATCGGGGGTGCTTTGAAGGGACGAAGGGGGTGGCGTCCATCTGGAGACGTTTTCGCCCCGGTCCCATTAAAGCCGACGGGAGATTCGGAGGATAATTTCCCTCGGCGCATAATAAGGATTCTGGGGGTCGCAAAGTGGTTGACCTAACCCTAGTGAGCCATGTTCGTCCAATGGAAGCGTGGTGGAAAGACGAAAAAATGAGAATCTTCGAAAAAAATTCTGCGGGCGAGAGATAAATGGATAGCTCCCGGTATCTAATCACGGTGATTGCCAAGGGGCGTTAAAGTTTGGAAATGTTACTGTTATGGAAGGTTCCCCCTTCCACACGATGAGCTCAGCTGCAGGTATCGTAGACCTAAAAGTTTTCTTGTCAATGATCTCCCCGAAAAGTTCATTGAAGAATGCTCACCTGCTCTTTCACGCCCCAGATTAATCACGGATGCTCATCGTCAAGCAAGGTCTCCGCGCATTGACATTGTGCGTTGCCGAATGAACTAGGAGCAAGGAACTCGCAGGTAGCGACCAGGACAAGTGTGAGTTGAATTTCATCTCTAAGCGTCCAAGTATCCATAGCTCTCACAGCGGACTTGCCATGAGGGTGGAATGAGGCAGGACCCGTGACAATATTCTGCACTGAGCAGTGGAAAGTCCGAACACTTACAAGCGGCGTGTCCATTGCATGCTCCAGTTTCAGAAAGGGTGCGGATTCGAAGGACAAAACGTGGCGTCGTGCTTTATTTGGGAAGTCAGGCTACATGCCAACGCATAGTACGTATTTGCTCACTGCGACTCCGAGTCCGTTATTCCTTTCAAACATGTGTATCGTCTTCTGCTGTCTCAGCTGTTTCGGAGACAGCTATCGAACGCTCCAGTGGAAGAATTAGAGAATCTCCGGCGCTCGTGTTCTAGGGTGCACCTTCCACAGTGCTAGTGCAACTCAGTCGCATTAATATGAGGGCGTTTCTGGGATGCTGAGTGTTTTGTGCTTCGGCCAGAGTGTTTCTCATGTCGTAGGATGGTGGTCGGGAGGTGACGAAGGAGAAAATCATGCGGCGGCGGATGTTGCATTCCAGAAACGTTGTAATCTAATCGATATCTCATTTCCGAGAGGTGCAGAGCCTTCCACTCATGCCTCGACGAAAGCATGTGGCGTCCCCCAAGTGGAATATCTCGTACCAATATTTAAGATTCTCTTTTATTGGGGATAGGATTGTCGTTCATGAATTGCGACCCTTCACTGATTCCTCCTTGAGGCCTGCGTCTCGATATCTCAAAAGAAACTGAGACTCCGTGCTGTTTTCGAACTCGTGTTCCAGCTTGCTACGCCGTTTGCTAAATATTTGCGACTGAGAAAGGTTAGCATTTTTATCATCGAAGGAGCATGGTCTTCAGTCTATAAACTGAATAAATGGTCAATAGATATCTGGTGCATCCAGAATATGATGAGTATAATTTCTGCGTGTGTGGTAGCCTTCATTCATGGAATACATCTTTGGGTTCACCACACCGATCCGTCAATAATATTCCTCGTCTAGACCTTATGGCTGAAGCGGCCTCGCCGCGAACATGCTTCATCACCTTATGCGTTCAACTTCAATTTGATGCTCATAGACATCATTCGTCAAGATAAGATTTTGACTGCTCGATCGAGGTCAAAAGCGCCTGAATTCCATGTATGAACCCGACCCGCCAAGGACGCGACGAGGCACACGCGTGACGTCATAGCGTACTAATTGATCACGTGCGCATCCCTCCGTAGCACCCCCGTCACGATCTTCATCGCCCTCTTGTTCTTCCCATTCCACAACCATCGCCACTATAATCCCTGATTTCAAAGCAATTATTATATCTACAAGTGGAGAATTGATGTCTGAACCCGCAAGCGGGCAGAGTTTCGGTCAAGCGCTTCCGGTAGGCTTCCAGCAGCGGCATTCGTAAACCTAGTTATCGTTATCCATGATCTAACGATGCATGCAGGATCAGGTGGAGAGAATCGCCGAACTATTCGACGCTCATCTTGAAGTTATAAACGATGTGGGGCCACGATTGCCTCAGATATCGGACCGCGAAAGTGACGTATCTATCATCTAGGTCCGAGAGCTGTATAGTGCACGTGTGGCTTTAGAACGCGAATATGCCGGAAAACTGCAGGTGCTAACGAAGAAGGCTTTTGACAAGAAAGCAAGGGCACAGTCCGCGTTCGTCGTCGGAAATGAGCCGACAAAGGCCTGGGATGCTAACGTCCTTCGACAAAGGTGAGCCTGATAGAGTGTGCGCAGTCTGTTTATTCTTCGCTATCACTTACGGATTATCTTCAGCTCCTTGAACGCCGCATATGATGAAATTTTGACTTCGTTCACTAATACTGCTCAGGATCATTTGAATAATGCCGACGCTTTGGCGACTCAGACCATCGAGGTTTTGAGGGGCCTCGAGCGAAAAAATGCGGACTCAAAGAAGAAGGTTGGATTGTGTTCCCCCCAACGTCTTTCGGATCATGGAGTGTGCTCACACTCCAGGACAGGAAATGGCATTTTTTCAGAAATTGTTGTCGGACCGGGACCGCGTTTATTCAGAGAGGTTGAAGGTGAGCGGAACTTCTGTCGATCACACGCCAGGCTTCACTGACGTATGAAACCCTCAGAGCAAACAAAAGGTCTGTGGGTGGCGTTTGACCAAGAGTTTCACGAGGCTCACCTCTCCGTCAATCACAGTACGACGAGGATTGCACAGAGGTCGAAACGTTTCGGCAGAAGCAGGTAGGGTCGCACTTGTGGGCGCACGGCAATTTCATCAATTTCGCTTGTATACTCTAGGGTCGCGCAACCGATGACCGACACGCAGACCGGGCCGCAAGGCAGGCAGAACAGCAACGCAACGATATGCTGAATAGCAAAAAGTATGTCAGAACCCCATTTTTAAAGGGTCGCTGATCGTCGTATCTTGCAGCTCGTACCTAATATCGATTGCGGTCGCCAATCAGGCGAAGGCGAAGCTGTACGAAGAAGATCTCCCGAAGTTAGAAAATGTCATTCGTTTGAATTCTCTGCCCCTTGAATAACCACTGACGCGTGTAGCAGGAAATTCGTGAGTTAGAAGAGAAGATAAGATGCACCACTCTTACCGACGTCACCAGAGGCTATGCAACGTCGCCTTGTGGAGCGATTCGTTCAAGTTCTTCTACAATCACAGAAATTGCATTTGAGCCACCTTGACTCGCTCAAATCTCGCGTCGCAAATGTTGAGGAGAAGCTCAAGCAAGTTGACGTTGTGAGGGATCAGGATCTCTTTATAGATCATAACGTCAGGCCGTTCATTGCGCCAGACGATTGGAAATTCGAACCGTGTTCCATTCACTACGACACGGTGAGTTTCAGATCAACCTTCATGACATAAAAAATCCTCTACTCACACAGAGCACCTTCGCATCATGTGCCAGGATTCAATGAGCATCGACCCAGCACCAAAAATTGTGATCCAAAACAAGTTACGTAGGTCACGAGAGAAACTGGAAGAGCTCATTCCATTAATGGAGTCAAGACGTACGTTACCCTTCGTGGCTAGGTGCTCACGTCCGTAACCTAACCGATGTACCCTGTCACTAGGAACTGAATCCCACCAGTTGTCGTCTCAGCTGTCCTCATACATTCCAGACCATACGCTCGGTACAATCGATGAACTCCATGATGTGTGTTCGATTGATGGTGGATCCACAGCGACTAACAACTCCTCGGCAGAGTTACCTAGATGCAGAGCATCAGGTCGTGTTTTATGCAACGTCGGAGCGCATCCTAAAGACCGAGATCGATGTCATTGTCGATGCCGTTGGAGGTAGGGAGGCCGTCTGTTGACTCTCGGCATAATCACTGAGGATTTGCAGACGATCAGGGTGCTTCGAAGCCCCATTCATTCAAGAGCTCGTCCTTCTCCATCCCTACCCAATGTGGATACTGTATGGTAAGTGAATGGCTGTCTTCTCCCGTCGGCGACCTAAGTTCTAAGGTGGTGCGACAAGTCTACGATATGGGGGTTAAGTAAGCAAGGGAAGACTTGCAAAGCATGTGGATTGTCTGTCCACGCCAAATGTGAACTGAAGGTAATGTCCTGGATGAGAGCCAATGTGTCCGCGAACCAACAGGTATTTCGGCCAGGTACCGGCCAACTGTGAAGAATCTGAGGAACGACCCTCCGGCATGTTGTTCAGGAAGAGTACTAACGCCTCACGAAGTGGTCCTGCAGGTGGATCTGTCAGAACCAATCTATCTTATCTGCTCTCTCACCTTTTACGACAGACCGAGGCGCGGGCATGGCACCGTCTGCGTCTTCTTTCGTGCAATCGATAGCATCAGAAGATTCGTCGGTGGAAGAACGTGTCGAAGCGAAGGTTCTATTCGATTTCAACGCCACATCTGAGTTTGAACTCGGCGTACAAGGTATGAGGGGAACGTTGGCCGTAACGTGTTATTTTTTCACAGCTGAACTATTTCTGAAAGACGGTGCTTACGTCCATGTCCTTGAGCCCGACGACGGTTCAGGTTGGGTGAAGGTCGTAGATAAGGATGGGAATAGTGGCCTAGTTCCGGCGTCGTATCTAGAGATTTTGAACGGCGAGGGGGGCGAAATGAGGGTTGTTCAAGATGCAACAGGGGATCGAGGTAGGTTTTCAGACAGGTCCCACATGCAGTCTTGTGTCACCACTCACCTGGCCCCGTTTACAGTTCAAGCCATCTATCCCTATTCTGCACAGAGTGCCGACGAGCTGGACCTCACGGTGGGAGACACCTTGGAGCTATCCAGTGGCGCCACTGGTGGGAGAAACTACGCCGATGGCTGGTGGGAAGGTAAGAGTATCCGAGTTGACTGACAGCGCTGAGCCACGTTGTTGACCGCCCGAAAAAAGGGACGAATGTGCAAGGAAGGAAGGGAATATTCCCCAGCAACTACGTGAGTGGTGAAATTCGTGCTCGCGCTCGTGCGCCGTCGTGGGTTGAAGTCGATTCGTTATCCCAGGTTGAGGCTATTTGATTTGTCGTTGTGTTCTTATCAGTTTGGCTGCTGGGATTCAAGGGTAGCTTTCCATTTATATTCTAGAGCTTCTCGCTCACCTTGGGAGGCAGGGACATCATAGGCTTACTGATTCAGTCGAGATCTTGTCAACATGGCGAATCAATCACGCTTTACCAATAGTAACGGGCGATCAAGCCAGGATTAAGGCGGCGGCTTGGTGAATGAGTTCGTTAGATGCATTCCGTCGAGTGAGGGGAGAATAAAGCAAAGGTTTCTCAGGGAAGAAGCCTTATTGTGGGATAATGTATTTATTTGTTCGCGAGCTGGGTTGCACATAGATCTGATCAAAGCAACGAACCTCAACAAGTTCGACGGTCATCATGTGTCGCGAGCTGAGGCCGCGAAGTCAACCGCCCACAGACCCTGAATTTAACCGCCAAAGGTGCGACAGTGGGAGTATGACGAGGAACAGGGTGATCACCCCAATGTGGTTCAGCTTCGCGGCTTGTGACCGCCACCTCGACAGCTTCCTCATTGTTCAGGACCTTCAGGGGCCCATCGCAAATTGCGTCCAACTTGGTATAATGCCGATCACGGTCTGGTGTTATTGTATAATGAGCAGGTACCAGATTATATATCTGATAAGAAGCATTTACCTGCAGGCAAATGCATCTACTGTAGGCGGCCGATGTGGGAGGCTCAAAGTACTAAAACTAGACCAGCTTTCAAAAGTTCAACGGCTATGACGAAGCGATGAGCGGCTACTCACCGCTTGATGTATGCGTCCTTGCGTTCTCGCGGTTCTCGACAGCCCAGTGGAGAGATAGAGATTTCTTTTTTTTTTTGAGACTGATTGATGTCGAAAGGTGGCCGAGAAAAGTAGACTGTCGCGGGCCATTCAATGGCCAGTAGCGAGTTTGATGACACGCTTTGACAATGACATGCATGCGAAACCGCGGTTTTGGGGGAAAACAATGCGACGGAGATTTCTGTTTCTTCCAGAAGACCCCGCCACGCCATGCACCTAGCTGAGCTTTCTCGATAGAGCACCCTCGATCTCCAGAACTTCGAAAGGTCGTGCACCTTTAATGTGTTTCCAAAAGCCCCGATGGTATGGCGAGAAGTTGAGCATGAGTGCAAAACCTTACTGTAAACAGAACATGACCCATATGAAATGTTTTTTCCAATTCGACGGAAATAGAGTGGTAGCTCTAATCGATGGTAAGTCGGCTCGGGGGTGGCCTTTGAAATTTCGAGCAATGGGCCCCATTAATGGGATAAATTGCTCCCACATGGACACATTGGCACTATCCAGGAGGACAATCGCACGCACCACGCGCGTGTCGTCAGACGTTGGATGACGGAGACGGAGAAACATGGGTAGTTTCGCTGGGCCCATAAGTAGCCAGTGGAGAAAAAGTCGAAGAGCAAGAAGCCTCTTCTTCCTGCCCTCATCTTCGGGCGGCTCGCTTCGCCTCTACCACCCATCCGCCAAAGGGATTTTTCCTTTTGTGAAGGCTCCACCATGGAGTTGGAAAATCCTCAGATTCTGGTGGGTACGCCGTTGTGGCTTTTCATTATGCTGACGGCAATAGCCCTGCTAGATCGGAGCCTTACCTGGATCTTTCGCCCCACCGGTCTCCAAGTAAAGTTTCTAGGCGCCGCCTTTATCGACTGGCCGGTCAGAAATAGTCTTTTGGAAGCTTTGATATCCCTGGACGGAGCTCAGGCTCGCACTGTTCCTTTGTTGCCCCGAGATCTCGACAGCCCTTCGGATTTTAGCTGTTTTTAGTGATTGACGTGCGGTGCATGACCAGCGTCGTCCCCGCGGTTCGTCCTCCCCGAGTACTCGTCGACATCCTGGCGATATCCGCCAGGCATGCACCAGGACTCTTGCGATGGATGACTGCGATGACGCCTCTGGGCACACACCTCTCCACGCTCGTTCACCAGCCATCGTCCAGTGCGCGCCCAGTTGGCGCGCATATACGCACAGGATGTGCTTTGCACGTCATCAGCATCTCCAGAGTCTTTTCACCAAGATATTGAGCCAGACTGGCTATATGCGCCGTTGCCTGGATGTTTTCCCATCTCCCGCTTTTGGAGATATTGGCGCATGATTTGGGTTTTGTCCCCGATCTTCCTCGATGGAGCCACGCCGCGAGACCGCTGGAGACTGCCACTTGGAAAGCTCGACAATCACTTGGGGGAAAGATTAACAAGGTCATATGCACCTCGAGCGATACGACGGGCGCCGCGCCAGCGTAAAGATCCTCGGTTTCTCTCTGGGCTTTCTAGTACGGATGGCCAAGATTGTCGCGTGGGGCTTCGCTGAGGGTGCTTGACCCATAGATACAACGAACCTCTTCTTGCTGAGTCGATTGTGTGCCGTGCCAAGTGTGCTATCGAAGGGCTCGAGTCCAGCGTGTTTAACCAAGGTGCATGCACAGCTCCAACGCGCCTCTAGGCTTTTTGAGACGAGGAAAAGGATCCAGACTCACTTTGCTTTTTCGTGTCCCCTCACCTTGTCCCATAGAACGTCCTGCATGCCTCGAAATTGAATTTTAGAGTGCTCCTTGTTTGCCCTCCTCTAGACGTCGACATGAGGCGAGGCGCGAAGGTTTGGATTCCGGAATAAAGCCAGAACGAGATCCAGGATCCAGGAGCCTACACTGGCCAACGTTAGGCTAGAGATAGGCAAAAGCAAGTGCATGGCTGGCCTGGAGGCATTTTTCAGACGTTTCGAATGCAGGACCGTAGTGTTAGAGTTCGACAACTCCCTCCCGACTGCAGTCACGTGAAGGATGAGTATACCCATCGAAAACCTTATTTTCGAGAGGCAGAAATATGAGACGAGGTCTTCTAGATCGTCGAGTTCACAGCTATGTTGATTATATAGACGTAGTGATACAACAGCAGAGATACAGAGCGAAGAAGTCCAAAGAGAGAAGCTGAGATAACCAGGTATAAATTATCGCCCACCTCCCACCATCGTTCGCAAATATGCCGGAGGGCCGTTTGTCATCGGGCCATACGCTCCTGGCGTCATGCCGCCAGGCATCCCGGCTTGCATCGGGTTCAAAGCCATCGTCACGTTTGGCGTTTGTTGGTTAGTGCCACCATTGGGTCCTGGTGTCTGGTTGTGCGCGTCTCTTGCTGAACTCCTGTCTTCTCTTTCTGCAATTGTCGCCCCACCACGTGCTGGATCCGTCAAGCCGTTCGACATGGAGAATGTCTGTCCTAGGCCGTATAGCTTCCCCGAATATTCCGCGTCATCGATGTGGTCGTCGAAGTACAACTCTCGCATCTTGAAGAACGTCGATGCTGTGAGGAGAGAGTCCGATCCTGCTTGTTGACTTGTCGATATCCGCATGACCTATCTCTGGCGTTAGCTGCGAAGAGCTCGACGGGATCAAGTCAACGTACTCCTAGATCATCTGCAACGTCTTGTAGTCCTCCTTTCAGCAGTTTTGAGGCTTTTGTTAGATATTTGATGTCATAGACGGTCGGGAACCATATTTTGAGAAGCTCGAAGAAGGCATCTTCTGTTGTCGGTAGTGATTCCGCGGTGAGCAGTTTCACGAAGTATCCAAAGTCATAGCCGCTGTAACGGAGACGGTCGGTCAGCTGAGGGTCCAAAGTCTAAATATCTGGGGTAAGGCGTAATTGGAGAGGCGAATGGAAGATGCAGGCGCATCATGGGGTTCATACGTGATGAATGGAAGTGGCACTCGACGAGATAGCATTACCTATGGAAGGATATCCATTTCGTGTCGCTAGACAGCACCAATCCAGACGTGATCATAAGCTCCGCAAAGTCGTTCGGCAGAATGCCATACTCTTCGTGGCGTTGGAAGTCGATGCCGGCCTTCTGCAGTTGTTCAACCGAGTCTGGTGTAAACATGTCCTCCCTTTCAACCCCGCAAGATGTCCATCAGCTGGCTCCACCAACACACGGCCAGAACACGTACACCAAGCTGAACTTGAAGTTAAACTGCCAGGTGCAGTAGTCCTGAGGGAAGTCGCCCTCCTCGTTCGCGAGGGTGATCCCGACCTGGATGATCTTCAGCAGGTCGACGTTACACCGCATTGTCTGGTAGTGGTAATCCGACGACGTCTTGAACGCCCCTATGGGCCGAGCGACGACCCCTGGAAATTCTGTGTCCTAGATCAAAAGAGTAAGCAAGGTGGAAATTTAGGAAAGTTTGGGCGGAGGGTACGAACCATTGCGATGTAAGGATACTCGTCGATGAGTTCGCGTATTGCCCGCATCTCCGCGTCTAGATTCGTGGCCCATACTTCACGTATTCGAGCCATATCAGAACCGAGGCGGCCAAGAAAGAATACAAGGGTAAGTAGGACGTGGTTCATCAGTGCACCGCTCACAATGACAGACGATTATGTAATCAACGAGACGATAAGATTACAGAAAAAGGTTTGGCTGTCTGATAAAAGAGTACTACACAAGATCTGGAAGCTGGAGGATACAAGTGGTATATGTGTCGTCAAAATCTAGCGCCGAGTTTCGTCGTGAGTATGTACATCCCAAAATTGAGTCACCAAAGCATTTTCCCGCATAAAAGCGCCAAGAGCCGCTTGCTTTAAGTTAAACGTAAAAGAACAAAATTCCCTTTTTTCTCTCAAGTATCGTGTCTAGAACCAGGCCATATAGCTCGTCTCTTCGACGAGGTCGCGTGTTAGGGCGCCGTGGTCGAAGTTGAATGTCTCGTTCTCTGCAATGCGCGGCGAGGAGGAGACGAAAGGTGATGCACGTGTCGAGGCGAAGCCATACCGCTCCTCGATGCTGATCCCGATGCTCGCGAAGTGGTAGATGTCCGCTAGCCACGTTGGCTCTTGCTTGTTTTCTGCCGGGTCAGATGGCGGCTGTGCCCCTTGCGAGCCGTCCGCCATGTCCGTGTCGCGGAGAGGCGAGCACGCAGCTATCCGCTCGGCGTATTGTGTGAGTTGCGAGTGCGAGTTTTGGAAAGACGGTGGTAGTGTCGGCTGCGGTTGGGGATAGCCAGCGTATGATCGATTAGACTCGGCTGTGTGCGACTTCATTAGCACCTTCTTCGATTTGTCGAGGAGTTTCTCCATGACAGGCTGCTTATGTGAAGGATGAGCGATGACCAGAGAGACGATGGAGAAAAAGGACTTGCTAGCGACTTGCCGCTGAACGGTAGAATCTTCGCCGCGGCTCGGAATAACCGGAAGGCTCTCTCCAAGTCTGAGAAGGCATAACCTGCCAGAGGAGTCGAGGGTGCCCGTGAGATGAGCAGCGACAGCGTGACCTATCAACAATTTACCCATGTCAACTACCTCTATCCAGCAAGAAAGGCGATAATGCTTACAGCAGCAGAGAACGTATTAAACCAGAAATGCAGGAACCTCACACTCAGCTGCTGCTCCTGTTCGAACAGCGTCTCCACCGCCGAGATCAAATTCGACGCGCTGAGGTACGTCGCGAGTACCGACGGCGCATATACATGGGTAAGGTCGAAGGGTTCGGGCCCGCTCATTGCGTCCGTGAAATACCGCCGATGTAGCTGCAACAGGGCTGTTGTTGCGAGAAAACCGGAGGCCCAGAGCGGAAATGAAATGGGAGAAAATCGGGGTATGTTAGTAAGGCCGCACCGAACAAATGAGGAGGGGTAAATGAAGTGGAAATGGAATGTGAATGAAAGGGGGTGACGGAAGGAAGAGGTGATGTCCACAGAATTGAATGGCTTGAACCGCGAACAAATGAAAGATTGAATGAATGGACCCTACGGCAGAGGCAGACGGGGAGGTGAAAGATGAAAAAATGAAGAGAGAGAAGGCAAGGGGTGACGGAACGGTTTCAGAGTCAGGTATAATTGGAGACGGTAAAGGAGCGGGAGATGAAGGAGGTAAGGCGAATACGGATATAGACGTACCAATCTCGCGACCCATCACAACGAGCCCGCGCTGCATGACCAGAAAGCGTGGGCTTACGTCATTGGGCTTGGGCTGGTCGAGGATCGAGGGCACGCCGAAGTCTCGGACCGACGTGTCCAGCCCGACGATGGTGTTGTAGTCGAGCGGTTCGACGGAGATCATCGCCTCCAACAACGGCGTTAGGCATTTGATGAAGAACTCGTTTTTCCATTCGTGGTCTGTGGGGAGGGCGGGGACGGGGGCGCAAGGCTGAAGTTAGTAGATGCGCTTGGCCGGTAGAGCGGGACGGACGAAGTAGGAAGGGGTGAATGGGTGGGAGAGAGGGGCAAAATAGAATGAAAGAAGGAAAATGAAAAACGTACAAACGATCTCTTCCCTGGGCACGAACAAACCGGGGCCGACATACGCGGGGGGCCTGACGTCGACGTGCGCAAGGCGTATAGACGGCGGGCGACCGAGCGAGAGAGCCTACAACACATTCGCACAACGCAATCGTTAGTAGAAAGGACCACCAAGACAATTAAACCACAGAGGCGGCGCGGCACAAGAACCACCCCACACATACCATACGGCAGTCCATGTTGAGCAATTCCCAAAATACCGCACGGCGCTTCTCGTGCTCCTCTGGGATAACCTTCAGTCGAGGCGTCTCGCGATCTGTTGGGGAGTGTTGTCAGCGGGTCGACCCAGCCTATCAGCATCGGACGCCCTGCTCCGAGAACAAAGGACTTCGGCACTCACGCAGGCCGAGCTGGTTAAAAGAAGGGGGAAGTTGTCAATATACGAGAGCCCCATTTCGTAGGGAGACACGTACCCCCTGAGCTAGTTTGGCAACGAAACCCATGAGATTCCAGGCGTACCCCACCGCTTTCTTGTTGTCGGAGAAGATGAGGTGGTACCAGATCATGAAGAACTGAATGGGCATAGGGAAGGCGTCGCATAAGTTAGAGCGTGTACGAAAAAGACGCCGCTAGAAAGATGGGCCGACGAGGAGGTAACGCTACGTACGAGGGCGTGGAGGACATCAAAGTCCGGTTCTTCCATGAGCGGGATCTCGCATACGGCTGCTCGTGCAAGGTGGTGGTACGCCTCGCCGTGTAGCGAGCCAAGCGGGCGTGTCAAGTCCACGAGCGAGCCTATGGAGAGATGCATCAGGAGGAGCGCCAGCCGCCGCGGGCTCAGCGCCTCAATCGGCGTCGCGTAGCAGTAGTTAAGGAGGTTTGGCAGGAAGGTCTCCGAGGCGTCGATGTTGAACCTACGCGAGGGTGATTAGCAATAGTGGTTTAATTTTTCGTTGCCGATGACAAAGGCGAGCGAGCGAATAAGCGGGTGCAACGTACTGCCAGAGAGCGTTGTTGCGAGCCTCTTCGCAGATTCGCATGGCCTCGTCGCGCGGAGGCAGGACGTCACGGATGCGTTTGCGTATGCTGACGTCGACGGCCCAAGGGAACGGGAATGTTGCGCTGAGTTGAAGGATGTCTGAGCCGACTTCTGGAGGTGTGGAATCTCGTGTTGGGAGTCGTTCTATTGTCTTGGGTCGTGACCTTTCTGCATAAGGAGGTTGGGTGTTCAGCGACAAGGCCCCAACAGACTTGCGAAGGTATTCATCTCGTGCCGTTGTTTCTCGTGCAGGCGCAGAATATTCTGAGGAGGATGTCGACGCCACAGGCTGCGGCGGCTGTAGTGGCTGCATATTCATGGTTCCGTAGAGCTCTTGTGAGGTTTTGATTTTCAGGAGGTCAGGGGCAAGAAGAGGATGAGGCTGATTAGAGCATCGTGATTGGAGGAACTCGAGGGCATCTTCGAGTTGGCGAACGCGTTCGCTGAGTTCGAAGATTTTTTCGTGCAGCTGTTCCGTATTCGCGAGAATGAACCTGAAGAAAAGGCGGGTGTGAGGGCAGGCGATTACGCAGAACAAGGCGTTGTCTTACCTGCTTCCACGTCCGGAGGTTAGGGCACCTGTTTGACCTTAGCCGCAGGAACGAAAATAGAATCAGGCGGAAGAACACCGACCTTCTGGACAGAGACTCCCACAGCCTCGCTTTACGCAGGACTGAAGCAAAAGATGCATGAGCTCTATAAGGCCCTAGGTTTGAGGAGTGGGTTTACCTGGCAAGGAAATACGCGATCGCACTAAAAATACAGACATGAGGCGAGGCCATGTCAAGTGGGTTAAGATGACAACGAAAAGAGAGGAGGTCGCACCTTGAGTTTCAAGCTGGATTGGGCGACGATGGCGGAAATGAGGAGAAAAAGTGAGGACAGGAGGCAAAACAAAGCCGGAAAATTGCACGCACCGCCGACACTCCTTGCAGGAGAGTTTGCGGTTGTTCTTGTCGTCTGTCCTGGGTCGATTTATGGGTGCGGGTGGTTGTGGCATCTCAGATCGGCTGTTTCTCGAGTTATCTGCCCCCACCGCTGCGGTGAATCCCTGGTCGTCCATAGGCACTGGTGGGCCAGACAAGTGCTGGGGTTGGTCGCCGTGTACTGAGAGGTTTCGAGGGCGCTTTGGAGGACGAGAGTCATGGTGATCATCGTGGGGATAGGGCATGCCGCTGCCGAGCATGGTGGGAGGAGAGTGAGGGAGAGTGGAGGGCAGACGGAAGGGGATGGATATTAGAGTTGAGAACACTTCATCGGACAAGCAAACCCGTGACTTCCGGACAACCAAGAACCCGTTCTAGGCGCTGGCCTTGTATGGCAAAACACGCCTTTTGCGCAAAAAATCGGAGACCTTGATTCGGCTCTAAAATCGCTAGTCAGGGCCCGGCAATCCGCAGCACAGAATCCCCAGCTTTTTTGACGATCTGCACGAAGAATCCGCAAAGAGGGGCTGTAGGAATGGGCTTGTGCCGGCCGGATTTGTCTGACACACGCGATCCATTACCTCCCGAGCCGACAACGGAATCAAATCAGAAAGCCCGTATCACACGGAACTATGACGATATTCCTATGCGTTATCAAATCCATGTCAAAACTATTATCTGACAAACGCACTTTGTCCGAAAGCTAGAAGGACAGCAGTAATACAAGAAAGCGAAGTAAATAGGTACAGTACAGTTATCAAAGGCATATCAGCATTACACTCATCCAAAGGCCACTCTACATACGTCTCCCCCCTTTTATTGAAACGCTTCTAGAAAAAGGCCATCCAGTTTTGATCACTGCTCGAGTTGAGCGCACCGAGCTCAAAGTTCAGCGTGTCGACCACGGCCATCTTCGATGAGGGCGACAGCGTGAGAGGAGGAGAGGGAATTGCCGGCCCATCCTGAGGAAGTACCGTGCTTGAATAGATGCCATGACTTTCGCTCACCGCACCGTAAAGCGAATGTGATCCATTCGACATCGGTGGCGAGTACCCATGCGGCGACGAAATGACCGCATTGCCATGCACGTTCCCATACTGAATAGGAGAGTGCATGAAGGAGAGCGGCGGCGGCACTTCAGGCAGGACAGGCGACATCTGCGACGGGAGGGCTGGGGGCGGGCTCCACGAGTGCGATGGCGGACAGTTCTGCGAAACCGTCGCAGAGCACTGGCACGGTTTGCGAAGCGGGAACAGCGCCTTGGCGCGCTCGTGCACCTCGGCGATGCACTGCGCCAAACTCCGGTGCGCACGCGCAAATGAATCTCTCGGTTGTAGCTGCTGCTGTTGCACAAACGTCGGCGACGGTGTCTGGTTGTACTGCCCATGGTTAACGTTGTTCAGGTCGGACAGCGGCATGTTCGGGCTGTTCTGGCCCCCATAGTCTGAGTAGCTGTAGTCGTCGGTGATATGCCGCAGCACGATCGTAGGCAGCTCTTGCCCCGTCGACCAGCGATTGTAAATATAGTTGGCCTTGTCGATCATAGTCTCAAGCATCGGCTAAAGTAAAGAGAAAAGGAAAAAAGCAGAAAAAGGCAGTTGAGCTTGATTAGCACTCCGATTCGGACGAAGCAGCCTCGCCTAGCGAGGGCTGCAAGAAAATGATGAGATAGAACTCACGATAACTTGGAGCGCACGGGGGCAGGTGTCCTTCGCTGAACGGAAGAGGAGGCGCGCACGCTCGAGCTCCTGCAGCGCTGCAGGCGACAGGCACGTGAACGGGGCGCGCGAAACGAGAAGGCATAGCGCGACCTGCAGAGAAGGAAAGGGCGCAGAGAAGGGCGAAGGGGAAGAAGACAATCAACACATGCACCAAAGACGTCAGGTCGGATTTAGCAGGAGCGTGGTGGAAAGAAGCGCAGAAGACCCGAGCCCGAGGCAAAAAGCGACGAGGATTCGCACACCCACGCCGCAGCTCGCGAGGCCCTCCACCAACGGCATGGCTGGGGTTAGGAGGCCCTCGCGGATCAAGTGCGGAAAATTTGGAGAGAACGGGGATGGGATGATGGGAAGGAGAGTGGAGGGAGGCGACTTACTGCAGCAGAAAACGCGTTGGACCAGTATCCCAGGATCCTGGCTGTCAAATGCGGCTGGTGGTTGTAGAGCTCCTGGACGGTGGCTATCATGCGCGAGGCACTAAGAAAGACGGCCACGACGGATGGGGCGTATTTGTGCCTTCTATTAAACGCTTCTTCTGGCCCACTTACGGCGCGTGTAAAGAACTGGCGATGAAGCTGGAGTAAGACTAAGCCGAATCAGTAGGGTATTGGGAATAAATGGACAGAGAAGACGCACCAGCTTCCAGGGCAGTTGATAGCGAGGCTCGTTGAATGATGACGAAACGAGACCGCGATTCTTTGTTTCGCAGAGGAACAGGGATTGAGAAATCGCGAATGCGGGTGTCGAGTTCGAGAACGGTGTCATAGCTCAGGTTTGGCTGCGAAATGGCGTCGAGAACGGGGGCTAAGCAGTTCAGATAGCAGGAATGCTTCCACTCTTGATCTAAAATAACGTTTGACAACGGCAGTAGTACAAGGAAAGCCGGAATACTTACAATAGTGCAAGCTTTCAGAGATATCACAGTCCTCATCGGGTGGGTATGAGGGCCGAGGGCAATCCATGTGGTTAATGGAAAGCGAAGGAGGTCGACCCAACGATAATGACTGGAAGAGGGCATCAGATAAGCCAACATAGGTGGAAAAAAAAAATCGGTGCGTACAAGTCGGGCATCGAGGTACAGCAGCTCCCAGAATAACGAGCGTCGTTTCTCGAGCTCTTCGGGAATCACTTTCGACTTGCCTCCGTTCCGGTCTGCACGTAGAATCAGCAACCGTTCTTGTACCACCAAAGCTGGTGAAACTCACGAAGACCAATCTAATGTTGCATCAATCTCGGATTAGGACGCCCAAGAAAACGAGAGTAAAAATACGCACACTCTGCGCCAGTTTCGCCGTCAGGCCCATGAGACCCCAAGCATAACCTGCAGCCTTCTTCTTATCGGAGAACACTAGCAGATACCATATCTCGTAGAAGAGCGCTGTGATGGTTTCTACGTTTGTTTCTTCCATGACCGGAATCTCACACAGGCTCGCGCGTGCGAGTCGATGGTACCGTTCGGCGTCCGGATGATCAGGGGCCCGTCCTGCGACGTCGACAAGGCAGCCTACTGCGAGGATCATGTAGAGCAGTGCAAGGCGGCGCGGAGAAAGCGATGAGCTGGGTGACGAGTAGCAGTGGTAGGCCAAGTTCGGGTAGAAAGTCGAACTGGGGTGTGGGTTGTACTGCCACAGCGCATTCTGTCGGGCTTGTTCCCAAAGATAGTCGGCCTCTTCGCGCGGAGGTAGGTTGCTCCGAATATACTCGCGCAGACGGAGATTGGGCTCGGGCGAGACGGAGTCGGACAACGGAAAGTTGTGGCTCAGGCGGACAATCTCGGCGGCGAAGTGCGCTTCTGATAGCGGGTCGTCCTTGAGGTCCTTCTGGTGTCATTATTGGGGAAAAGGATAGAGGTGGGAGACCGCATGGATGCTTACCTGGTGGTGGTGGTGTGCGTCCGGAGCCATGACGGTGTCCTCGCTGGAGCCACGCTCGACAGCTGCACCTCCTTGTTCTGCTCCGTCCCCGTGTTGCGAGCTGGATGCCGGGGACCTGTGGGGCTTCAGAGCGTCTGGCCCGTTCGACTGCGAGCCGCTGTAGAGGCCCATGGTGCTCTTAATTCCAAGTAGGTCTGGTTGCAACAGAGGGTGAGGCTGATCAGGATCAGAGGCATGGTCGGCATGGAGGGTCTGCAGAGCGTCTTCCAAGCTGCGAATGCGATCGCTCATTTCTTGAATTTTACTGTGCAACTGCTCCGTGTTGGCGAGGATGAAGCGGGTCCCTTTCCCAGAGACGAGGACGCCTAGATCAGTAGACTGTAAGTCATGGCATCGACGGACGTCACTGGTCTGGACACGGACCATCGGGACATATTTCTGCACAACCGCGTTTCTGAGAAGTATAGGATGAACGACAGCGTTCAGAGCGGGGGATCTCCTCATGCGTACCTTGCAGGATGCGCAGGGGAAGTTGCGGTCGCACTGATACCAACGTTCTCAGGGTCAGTGCCCCACCCAAATCATTACGGATAGTCAACGCACCTTCAATTTCAACCTGATTTTCATCACCCAATCGTCATTTAGTCTCATGCTCTGCATTTCCGGGGTATTATGCTCACCGTCGACATTCGCAGCATGACAAGGGGGCCTAACGGTCGAGCCATAGTGTGAGTCACGATGACGAGCGGTGCAGTGACACAGGAAGGACGAACCTTCTTGCCTCCAGGTTTCTTCGCCATCACGCCATCCGCGATAAAGATGTGGTCCAGGGGCGCATTGTTGACGAAAGGATGCTCCTCCTTTTCGCTGGGAAACTTCTCGCCGTTCGCGTTCGACTTTCGGGCGCGTTTGAGGGGTCGGGGGGAGGGGTTGTGGTCGTAGTCGAGGGTCGCCACGCCGGACGCCATGGTATGGCGAGACTGCGTGGAATTCGGAGGGGGGCCTTAGGTGGCAGGAGGATAACTAGTGGGGGACGGAGATCAGAAAGAGGCTTCCTATAGGGAAAGGCACGTACATATACTAATAGTTCCATACAGATCAGGAATGTCAGATACATCCCGGTATGATCTGAAGAAGCCCCATTGGAACTTGGGTAGTCATCACCTTAGACACTGCCTGATATGCCACTTGTGGTCCCAGGACCCAGGGACCCAGGGAAATGGGGGACTGCGGAGAGGTGAATTGCTATTTCCATGATGCCTGGGGTCCATTCTGAAGACACTCCCACCTCTTGTCATCTCTCGCCGGTCAGTAGTGGCTACTCTTGCGCTCAATGGTCCTCCTGACATGTTGTCCCCAGAATAGTCGGTCTCCCGCATCACTGATACCGCGAGTATGACTGATGGCAGATTTCCGACCACGAGGTCCACCGAACTGTATAAGTACAGTCAGCCAAACGCCAGAAGGGAATAGGGTGGACCATGGATAATAAGAAACCTTAACTGAACTGGGGGCGACACTCACAATTGAGGCCTTTTCAGTGGTTTTCACTCTCTTTCCCTTGCTTGTGACGCTCCTGGATTCGTCACCGCGTTGAGACTGGAGCGCTCTGTCGAGGCCGTTGGATATGTTTCGGTGATGGGAACATACTGCCCACAAAATACGAGCTCCACGCTTTGGGGACTTGCGTTTCGATGTCAGGGTTCCCCGGATAGGAATAACTCCTTCTGTCGGACATTGTAGGACTGGATGAAAGCTGGAAGGATTCCCCATAAGGACAAGTCCAGCAGCTCGGGATCTATGCGATATCTTGTGGAAGATATCATGATGACTGTTAGACCCAAGCCAGCGAGAAACGGACGCTCAAGGAGAAGATGGCGTACCTGCGCCGCATCGACATTCCCATCCTTGGTCAAAAATTCCTCCCCAACCTCGGCTGATCGGAGACGATAACATTTGTCCTCCGTCATCGGAGTTCTTGCTGAAGTTTGAATCCTGATGAGCATCTGCCCTTGCGGTGATGATCCAGGGTGTCTCCGAGAAAGTTCGACCCATGACAGTGCATGTATGCGCTCTAGACTTCACCACCGCAGTGGAGGCCGAGGTTTGTGTTCATGATCAAGAGGTTTGTGTTCATGATCAAGATGGCCATGTCTGGTGCAGCACTGGCAGCACACTGCCGATGGATCACGTGCATTCAAATGAAAGCTGCGTGAAGGTTCTGGTTCTGACACCGTAGTACTTGCTTCAAAGAGCTGAAGGCGAAGCAGCTTTAAGCCTTTAGCAACCCAAAGTCGCGAAGCCGCTGAACGCGGCAAAAACCGAGGGCCGCTTGTGTCGCTGCTCCCACAGGATATTTTTGGTGAGTTCACTAAATTGCACCCAGAAGTGGACCAGAGTAACCGTTATTTCTGGCCGGCGACACGAAGCCCTCCTCAAGGCTATCAAACGCGCATGACGCACCTCGGGAGCAGCCCCAAATCAAGGGGTTCCAGTGTTTTCGGAGGCTTAGAAAACCAAAGTCGATAAAAGAGGCAATACGCCTTCCTAAATTAGCGCCTGCGCGAGGGATTAAGCGACAGCCGGGGCTATCGTGGCACAATCGCCACCTGTGCCGACCCTATCGCGGTGACAGCGTGCACACAATAAAGCCTAAACTGATTTAAGATATCTTCCGTGGGTATCGGTGCTCCCAGTCGGGGATGATGTGATGTGTGCCTTTGACCACCGTCATGCGAAGATGTAGGTTCCATTGGAAGTGGTGTACGAGACATGATGTATTCGTATGGATGATTGAATACGAGGCGTCAGCTTGGAAGTGGAGGGCGATTCTGAGCGGACATAGAGCTCTTTAGAGAACTGCATTGCTATCTGCACTCAATCACCGTTTGCAAGTCATGCGGCCTTTGAGGCTTGCCTGTCAAGAATGACTGAAAGATAACACTTTGCACTCACAAGAATAGGTGGTTTGATATAGACCCTTCACTGAGTCTTTAAAGCGTGGCGGTTGAACGACGTCTCGCAACTCAGATCGTAGGCAGTAGAGGCGATGTTTATCCAGATGGTGTTTCTCCACGCCCTCAGGAAGTCTAACTCAGCGACTATACTCCTTTCGAGTTAAATAACATCAAAGGTGTCGCTCGAGTGGGTATATGTATCCTTTCATTTCGGATCGGTGGGTTCGGTCCCGCATTTTCGTCCACAAGGCTTCACATATGTCCATGTCCACAGTCGTTCAAACAAACTTCATGAAAAAGTGGCCATATACATACCATTCTGCTGGGTTTCGTCGTTGTAAAATGTCCTCTCTTTCTAGAATATACGTATAGTGATCCGAGGAACTATGCAGAGACGAGACATTTGAACAACCGTCTTACTTTTGCAGCTATGAGGAGACGAGATGATGGTCATTAATTTCCCTCTGACATGTATACAGTGCCCACGTACCGGCGTCCAAGAAAATACTGCGTTCACACCTCGCGGACTCGGTTACCTTGGACCCAGACGCGCCCACGATTTCTACTGTCTCCAACGCACCACCATTTCTCTATTACGTCTGCCGTCAGGCGGGTATCCTCGGGCGACAGCGGCGGGGCTGATTCTTCTTTTTCCAGATCGAAATAATCCAGTGGGCCAATCCCTATGCCAGTTTGTGCATCGTAAAGGCGGACTGTGTAAAGGATTTCCATCAGACTTTCATTCACCGATGTACAATAGAGACCAATGAACGCCCACCCACTTTCTTGAGCATCGAATGGGCTGCCAACCCTGAATATCCCTTCAAGCCCGAGAGCAAGTGCGCCACCTCTCGTCGCGAGGAATAAAGCCTCCTTCCAATCAACGGAAAGGTCTCGTGGCTCAACCTGCCCAGTTCTTTCCATCAGGTTCAGCCCTTGCCGCATCCTCGAGACCGCAACAGCCTGACGCATGGAGTTCATGATATCGAGACTATATCCCCCGGCGACGTCTGTTCCGAGACCCACTTTTACGTTCTGGTCCAGCGCTTCTCGGAGAGGAAACGGCTTAGCGGAAAAGTACGCGTTCGAAAGCGGGCAATGGGCAATGGAGCTCCCTTTGTTTGATAGCCGGTCGAGATCGGGCGGAGAAAGGAAGGTACAATGGGCTTGAACTGTGCGTGCAGTAAGAAGATTACTCTGCGACGTTGCTCTGTTAGATACCTGCACCGTCGTAGGCTGTCGAAGGAATACCAACTGACCTTGTCGAAGACGTCGATATCCTCCATACCACGTTCTGCGCGTACCCATTCGACTTGATCTTTCGCCTCAGCCAGATGGCTCTGAACCTTAATCCCTCGCACTTCTGACAGTTCACCCAGGCCTTTCAAGAGCTCGTTCGTGCAGGTAGGAACGAAACGCGGAGTTAAGACCGGTTCCACGAGCCTCTGAGACTCAGGTAGGTGGTTCACAAGCCCGTGGCAATGGTCAACAAAGGCTTTCGCCGCATCCAGCGAGGCCGATGCATTCGGTTCGACATATGTGGTGGTCAGGGAATCTGGAGATGTGATGTCGATGTCCATTGATAGTTTTCCAACGAAAGCACGTATCCCCGCTGATTGCATGCACTCGGCCAATATCAGGCTGTTGTGGGGGGAATCAAATAAGCTGTGGTGTTTCATGTATGCGGAGGAGATGGACGTGGACATACTTCGTCCTTTCCTTTATCGTCCCGAAGAGCAGGACGGCACCTGTGCCGTTCTCTTTCAGGCGAGCTGCGAGGCGGGTGTAGACGCGTTTTGCGAGAGCAGGGTCTTCATCCATGCGTGATTCCGCCTTCAGAGTGTACTTGTCCAGCCATTGCATGAGAGGGAGGTCTAACCCCGTTCCTTGGTAGAGAAATTGCGGAGCGTGGAGGTGGAGATCGCAGAAAGTCGGGAGCATGAATGACCCTTGTGGGATGACGATGACAGGTTTCCCAAGTCCATTCCCAAGCAATTTGGTCGATTGCGGAGTATCAGCACGCTCAAAATGTGTGATAACGCCGTCGTCACTAAAAGCTTTTGAAAAGAAGTGTCAACGAGCAGATCTCGCCTCGGGAAGAGTGATACGACCTTATCAGAGGAGAACAATCAGCTTCAGGTTTACAGCCAAGGGACGAACATACATAGATTCACCAATTAAATGGTCGTGGAGGATGTCGAGGTATCCTAAACGAGGTGTATGCACAAAGGTCCCTCGAATCTTTGACATGAAGATGTGGTTCTGCCAGTGGACGAAGGTTGACAAATGTGGTCCAGAAGGGGAATTCTGGGGTGGAGAAATCAATTGGCAGTAGGCGCTGTTTCGAGATACGTTTGTGGCGGTAGCAAATTGGGTTGTGTCAGCGGAAGCAAGGAAGCAAGAAAGTGTTGCCAGTGAAGTATGTAGTGCCAGGTAGGAAGGAAGCTCGGGCCGGGAGTCCCGGACCCAGACAATCCCGGATGGAGCCGAACCTCTCTTGCAACTCGTCACAGACGACGGACGTTCAAGAATAGGCTCGCTACCAGCCGTTTCATTTTCGAACTCCGCAGGCTTCGTTCAGAAACGGCTGGGAGTAACGGAACACTTTCTGTCGAGGTGTCACATTGTCACGTTGGACTTAGTGAAATTCCAGTGATGTACACAACGACATCGCTCTTCGTCACTCTCCTCCGACTATCGTATCTCTTTTGGCCTATAACGTAGTGAGGTACGAGCGTAGGGTTAGGGTGCGGTCTATGCATCAGCGGTGGCAGTGTTAGGTGAGGAGAACCTCTTTCTCCTCGACTGCCACCTGCTGCCCACGCTGAGAGCAGTCCAGCGTTGCGGGCTTTTCTTTTTTCATCGTATCTACCAACACGCGCTGTATCTCTGCTGTTCACTCTACCTAAAGCAACTTCAGGCCACACATGCCGCCACGTATCACACAAGACCCGCACTTGGTGCAACCCCCCGACTTCGAGTCGGAACAATTCCGGGCGCTTTACGCCACCTTAGCCACCGCCGAGCGCACAGTGGACGCTATCATAGCCGACTCCCAAAATGCTTGGACCCAGAACAACGACGCGCAAAGAGTCGCGTGGAACGCCCAGGTCGAGCAAGACCACGCAGAAGAAGAGGAAGCTAGGGCAGCTCAGGAGCAAGCAAAGCAAGAGGCCGCCGAAGCTGAGAAGCGTGAGAGGGAGAACAAACGGCCCAAGATAAAATCCTTCACCCCGAACAAGACGGTCGGGAAGTTGTCATCTCGTCGACCTTCCCGCTATGCGATCCACAAGATTGAACAACTCGAGTACGTTGAGCTCTACTATTTCACCAAGGAGGCCTGTCTTGAGGCCGAGAGGACGGAATACTCAGTGGCGAGGGGCACCTTCACCCTGATGGCTGACGGAGAGAACGTGCTGGCAAAACCCGCCGCTGCGTACAAGCCATCCACAAAGGTCGTCCAGGATGAGAACCTCGAATGGCGCCAAATCATCAAGGCGAAGGACTACATGCTGGAGGCCATGGTGGACGCAGGCTGGCCCGAGGAACACGTCATGGCCCTTGGTGTATTCTTTCTCGAGCTCGACAAGCACCCAATCAGCGACCTAGAGGGGGGAGAAACCGCTGTTCTACTGTACCAGGCGCGCATCCGCCGTAGGTGGATGGAAGACCTCAAGAGCACCAATGACGAGGAAGTCTTTGACATCAGTGTTGTCAATGACAAACGGCTGGATGAAATGTACAGCGAGGTGCTCAACCTCCGTCAGGCCCAAGGCATTAAACGGTCAGTCACCATTTCATTCACAAGCTGAGGGGCATGCAGCTGACAACATCTCACACCGCACTGTCATTAACCCACATCTCATCTTTGCGCCCCTGTGCTCATCATGCACACATGCCACGCACCCTCACGCACCCCCCCCGCACCCATAACCTGCACCCATACCTCTGCACCCATAACCCGCACCCATACCTCCGCACCCATACCTTCTGCACCCATACCTCTGCACCCATAACCTGCACCCATAACTCGCACCCATAACCTGCACCCATAACCTGCACCCATAACCCGTGCCACGCCCCGCATCCATGCGGCCCCATATCACACCCATGCTATGTGTCTATATGTCCTCTCCACCTATAATACGTATCTACTTCCCTATACCTACGAGCTTACTCCTACTCCTCTGCATTTCCTTTCATTACTCCATGACTCCGGCTCATTACCGTATGGTCTGCGATCGGTTATTCTTGTGTCACATAATTGCACATCCACATTTAATATTTAATGGTTAAATACTACACTGTACAACCCGGCTGGTCTCCTTGTACTGACATCCACTTGCTACCCACATTATCAGGCTCGAAGAACAGCTAGCCAGATCAAACCTCTCTAGAGGGATAAAACGTGACTGCTCCCTGTCCCCGTCCCCGGAGACGGAAGGAAAGCATCGTACTACTCAGGCCAAAAGCAAGCAGGCACCTCGCAGAGCAGCCCCGCTTCCACACTATGCCAAAAGACAGCGCCGCGAAGGAGTAGAGGCACCGAACCAGGTTTTTCAACAGGGTGCACCCGCAACGTCGACCCCCCTTTCGGCCTGCACCCTTTGCCTTGGTCGACAACCCCACAACATCTTCAAGTGCAACTCCAGCATGCTCTGGGACGGCTCACCAACCCATTGCAGGAGAAACGAAGCTGGTCGCTTGGTCAACCCAAAAGGAACCGTCATCTGCACCGACTGGA